TCCTCCTTGTGGGCCGGCCCAAGCCGCCCTCCCTCTCTCCCCGGGACGCCGACAGGTGGGCCCCACCTGTTGGGCCCGTCTCCTTCCTCCAGTCGGCGCCGCCGCGCCCGCAACCGCCGCCGCGTCCACGCCTCCGCCTCCTCCGGGCCACGTCAGCCACGCCCGCGCGTGCGCCTCATCTCCCGCACCCACTTCTCCTCTCTCTCTCCCGCCCGCGCCCGCGCCCGAGATGGCCGGGATTCGATTTTCGAATCCCGCCTCTCTCTCCTCCCCCACTCCCCACGTTGGCCGGCAAAATCCCGCCCCTACCGGCCACGTCTAGGGCTCCCCTCCCCTATTTAGGCTTCCCCGTCGCTCCCTCTCGCTTTTTCCCCATCTCGCCGAACTCCCTCGTGCTCCCCATTGCTCCCGCGCCGTGCAACCACCCGCCGCCGCCGTTTCCGTTACTCCGGCCGCCGCTAGCCGCCGCTAGGGTCGCCGCGGCACCGCGCCATCGCCGCCGTCGGGTTCGCGAGGCTAAGCTCCACCCCGGCCGCCCCTTCCCCGTCGAGTTTCGTCGCCGGAATTCGCATCCCCTCGCGCTCCGGTGAGTTCAACCTCTACCGCCGCCTTCGGCCATGGATGCCCGTCACCGTGGTTCATCTCCCTCCCTCTAATCTCTCTCTTCTCCTTCCTTAGGGCACCCCGAATCCCGTCCGCCCGTTGCCATCGTCCTCCCGTGGCTTGCCGTCGCCGTTCGCCGTCGTCTTCCTCCGCGCCGGCCACCCTCGGTGAGGTTTCCTCTCCCATCTATTCCCCTCCCACTCCTTCCTAGCCGCCGCTTAGCGCCGCCGCCTTCGCGTCGCCTTTGCGCCGTCGCCTCCGCCGCCGGTTGCCGTCGCCGGCAACGCGTTCGCGCGCGCGCCGTCGCCGTCGCCGTCGCCGTGGTCGCTTGGCCGGTCTTGAGCCAAGCCGGGTCGCCACCGCCCGTCCGATCGGCCCCGAGGGCGATCTGGGCCGTCGGTCCCATGGACCGGCGGTGGACCACCCGCGTGGTCCCGGTCCACGGTGAACCCCCCCCCCCCCCCCCTGAGCCGCTGACCGGTGGGCCCCGCATGTCGGCGCCGCGCTTCCCCCCCCCCCCCCCCCGTGCTGATGTCAGCCCTGGGATTTATTGCGCAATGAATGATTTAAGGTTTTTCTTTTATAGTAATAAACACAGTGAATCTTCTAAAATTCATAACTAATTCATCCGAGATCCGTTTAAGCCCATTCAAGTATCAGTAAATCAAGAAAAATGTGTAGAATCCATTAAAAATGGTTTTGTTCTCTGTTTCAGTAGTCTTATAGCCTGTTTGCAATGTTTGCCTTGTATGTCGCTAGATTCCGGTTCTTCCGACGCTCCGGTGTACTTCGAAATAGTCGCCGAGGTTCCTCCAGCAGCAGAGCAAGGCAAGTCATGCTTGTCACTTGAACATGTTGATCCTATATTGCAAATGCTCTATTGTTTTCCTTCAAATACTGCATTGTTTTATAATATTTCTATGGGGTGTTTACCTATTGTCATAGCCATGCTATTGTTGCACCATGTCCCTTTTGTCAGCTTGGGGTTATAACATGACTAGAGATTGGACTAGGGATTGCTTAGCCATGCTTAGTTCAACTAGTGCACAATGGGGAAAATCTTATTAATGTTTAGACTGTTGGTTCTAATGGTAGTGTTGGATTAGTGCCACCGCTTTGGTGCTGGTTAATTAAAATAAATCACATGGTGGGCTGTGGGTGCATGGTTTCGCTGGTCGCACCCATGGCAGTTAAGGACCGGTTCGCGGGATGCCCTGGAAGAACTTATCGTACTTACCACAAGCTAGCGTGGGCAACGGCTGGGCTTGTAGTGTAGCCTTCCTCTAGTCGACGCATCCAGGCAAGGGTGGGCGTGATGGAGCGGGGCGGGCCCTGCGACGGCCTCTGTCGCTTCCGGATTCACCTAGGCACGAGAGGGGACTGCCCGTTGCCCGCTGGGAACGGGGGTGAAACCTGAGGTGTGGTGTGCTTGGCTAGAGGGGGTTATGCGAAGGGTCCTGTCACGGCCTCTTTCCGATGTGTCGTGGTGGCATGTCGGCGCACGGAAACGTGTTGTGGGGCTGTGTCTTGTGGGTACAGTTGTATACCTCTGATCAGAGTAAAACTATTCGAATAGCCGTGCCCGCGGTTATGGGCGGTCAACCAGATTCACCGTGATTAGTCTCACCCTAGTGTAATCTTTTGAATTTGGATGGTTTAGGTGGATGGTTGGGCCTGTTGCAACGTGGGATAGCGTTGGACAGCGGATGATCAATATTAATTAATTATTACAACTGCTTAAATCTTTTAACTTCTGTTTATAAATGCTCGCTTTATGCAAATGAACCACTCTAGCTCTTCTTTGATAATTCCCTGCATCATACCCCTATTCCGGTATGACTTGCTGAGTACAGTGGGTAGTACTCAGTCTTGCTCTATTTTTCCCAACCCCCCCAGAGTTCGAGTATGTGTCAGATGGAGGTTTCTCCGAGGAGTAGGCTTCGTCCGTGCCGTCGAGGATGCCTGTGGAGTGGTGTTCCCGCTGCAGTTCTAGTCAAGGCTTAGCTCCTGTTGTCTTTCGTTTTTCCGCTGCATTTATGTAAGACTTTTATGATGTTTGTAAGACGTGGATCTGAATGTCAACATTGTCGTTTGTGTACCCCGGCCGGTCCTGGACGGGGATTTTAATGCACATTCTGCTTGGAATTCTATTCGGGAATTTCTGGGCGTGACAGATGGCGGCGTGCGTGCGTGCGTCACGTCGCTATCCTTTTGCAGGCACTAACCCACGTTCCCACGATTCCCTCCGCAACAGCGCGTCCACGTTCTTTCTCCTGATAGATAAGGAGGCCGCGAGTCCGATCCGTTTTCTTAGCTTCTTTCCCGGTGTTAGTTTCTTCTTCTCCGCGCCTGAATTGCTCTCGCTTCCTCGCTTCTGATCTCTTGCGCGCACGAGAGAATGGAAGGAGCAGTGCCTCCGAAACCACACCTTCGCCTGAAATCTGCACCAGGTAGGCGGGTGATCAGATTTTTGGGGAGTGCCTCCCGCACGACTGCTCATCGCCATGTCTGGAGTTGCCGCCGCCACTGCTGGCGGAGGTGGTACGCCGCCGACGGGAGCTGGATCCGGAGCTGGTGCGCCAGGAGGTGCCGTGAACGACAACAACAACGGAGGCAATTCTGCCTCACCATCCAGCGGAGGGCTATTCTCGGAGTATACTCTTCTCCTCCTGCTACTGTTGTTAGCGCTATTCCTGTTCCCATTGTTAGCGCTATCGCTATACTATGTGCGCTATGTTTTTGTTCCTGTTCTACATGATGCCTCTAGCATGTTATCGCGTTACTGGTATATTCCTGTTCCTGACATTCATGATGCGCATAGTATGCTACTGGTTATGTTAAGATCACCCTATACTGCTTATGCCATGATCATTGCTTTAACTTTTTGGATTAAAATATGTCGATTAATGACTATATTTCCAACATTGAGTGTTCAGTGTTCTTGATCAGTGATGAAATTTAATGCAAATGATGCCGTGCGATGCATCTAGAATTCTAGCATAGCCGACTTCATTTTTTTGTTCAATCTGGCCGATCAATTGGGCCTAGTGGACGTAGATGATCGAACTATCGAAGAGCCGACCTTTGACGTGGTCGTTTTCAATTTTGAACGGCCCTCGCCCTCCATGACCATGCACGCATAATCGGCTCGATCGTGTCCAGTCTTGGTTGACTCCTGATAAAAAAAAGACTTAATTGACGCGACGGCTTACGCATCGAAGATGGCAAAAGAAACGCTAGTAAACGCCTGTGCGTAGCCTCCTCCGCTGCTCGTGCCTATCCGCCTGAGATGCACTGATGCACATTGGCAACTGAACCAGGTTGGGTCAGTTTCTAGCATAAGCACAAACAGCAAACCATGAGGCCCAAACTTATATTAGGGCAGATAAACCATGAGACCCCAAACTAAAAGAAATGAGAAAATCAATAAGTTATCTTAAGAACAAACTAAATACTGCTACCTTTTAAACACCTTGCAACTAAAAAATAATAAACCCAAATTTGAACGTTAAAATCACATTCATAACTAATTGTTTACACAAATTCCTCATTTCAATTAAAATATCACATATTCAAAGATATCTTGTTAATAAAATACTACTCTCTCCTTCCCAAATTGATAATCATATAATGAAATCCAAAATTTCTTAAATTGATCATCATTATGAAAGAATGTATGTATAGTATCTTGATTGATGTGATTTAAATTATCCTTAACGTTGGTACATAAATATATATCATATCATTTTGGGATGGAGGGAGTATCATACTTTTATTGAAAAGAAGACATACTATGATAAGGGTGGGTTCTAAACTCTCGATGGGATATTTCTCATGTACTTTTTTTTTCTTTCGAACTGAATACAAATACTCCCTCCATTTCAAAATATAAGTCACAACCACCCTTAACCCAAAGACCAAGAAATAGTTATTATCACCTTGTAGTTTAGATCATCCTAATAAATGTAATGCATCCATCCAATAGAGTTAGAGAATGTGAGTGAAGGATTTAAAAAAATAGTAATTTAATGGAGAATTGTTATAGTTAATGGCATACATACATGTATGCCTTATATTATGGAATATCTTAAAAAAAGTGGTTGTGCCTTATATTATGGAATGGAGGGAGTAATTGTTTAACAATTTTTTTTATCTTTTTTATATATCGACATGTGAGTTGAGTTTGGACCTAAGATTTCATGAAATTGTACATATAGACATGTCATGAGTGCTTTAAATTTTTTTTTAGAAATTTTTAAAACAGTTTGGATGGTTTTTAAACAAACGAGAAGACATCCCCTCGAGAAGTTTCCAATACACTGCAGGGGAGTAACAAGAAGAACATCGGTGATCTTGCTGAAATTACGTACCAACCTAAAAGACATAAAATTATCGAACGCATTCACTTAGATTTCCACGATAATCCGATACATAACAGAGATTTGGAGAAAGTAGACTGCCTTACAGACTCGATAATACATTATTTAGAAGCCACCATTCATGGGCCATAATCGCGAATTCTGATCGATTAGCAGCCTAACTTTTGGAGCGCTCCAAAACCTCTACTTGCCATCGCCATGGAGGCCCTGGAAGTAGCCCTGCGGGTTGGACTCGAAGCCGGAGCGGGAGATGTACGATCCGTCGCCGCCGGGAGCCTTCATGCTGTCGCCCCCACCGCCGCCGTGGTAGCCGCCGGACTTGCCTGCGCCACCGCCGCCACCAGCGTGCCCGCCGCTGTATCCGCCGCCGTACTTGCCTGAACCTCCTTCGCCACCTCCCTTTCCTCCTCCTCCTCCTCCGCCACCGCCGCTCCTGCCCCCACCTCCGCTGCCGCCTCCACCTCCTTTGCCGCCTCCACCTCCTCCACCACCACCCTTGCCGCCTCCGCCTCCGCCGCCACCCTTGCCGCCCATGTCTCTACCTTGCTTGATCAGTCGAAGAATAAGCTTGCAGAAGTAGAGTACTCTTGCGATTGAACTTGCGAACTGCGTTATGCTGTATCGAGCTGGAGTGCTTTGTTTTATAGAGGACGACGTCCACCGGGATAAGCGCGAGCAATCAAAGCCGCGTTCATGGCGACGCCTCGCATATCACGTCTGAGCCATGCATATGCCCATTACCAACGCGAAGAATGAATCAGAATTTACTACTCCGGCCAAACTCCCGAGAGTTTTAATCCGTGAAAATTCAAAGGTCGAGTTGGACCCTGACCGTTCGGCTGAATCATCATCAGCAACGGCGTTGCGAGAAGCCGAGAAACAGGCCGTATTTGTAGAGCCCAAGACTATAGACTGATCTGGGCCATTACGAGCAACAGCACACAGCCCAGCTCCTTCTATGGGCTGTGGCCCATAGATCACCTGGGCCAGTATCCTCCTCACAGGCTTCCAGCCAATAATCGTAGCTTGTAAGGTAACAACAGTACAACTGTACAAGAAAGGATGGAAGTGTCACATGCATTTCTGTCATGTTGAACCAGCTAATTGCAGCAGGCCAACTTACCGTAACACACACGTACGCACGTCGCAACACGGCTCCGCAACAGAAAAAAAAGAAAAAAAAAAGAAACAGGATCGATTAATTATCATACAAAAACGTTGCCGCCTTGCGCAACCACCAAAATTAATTAAACTACATCATCATCTACCACTGTAATTAATTAATTAATGAACTCCATCTTCTGCTGTAATTAATCCTGTGTACGTGTGTTCTGTATGCATGATCGCCTCACCGGAGTATATATATATCGATCGCCGGCGATCACCGGAGGAGGTGGAGGGCCTTGAGGAGGACGGGGCGGAAGCGGCGGACGTCGAGGCGGACGTCCTGCTGCCCGAGGTAGATGTCCTTGACGAGCGACCAGCTCTGCTTGTGGATGGGGAGCGGGTCGAGGAACACCGGGTGCGCCCGCGGGTACACCTCCGACAGCGTGCTCTCCTCCGCCGTGATGTTGTACTGCAGGTACCTCATGTTCATGTCGCGCGGCGGCACGCCGTACTCGTCCATGGCGAGCCCCTCCATCCTCCCCAGCGGCACCACCTGGATCACCACCGCGTTCATGGGGAGGAACACCAGGTTGGTCAGCCCCGACCCGTGCACCGCCACCATCGCGTCGTACGAGTTCACCGCCGACGCCGCCGCCGGGATGTGGGCGTCCAGCTCCGCCGCCGCCACCTCGAACCCGACCCCCTCCGCCGCCGCCACGATCTCGTCCAGGTTCACGAACCGGCGGCGGGAGCGCCGGTTGATCACCAGCAGCCGCGGCTTCTTGCTCTTGTCCTCCTCCTCCATCCGGATCGCGTGCTCCCGCGGCAGCGCGTACCGCCACATCAAGAACCGCTTGAAGTCCACCATGGAGTAGTTGTTCGGAGCTCGCCGCGGGTCGATGCTGAGGTCCTTGTGGCTGTGGAGCCCGACGGTGGCGCGGCGGTAGCAGCGGACGCGCTGCTCGGCGTCGAGGTCGACGGGCTCGTACTTGGTCAGGCCCTCCACGATCTCCCTGTACTTGCCGAACCACCACCGCTGCTTCTGCGTCACCAGCAGCTGGACCTCGCCGGCGAGGTGGCGCGACGTGATGAACAGCGGGATGATGTTGTCGTTGAAGTCGTGGTAGTAGTTGCCGCAGTAGCCGCCGTTGGAGTACACGATCGCCGGGACGTCGTGCCACTCGTCGCACGGCGGCGCCTCGTCGGCGGTCACCAGCCGCACCGTCACCTCCGTGATGCCGGGCATCACGCGGGACTCGCCCTTGCGGGTGTACGGCTGGATCTTCCACCTCGTCGCGTTCGCGTCCACGCCCGTCGCGTTCACGCCGCCGCCGCCGCCGGAGATGGAGGCGAGGCTCGGCGCCACCAGGAACACCTCCGACGTGCGGCCGAGGATGCGGATGGCGCCCTCCATCTCGCACACGTCGGATCTATTGTCTCTGAAGTCGCATCGCAGGTGAGGCTCCGGGATGAACTCATCTGCATCAAGAATTTCATCGAGCAAATTAAAACAAAATCAGAATCTTTTCTCCAAGATAAACTCAGAATCAACAACGTCAGAAATTAATCACATTGTGGGGTTTGAAATTCCCAAGATTATGTGACACATACCTACTTGTTTGAAGCTCCTCCTACCATCAATCAACATTGATGGGAAACCAGGCTTGCCTGCAGGGACAACCCATCAATGTCAGTTAACCCATTTCGATCACAAGAACATGGGAATAACAACAGATGCTGATATCCTAACGTGAGCAGTAGCCTATCATGAATCCATGATGGACATTGTCAACGAACTAATCAATTCATCATTCAGCAACTGTTACCATTTTATCCCAACAAATAAAGGAACTTGTTTTCTTGAAAGGATTCAGCAACTGTTTCCAAATATGCACAGGAATGGAGTATCGACAAGACAAACAGCATATGCTTCTCTGACAGTACTACTAATCAACATACAAACTGAAGAATACAAAACGATTATGATTACGGCGTACCTGTGGTTAGCATCACCATGTACTGATCAAGGGTTGGTGAGTAAATCACCAAGAACTGGATTGCCACGATGAGCAGGAGCAGAGGAGGGTGGCAGAAAGAGCCCTTGCTCTTCTTGCTCCTCACAGCTGCCTTCATCTCTGAAACAGCAACTACCCACACACCAGGGACAAGAACAGAACAGCAGCTTTACAACTATATACAAAACATAGAGCTTAGCTCCCTCTCTGATGCAGGTATCCATAAATGCATCACATTTGCATGTATTAGTACATTGCTAGGCAAGTTGATTAGTTAAGTCCAGGGGAATTAACAAACCAGATTATTAATCGATGGACCCAGCGAAGCAGCAGCGAGCAATAGTGACCGTGAAGAACAGTACTGCTACATGATTTGGAAGTGATCAATTAATTAATCAGGCCTTGGTCGGTTGAACCAGCTGGGCAGTTCATGGAAACCACGTTTATTCGCGTCCTTTTCCTTTTTGTTCTTTTTTTTTTCGTCACGAGAACTGACGTTGCTTCTTCGTCTTTATGCTGTTATTTCTTTTCTCTGAAACAGCTAGAATTCAGAAGCAAGATTTCAAGAAAACTCCAGTTTGTGGTGGCGATTTCGACTGTTTTAATCTCAAGTGGCAAATCTGCCCGATATAATTTGTGAAGTCAATGTGTGACATGTGCCATCTAATGGTGTTTTGCACTTGAAAACCCGGGATGAGTTCAGAGGCCAGATCCGTTACACTGCAAGGCTACATCTGAAAAAGAATAAAAAGCGTGATAAGTACCCCTCAGATCTATCAGTTTGGCATTTCATGATTCTGCTCTAGCAAAAGGGAATTGTTTGATAGCACAGGAGCACATGGGGGGTAAGGGAATCGCGGAGCAAACGCAACGAAATGGTAGGGGAGATTGCTCAGATTGCAAGTTTGTACTTTATATGTATTTATATTTTGGATGAACTTTGTGCACTTTATATAAAGTGGGAGATTATTTGTTCATAAGTGAAACACTTGCTAATCCTGCATTTTGCATAATCATAATGGCTGAGGCTTTTGCATCCTGTGCTTCTGCATATACAATGACTCAAAACTGCGTCTTTTGCTGTCTGGTCATGACAAAAGAAAACAATTGCAGACACCAATAAAAACTGCAAGCTGGATATCCTGGATTAACACTCTGGCATGAGCAATATACAAGGATCAAGAAGTAAACGCCAGGATCCATGAACAAATGAGCATCTAGCTAACATGTACACAGCGCGAGATCATCTCGCGAATAGCATGGGGAATTTTCTTTAATTCTGATCCACGTTGGTTCTGATGTATGGATCATACATTTATCTTAGGATGGTTGACCAATCCTTAAAATAGGATGATTGACTATGATTAGAGTCAGTTAGCTGCAATTTCATATTTGCCCAATTGACACTCGTCAGTTGCCACCATGTCTGACCTTGCCTGCTTACCAGATGACAGTGAAAACGTTGCTATCCATGTCCACAGAGATTCTGCAGTGATGTACTTAGGAAATCAATATGCAGTGGGGCGATTACACGTTTCTTTAATCCTTTCCATCCAAATTTGCTGACACCTCTCTGAAGTTCTTCTTACTTAACCCTGAATTCTTTTCGAAGCACTATCTGAACTATAACAGTCCATACAATCCCGTCCAAATTCATCAAACATATATCGACCAGCTGGAGTGCTGGACCATTACACTTGTTTGGATTAAAACAATTTCTTATCTCTTTGGATGATTTTAGTTAGCCCATACAATCCCGTCCAAATTCATGAAACGTATATCAAACCAGCTGGAGGGCTGGACCAATACACTTGTTTGGATTAGAAAATTTCTTATCTCTTTGGATGATTTTAATTCAATTTTTCCTGCTAATCCAGATGGATAAGGCATTATTTCTATCCATCCGTACGAGATTCCTGTGTTTAACTTATCAAGAACTCTTGCTACTTGCTCTGAGTTTTTTTTTCAGAGAGAGGAAGAGAAGACCTGAGTTAATTAATAGCCCGAGGCAGGGTTTGGCTGTGTTGTTTGGGGCTGGGAACCCTTTCCCGACGCTTAAAAACAGAGCAACGGATTAACATATGATTAATTAAGTATTAATAAAAAATAAATTAATATAATTTTTAAAATAATTTTTCTGTAAAATTATTTAAAAAACACACAATTTAAAAGTGCGCATCGAAAATGAGAGTAAAGTTAGAAAACTGTAGTGTGAAGCTTATGGACTGTTTGGGAAGCTTAAGATTCTGAGAAGCAGCTGGTTGTTAGCCAACTTATAAGAATCTAGAAAAGCTGAGTTTCCTAACTTCTGGCTTCTAGTTCTTTTTTAGACCAAAAGCTGTTTGAGGAGTTTCTGATCCTGATTCTAGGAGAAGCTGTAGCTAGGGATGCAAGCAGGTTTTTTATCCAGTTTATCTCACTTCTAGTTTATTTTTCTTCTAAAATTTGTACTACCATGTGAAAAATAAATTAACAAGCGGGTTTTTATACGGGTAGTGGGACTACCCACTTGCATCTCTACTGCAGCTAGAAGCTCCCCCAAACAGGCCCTAGCTTTGGAGGCCAAGGCCCATATATAGTAAGGCCTCATTTGAGATTTTCGCCCAAATAAGTCCCATCCATGATGGGCCGGGAAAACGGTGCCAATTTACGGGCTTTCCTCAGATATGGGCCATAATTTGGGCCCTACCAGACGAGGCCGAAGTGGGTCGGGCCATGTATGCGCTGTAGTCAACGGCCCGTACGATGCGACTCCGAGAGGAAACTGCTCCGGCCATGGCCATCGCCTCCACGAGTCAAACCCAGCCACCATCGGAATTCGAGGGCGCGGAGCAGCGGCGAAATGAGCGGCGGCGGCGGCGAGGTCGAGGCGGCGGCGGAGGCGGCCCCTCTCCTCGTCCCCCACGACCCTCAGCCGGCGGTGGGGGCGGAGGTGCGGAGGCAGGTGGGGCTCGCGGCGCCGCTGGTGGCGTGTAGCCTTCTGCAGTACAGCTTGCAGGTGGTCTCCGTCATGTTCGCCGGACATCTCGGCGAGCTCTCCCTCTCCGGCGCCTCCGTCGCCTCCTCCTTCGCCAACGTCACCGGCTTCAGCGTCCTGGTAACACTTAAACCATAATTACATATACTTTAACTTCGGGTTGGTAAATTCTTTTAGTATGAATAGTTACTCCTTTGTTCGGCAAAAAAATTTGGGAAGTGAAAATCAGTACAAAGTACGGCGCGTTTGCTTTATGGTAGGACATCATATCCAAAAATTAGTTCAAGTTCTACAAAAATACAATCCATCCAATGATCTAAAGAGGCCTTGTATATGCTTGTAGTTGTATTGTGCTTATGGAATTATGGTGACTGGCATTTCTTTATAAAATGTATGGAATCTCGTTTGTTTTTCTTAAAGAATATGTATGGATTCTCCTTTGTTCTACTATATGATGCCTGATCTTTTACTTGCAAGAAAATTTCAATGAAAACTGCATATCTGTTTATTCCATGACAAGCTGGGAATGGGAAGCGCGCTGGATACATTCTGTGGACAATCATATGGAGCAAAACAATATGATATGCTTGGGACACATGCGCAAAGGGCTATCTTTGTTCTTATGCTTATGGGTGTCCCGCTGGCTTTTGTTTTGGCATTCGCTGGCCAAATTCTTATCGCTCTTGGTCAAAATCCTGAGATATCATCTGAAGCTGGACTATATGCCGTGTGGTTGATTCCTGGTCTTTTTGCATACGGTTTGCTTCAGTGCCTTACCAAGTTTCTGCAAACTCAAAACATTGTCCATCCACTGGTAGTTTGTTCTGGGGCCACCTTGGTAATTCACATTTTGCTGTGCTGGGTTATGGTTCATTGTTTTGACCTTGGCAACAGAGGTGCAGCTTTGTCAATATCATTATCTTACTGGTTCAATGTGATATTGCTAGCAATATATGTAAAAGTCTCCGAAGTTGGCAGAAGGAGTTGGCCTGGATGGTCAAGGGAGGCACTTAAGTTAAAGGATGTTAATATGTATCTAAGGCTAGCCATTCCATCTACTTTTATGACTTGGTAAGCAGCCTGACATGGAGCAACCCTGTTCAACAATAGATACTCTCTTTTTATGATTTAACAGATAAGTTACATGAAATACCTTGTTCTTTCTGCATGGAAATAATTATTTGACTTGTGACATAACTCAGCTTGGAGTATTGGGCATTTGAGATGGTGGTTCTCCTTGCAGGCTTTCTACCTAATCCGAAACTGGAAACTTCGATTTTGTCAATAAGGTGAGCAAACAGAATGTCTGCATTCCTTTCAGTATAGTTTCTAGCAAATGAGTTTAGTTCCAAAGTTGTTCCAAAACATAAATAATAGGCTGTACATTTCAAATTCATGGTATTACATGCATTTGCTTTTTAAATTTTCTGTGATAACCATGAAATACACAGCTAGCAACTTAGCATGTTCAATGGATTATGCTTTCAGACACTTGATAATGTGAAGTAATGAATGGTTTGTTTCCAGCCTGAATACAATGTGGATGGTTTATACAATTCCAAGTGGCCTCAGCAGTGCAATAAGGTCAGCAGAGCAGAAATTTGGGATGACTTTTCCTTTCATTTTATGAGATTTGACACCTCAAAGCTTATCTAATTTTGGCCCATGGCTCATGTCTCTTTGCAGTATAAGAGTTTCCAACGAACTAGGTGCTAGGAATCCGCAAGCAGCACGCCTATCAGTCTTTGTTTCAGGAATCATGTGCCTAACCGAAGGCATACTTGTAGCTATCATCACAGTTTTGGTACGGGATATCTGGGGTTACTTGTACAGCAATGAAGAAGAAGTTGTGAAATATGTCGCAGCAATGATGCCAATTCTTGCTTTATCTGACTTCATGGATGGAATACAATGCACACTATCAGGTTTGGGATAAAACACACATCCAAATATGACAATTCTGCATTTATCACGTAGTGCCTACACTCCCTGTTTTTAATCATACATGTAACCAGAATACCAGATTGCATATCTTTTTACATTGTTGCCAATCTTGCAGTTGGCCGTTTTGCCCCATTACAGTGCCACTTCTAATAATAATAAAGCCCTTGAATTGTTTATATGTTGCATGTCACGGCCTGTTTAAGAGCTTTACTGACGTGCCTTGTACAATCCAATTAGACTCAGTACCACTACCATTCCAACGCCCAACGATTTCACTATGCAATCTACCAGCAACACCAGCATTAAGAGAGATAGTATAGAAGTTTTAGTGTGTGATTACGAGAAATTATTCTACTGTAGAAGGATGGTAATGTAAGTATTATGTAGGAGTTTTACTATGCAAGCTACCAGCAATGCTTGTGTTAAAGAAGGCTGACCATATAAGTACTGTGTAGAGAACTGTGCCTAGCTCGGTTGGTATGGGTTGATTGCTTTCACCCAGCAGACCCAGGTTCGACCCCTTGACCTGCTCATATTCCACTGGATTAAATGAAGGGATGGAAAAATATGTGGCTTCTCCTATCTTAATACCATTGGAGTGCTAGTTTTTTTTTGTTCTGTTTTTTTTTTTAAAGAACAAAGAGTGCTAGTTCATATGCCATTTTCTGGGGGGTGATGTAATCTTTTGATATTTTAGACTTGTTATTGTTCATGATATTTCTACATAATTTAGTTTTTTTTAACCTTGGTCAAATATTTTATGTTGCCTTTATTATATCACATCCATAGTAACCATGATGCCAACAAACCTCAATATTATTGATCTTAGTCACCATTTGTTTATTTTTTTTATGACTCTTAAGGTGCTGCTAGAGGGTGTGGCTGGCAAAAAGTCTGTTCTGTTATCAACCTGTGCGCTTACTATACAATTGGTATCCCTTCAGCTGTTACTTTTGCATTTGTTCTGAAGATCGATGGTAAGGTAAATTTTATTTTTTATATGCAATTCTGGCATGACATTGTTGTGCAAGTTCTGTCGTAATCCCACTCTGAGTTGGTTTTCTGTGCAGGGACTTTGGTTGGGAATAATATGCGCCATGACAGTGCAAATTTTAGCGCTGGTTGTCATGCTGCTTCGTACAAGCTGGAATGAAGAGGTACACCCTTAAACTTATAACCTTTACAGTCAAAGAATTGATGCTTATTTTTTCCCTTTTTTAAAAAAAAAAATCGAAGGCACAAGATCTCCCTCTAGCCCAGTAGGAACTAGGAACAGAAGGACATGCACTGTTCCAGTAGTATGAAAAATTGAGATTGGGCAGTAGCTACGTTCAGTGGCAAAGCCAGGATTTAGAGATGGGGGGTGCCATCTACGAGACATGGTAATTCACTTAAGGTTCAATGAACAGTGATTTTGTAGTGTTGATGCATGATCGGTAACTCGATATCATACATGTTACAGCGATTAGCTACAAGAGAGAACAAGAACCCATATATCATGATTCGCCAATTTAAAATTCAGTAATATTTTTAATATATGGATGATTGAACAGTTTGTTCCATTAATTGGAGTCTTGCAATCACTTCTAAAATGATAAATCAGTTAGCTAAGTCATTTCATAAGTCAGTTGTCTTATATCCTATATAGTTAGTCTCATCTGTAACTAATGATATAATTAATAGCTAGATTATAAGTGCTAATCATCCTTGGGAGAAGAGAGGGGAGGGGAGGTCACATAGGGGTTAGGGGGGTGTTGGCCCTCCCTGGCCCCTACGGTGGCTTCGCCACTGGCTACATTGACCTCCACAAAATTGCTGAAGCAGCACAGGACTTTACACCTGGTGAATGCTTCTCAGTGCCTCAGTGGGGATTGGGGAAGGGGATGCATAACTGATATCTATGAATTGCTGGTTTTCTGCTTTGTCACAAGAAACTAACTTGCAATTATTCTTTCCTCTGAAATTAATTTGCATGGAGAAATGCATATCAATCGTTTCCTTCTAACTGGTTTGGTATGACATGGAAGTCTGGTTTGATTGAGTCTGCGTGGCATACCTGTTGAGCCTTACCTCACCAGTCCTTCCTGCTGTGCTGAGATGACATGATATGCTAGCAGTCTTTGTCTTACTATGTTGTCTATAACTAACTTGTCCTTGATGCGTTTACTTTTGTTTTCTTTATAGGCTGAAAAGGCCCGGGCTAGAGTTCAGGGTTCAGATGGAAGAATCACATTGGCCTGAACATGGATTTCACCAGTTTTGAGTCATGATTATACCACCACAAAAGCAGTTATTGATACCATAGTACTATATATAGAGTAATTGATACTGTTGATTATTTGAAACTTGTTTGCTGTACATTCAATAATTGTAACTGATTGGGCATGTGACTTCTTTTCTTTTGTATAGTTGATATGGTGTGCTGTGAATGAAATTCTGCATAGTTCGCCCTGCAACACAGGATAAAGGTAACTCCTAACCATCTTTTCCAACACAATTCTATTTCCGTGTTTGAAAAGCTTTTTCGAACATTTTTCTACAATTAGTGCCCAAGTGGAATTATTGGAGTAGATGAAACTAAACCATCAGAAACTGAAATTGAAGTCACCAAAGCATAACTAGGGCAGGGTACTGCAAATTTATTTTTATTTCCCCCTCCATACCAGATCAGATTGCTATTGTTAATCTTTTGAAGACAAAGAGGAGTAATCATTAAATTACTATTATGAGACACTGGCCTACCTAATTCGATGTTCTTTTCCTGAGGAAGGTACCAAGCTAGTCTAGCTTCGATCTGAGAGTCGACGAGTACCATATTACATTCCTACATGCTTTAGTTGTTGCTACTCCTCTCTCAGTTATAGTAGATGTATAATGCGAAAAAGAAACAAAGTTCAGGAATTTCCTCCTTTTAATGCAAAGACATGGAAAGCTTTTGTGCATTCCTAAAAACAAGGTTCATGAAGAAAATACAGCATAAACCACACCGTTATAATTTGTCAACATCCTTGAAAATTAAGGCACGCCCTCTTATGTTAAAACAAACAGTTCTGGTTTTACAACTCATGGATAATAATAACCCACCCGTTCTTCCCTATGTCTCCTGGTAGATGGCACAGCACAAAAAAGTCTGCAGAGATTCTGGAACTTCCTCTCTGGTCTTCCCATTCAAAAATTGTTCTTTAAAACACATGCTTTTACGTTAGCTGGTGCTGTAGTGGTGTTTCTATAGGCACAATGGTACTTAGATCATCATCCTGGGTCTTGGTCTTAGTTTATGATTTATCACTGTTCTTGCTTATTCTCTATCGCCTCTGTCTTCATTTTTCTTTGGAGTACTATATACATATATATATATATATATAGCTGCTCTAATATGATATTTCGTGGTTAAAATTCCTGGCTCCATCTTGTTTTTCACTCACTTTCCGCCACTCAGCATCCTCAGATGTTATCATTTATCATACATGTGTCCCTGTATTGTTGGACCAGAAGTCTTCGGCACGTAAAGCTTTAGATAAAGCAGCACCTGACCTGAGTCAGAGCTTCTGGACGCATATCATAATTGCTTCCCTGCTTGGCTAGCTTAATATACAAGGCCAATTAAGAATGCATTTATCAGAAGAACGTGCACAAACCACCCTTATTGATGGCATCCAAAAGCTACATTTCCTCTGCCAATTAGGTCTGTGAGGTCAAAGGTCTGATGAACCTGGCAAAAGCAGAGACAGATTTCTGACCACAGAACCTTCATCTCAGTGCAGAATTTTCAAAGACTGCATTTCTATTGTACAGTAACATTTCCCTGGAAAGACTCCTTTACATATGATCAGAGACAAATGAGGCTTTTGCAAATGTAAAACAATGAAGTTCCACCTTTGAAAGTTGAAACCCACTAGAAAGGAGACAGATAAAGCATTATCTATGTTGAGCATATGTTTGGAGTACTAAGGAGGAACTTAGCATCTGTTGAGGAATTTAGCATCTGTTGTTGTTAGAGAAGAAAATAATGAGAAAACCTGTGATCAAAGGGATTCGAACTCAGGCAAGCATGCTGCTCCCTGTCAGCCGAGCTCTCCCTGCCAACCAAGCTAGGTGCCGTTCTCTTCTACATAAGTAGTAGACGAAACTCAGCTGGTTTTAACTGCATAGACAAGCATTTTGCTGTCCTTCTGTCAGTAACCATGAAATGCAACACACGGTCACCCTTGAGCTGGTGAGACACAGCTATCAGCCACAAAGCAGATAGTACTTTGCTTACAGGAGATGATTCTGGAGTGCTTTCTTTCTGGTTTCGGCAGCTCAATGATCCCACCGTGAAAGGCGAGGAAGCAACAGAAATTTGGTAGCTCCTCCAAAGTGGAGATTATCGTGGAAGCTGAGCTGTTTCCAAATCCCAATACTACACCTACTAATCGTCTCTTATCTGAAAGATACCACTGATCATTTCTGAATAACGAAAAAAATGAGAATGTGTAAATAGGCAAAGTTCTATGATTAAGGCCACGATTGTCGGTTATTTGGGCGTTTTCCACATATGATTGATGGCATCTAATGATCACATTTCTACTGATTATATCTCTGGGTCGGTTCAGTAATGAGGAAATGAGAGGGAAACGGCTCCTTCAAGTTGTTTTACTGTCTTGTCGTGCAGTCTTTTTCTTGTGGGAAACAGTTCAACAACCACTGCAGCTTGTTGGGTACCTGGGTTCATGGATTCTTTTAAGACCTTTTCTGTGGTGGTCTTGTTTGGCAGTGCTTACCTTAAAGCTCTTGCAAACTGGCTTCTCAGATGAACTCTGAATATTTCGTTGTCTGTACAGGTAGTGTTTCAGTTTACCCTATGAGCTACAACTAACGACATAATGTCAGTGGGTGCTTAAAGAGACTAGTCTCTAGGTACTTTTAAGGTAATGTCAGACTTCCGACTGAATGCATATCTGAAAACTATGTTCTTGATTGAGAACAAGGGGGGCATGGTTAACCATTTCTTTTTTGTTTCAGAAAGGCCAGATTGGTATAGCTGAAATTTGTTTTTTTGCTCATTCTTTTCTCGATATAAGTTGAACATTGCCTTGTTTTACAAAATTGCTCGGACTATTCAGATTTACATACTATTGATCGTCATCTCATATTATTGATCATCACCATTTGCTTGGCAGGTTGTCAGAATTAAAGACTGCCAAGATCTTGGAAGAACACTATTGGTGGTGGCAAAAGTGAATTGTTCATCACTCCCCACAAACAAATAATTAGCATTTTTCATGTTGACATTTTATCGACAACAACCAATTTACAAAGTGTGCAAGTGTAAATTAACCTTTGGACACTTGTCTATGACACGATCTTACTCGTCTCCTCCTTTTTATCAAAAAACAATGAAAGAAATGAATCTCACCACAAGAAGAAGAAGGAGAAAAAAAGCGAATCAAAAACAGAAGAGCTCTCCTATCTACCATCAGCATCATCAAGATCCCCAGCCATGGTGTCAGGGCTCTGGCAAGAAGTCGCGCGCCCGTTCCAGCGTGTTGGTGAGCTTGGTGAGGTTGAGCTCCACATTCTGCTTGTCCAGGTACACCGTCTTGATGGCGTCCCAGCCTTTCTTGTGCACATCGTATGGATGCTGGATGTAGAAATGGTCTCTCGGGTAGAGCTCTCTCAGCGAGCTCTCGTCGAAGGAGACATTGTACTCCATGTAGTTGACATCCATGTCCTTGGCTGGATCCTTGAAGGTGACACGGGTGAGCCATTCGAGCCCCCCGAATGGCACCACCTGGATGAGCACGGCGCGGCTGGGGAGGAACACCATGTTGGTGAGGCCGGCGCCATGGACGCCCATCATCACGTCGGCGGAGTTGACGAGGCGCGCGAAGTTGGGCATGTCGGTGTGGTTGTCCGGCTCGGCGATGCGCACGTCGAACCTGGCGAGCGCGGCGGCGTGCGCCATGGCGCGCTCGTTGAGGAAGCGGCGCGAGCTCTTGCGGGAGATGATGAGGAGGCGCGGCTTGTCGCGCCGCGGCGCGCCCGTGCGCGACGCGACGGCGCGCTCCAGGCGGAAGGTGCGGCGGAGGAGGCGCTTGAAGTCGGCGACGGTGACGCCGCCCGGGGAGCGCGCCGGGTCGATGCCCATGGCGCGGTGGAACGTGGCGCCGATGAAGATCCGCGGGAAGCAGTGCACCTCCTGGTCGTTGTCGACGTCGATGACGTCGTACCGGGAGAGCTGCCGGAACAGCGGCGTGAACTTGTCGAGCCACCAATCCTTGATCCCGCTGAGCAAGAACTGCACCTCGCCGCCGAAGTGGTTGGTGCTGGTGAAGAGCGGGACGAGCACGTCGGTGTAGTCATGGTACAGGTTGCCGGCGAAGCCGCCGCTGGAGAAGAGGAACGCCGGGACGGAGTGGTTGCGCGTGCAGAGCGGCGGCACGGCGGTGTGGTTGGCGCCGCCGAAGGGGACGAGCGTGAACTCCCGCACGTCGTCCATGGCGACGGCGTCGTGGAGGCGCGCGTACGGCTTGGTTCTCCACTCCTTGTCGAGCGGGTTGATGTAGATCTTGGAGTGGTTGCCGTCGACGCGGATGTCGCCCACGGCGGCGCACCGCTCCGACCGCTTGCTCGTGACGTAGCACGTCGGCCTGGTCGGGTCGAAGTCCTCCTCCCCTATCGGCCCCGTCATCTTGTACCTCGTGCTGTCGTAATCCTCGTCGATCTCCACCACCTCCATCTCCTCCGCCGCCTTGGCTGCAACCACAATTACTCACAGCTCATCACTCCATGAATCAATCAAAGCTCATCACTCCATGAATCGATCAAGAACAAGGAGGAGGAGGAGGAGGAGGAGGAGGAGGAGGAAGAAGCGTACGGAAGGGGGTGGAGCAGTAGCGAGCCTTGATGTAGGTGAGGACGCAGAGGGAGAGGAGCATGGTGATGACCATGGCGGCGTTGCCCATCCGCCGCGGCTCGGCGCGCCCCCGCGCCACATGATGGTGCTTCATCGGCGCCGGGCTCTCGCCGCGGGCGGCGCGCGCCGCAGGTGGTGGTTTGGTTTGGATCTGAAGGAAGCAAAAACGATCGGGCGTGAGCAGCAGAGAGAGGTTAGTAGTATTAAAGGCGGGGTCGGGGTGGCGTCGCGTCGAGTGGATGATGGCGAGGCGATGGCAACCAGAGGTTGGTGGCGTCGTGTGGTGGGTCGGAGCTCGCAACGGCGCAACCACTCACTACAAGCACAAGCAGCAGCAGCTGCTGCACAGTGCAAACGGCAAAGCAGAGCAGGCAGCTACAGCTACAGGGGTGGGGACGAGTAGACAAAGCAGTGGCCCAGCTAGCGCACCAGTGCACCACCAACAACAACCCGATCGCCGATCGCTCGCCGTCGATTGGCCGAGGCAGATAAGATCGCTTATTCACAGATGTACTGCAGTGATAAAGGGTGTATGGTTTCAAGGCTGAGGTACAATGTTTAACCTCTACCCCTAACACGTTCATAATTTTTTTTCTTAAAAAATGTTTGGAGGCAGCGCAAACGCAACAACGCTTTGTTGTTGATGGGTACGTGGTTCAACAAAAAAATCAAACCAGTTAAGCTTCGTTCACTTTTCAATTTTTTTTTTGGGACGCTCCTTCCGTCAACCCGGTGTTTTTCTTTGCGTCGATTATATGTGATGTTGGTGAAGAAACGGTCGCCTGCCTCGTGCTTCATGACGAGAGGTAGGTTGGTTCATTCACGCGTTGGCGTTGGCGTTGGCGTTGGCTACAGAATGGTGATCACAACAGATTCACAGATCTACCAAACGTTTGAGCCTACCAAGTACACGTACCAAGCTGCAGCGACACGTACAGCAGTGTGGAATAAATGGCATAAAAATGTACAGCAGATGGTGCCTGATTAATTCAGAGTTGCTCGCGGCGGCGCCGGGCAGCGAGAGGAACACTCGTGTCTCAGGCATGTTCATCCTCAAATCTCAACTGAATTTTTGTCAGGATGCTGCGGTGTCAATGCACGCGCGCTCACGTGTTTTTCCCGTTTCGCATTGGCTTTCAAACGCCGGAATCCAACACAACCGGGGGCTGGATTAAATTAAAGTTGACTCCTTCTTTCAACCATGATGTTAATTTGCTAAATTGATCATAAATCATGTACTAGTAATCAGGCATAGAGCTTAGCTTGTACAAACCTACAAGCTTAACTGCATAGTAGTGGACACATGAAACTTGAGGGAGAAAAGGAACCCATTTATCCACCCAATTAGTTGCTCGGTCATTCTCATCAACCTGAACGCAAGAACAAACCTGTATATATGCAACCACTTGACCAATCACTCGACAAGCAATGCCAATTCATGTTCTCCAATCCAATCTCACCAAATCGAGAACCAACATTTTCCAACGACAAAATAATACACTGAACCTATGCCTGCATTTGGAATTTTGGATCACTCGTTCAGTTCTTGCACCGTTTTATTAACCTGTAGCGATGTACTACCACCATCTGTTTCAGGGATTCAGAAAAAGAACTGAGAGAGACAGCGGAGCTTACTGTCGTCGTTGCTACGATGAAAAGGGTTGCTTTCAAGTGTCCATCTCTGTGGCAGGTGAATGGCTTCTTTATATAAGTCCCAAATGGATGGACCATTTGCCTTGGATCTTTGCTTTCATCTACTCTCTGCTCTGCCTCTATTTCTCCTTTTGTTAATTGACATGTCCTTGTTAAATACTTAACTATGTAGTCGCACTGAAAATAAAACTGTTGCTTCTGATGCAAATTTGCTAGAGCTGGCTACAGAATGGGCCTTGCTTGATGAATTGAAGCAAAAGCAACATTGCTAGCGACTTGGAGGAATTGGGAATATAAGATGTTGCTCGATCAGACAGCCATGAACTCCCAGCACCAATGCCCTGGGCAGCATGTGTTTTGTGGGGGCTATCTCGTACAAATTGGCCAGCGATCCAGCGTACCAAACCGATTTGTCGTGGGATTAACAATCAGTCGATCACAAGGCTACAAAAAACGGAGTTAATCAAATCGAAGACTGCGTCTGCGTTGGTCGTTTCATAATCACGTTCGACAACTTTCCATGTGTGAATAAACAAAGTCAATCATAAGGGGAAAGCACCTTTATCATAAAGGTTAAAAAATCATGATATATGATTACACACAGCAGGTTCTCAATTTTAGGTCTGTTCACTTTGATGTAAAAAAACATTACCAAATTTTAGCATTACCAAAATTTGGCATTACCAAAATTTTGGCATAGGCAGGATTTTTTATATGGTTACCAAAATTTGACAGCAAACTAAATGCAGCCACTTTTTTTACAGCTTTATCAAAATTTGGTAATGTTGAAAATGGCATCAAAGTAAACAGGCCCTTAGCAACTTGCCAATATTTTGGTAGGATTTCTTATATAATTACCAAAATTCAGCAACAAACTAAATGTAGCCACTTTTATGGTAACTTTACCAAAATTGGTAAGGTTGAAAATGACATCAAAGTGAACAGGCCTTTTTTTTAAACAAATGTTCTCAAAATTTATGGATTACATATTGATGTGCCTATTGAGGATGTGTTAGAGATACGATTACAAACAAGTATTCCTTCCGTATTTTAATGTATGACGCCGTTTACTTTTTGACCAACGTTTAGCCATTTGTCTTATTCAAAAAAATGTAATTATCATTTACTCCATCCGTCCCAAAATATAACAACTTTTAGCCCTCAAGATTTGTCCCAAAATATAACTTCTCCACTAACATTCTCTTTCCAACCAATCACACCCCTCCACCATTCACTTTCCCACCTACCTCCATTACTTAACCAATCACAACCATTTATCATTCACTTCTACCTACTTTCTTAATAACCATGTCCAACTCTAAAAATACTTATATTTTGAGACCGAGTAATATTTTATTATGACTTGATTTATCATCAAATGTTCTTTAAGTATAACATAAATATTTTTATATTTGCACAAAAATTTTGAATAAGACGAATGATTAAACATTGGCTAAAAAGTAAACGGTGTCGTACATTAAAATACGGAGGGAGGATGTACTTACATGTGATGATGATGTGTACGCGTATACATACAAGTACATTCTTACTTGCGGCCCATGTTGGTTAGACGGTCGTAACGGGATTACGATTTTGTGAAGCCCAAGAACTAGATTGAGGTCCTACGTGCGCTGGGCTTTCCTCTTACTTGCGGCCCATTTATGTTGGGCTGTCAATTTATGGGCCTCATTTTCTAAAGTGGCTCAATGAGGCCTAGCAAGGTTTATCACGGCGGGCCATGAATTTGGGATCCGGGCCTTTCCAATGCTTGCAAAATAAAGGAATAAGATCACTTTGACTCCCTCAACTGACCAACGAATCTAAATCGTATCCCTCAAGCGCAATACCAGAAATCTTATCCCCTGAACTTGTAAAACCGGTGTAATTTTACTCCCTTGGTGGTTTTGGATGGCGGTTTCGCTGACGTGGTGCACACGTGGCAGTGTTGACCTGATCTTTGTTCCACGTGGCATTTGACGTGGCGTTTATGTGGCATTAAAATAAAAAAATATATGCGGGGCCCATTTATCATTCACACAAAAAAAAATTGTGGGACATGTCATCTTCTCTCTCACTATCCTTCTTCCTCCTCTCTCCCTTATCTCTCTCTCTCTCTCCCCTTGACAAGAGCCGATGGCAGGCGGGGGCTCGGTGGCGGCATCAGCGAGTGGGTGCCCGGAGTGGTGGCTGTGGTGGGCGGTGGACCTTGGAGCAATAGCTTGCACGCCCCAACGCGCGGCGGCGGACTGGCCTCGAGCGCTCCGGCGTCGACCTGGCCATGATGCGGAACAGCGACTGGAGCTCCTCCTCCTCCGACACGGGCCCCCTCCCCGACCACGTCCGCCGCGAGACCGCCCCTTCTTCCTCTTGGACTTGCCGCCAGCCGTGCCCGCGGCGGCCTCGCGGAGGCTCGGGAAGTTGGCAGCAGGAGTAGGGGGCTCGGTGGCCGCCGGGGCGGCAGCGTTCTTGCGCTCCTCCACCTCCTCCTCGGTGCGCTCGGTGTCCTCCGCCGCGCACATTCCTTCGTGCCACCGTGCCCGGCTCGCTCCCTCCCCACCACGGCCGCCCCGCGCCATCGTCGCCGGAATCATCCTGCTCATCGCTGTTGTGCCCTCGCCGCCATGCCCTCGCCCCGCCACCATCCCCATCTCCCGTGGCGCCAGCGCCGCTCCAGTCCCGGACCTGCCGAAGCTGAATCCTTGCTACTGCGGCGGCGACGGCGGCGGCGGAGGCGGCGCGAAGACCGTCGGCTGCCGCTCCGTCCATTGCCCGCCGCCGCCGCTCCCCACGCACGAAGAGAAAGAGGGAGAGATAGAGAAGGGAGGAGGGGGAGGAGGAAGAAGAGATAGGAGAGGGTGACCTATGGGATCCACATGTCAGTGGGTCCCACAAATTTTTTTTGTGTGAATGACAAATGGGTCCCGCATATATTTTTTTATTTTAATGTCACATAAGCGCCACGTCAATGCCACGTGGAACAAAGACCAAGTCAACACTGCCACGTGTGCGCCACATCAGCGAAACCGCCATCCAAAACCATCAAGGGAGTCAAATTGCACCGGTTTTGCAAGTTCGGGGGTCAATATTTCTGGTATTGCGGTTGAGGTATACGATTTAGATTCGGTAGTCAGTTGATGGAGTCAAAGTGATCTTATTCCCAAAATAAAATCCCTTCTTTGCATGAATATTGTGAGTTTCACCAATACTATCACTGAATATTTTTTCAGTTTCTACGAAATTTGATCTGTTTTGCACATTAAAACTCACAGATGGCACTGGTATCTTGAATAATGAACCAGATTAGTACATTGTGATCCTGACAGGGCAACCTGTCTTGGCCACAACTAGCAATTTGTTGTTACAAGAGGTCAACCAGAGATTGACCTCGTTCTCACACTGACAAGCACATCCATTTTTACAACTTATTGCAAACAGGTCAACAAGACGTTGACCTCACCCACGCATTCGGAAGCTAAAAAAACTTTTTACAAGCAGCAAGCAGGTCAACAAAAAGTTGAGCTGCAGATGCTGAAGAAATGAAGATATCTGAACTTTGTCTGAAAAAAAGGAAAAAACTCTGAACATTTCAGAATTCAGACTGACGGATTGGCGTTCGTCAGTTGGTGCAGGAAGGGAAGACCCACACCGGCGGCGGCCACTTCCAGAGCAGGTCGCGCACGGCGCCGCGTGGCACCTTGTAGCTCCCGTCGGCGAGGTCGAGCACGCCGACGTCGGGAACCACCTCGTGGCACCTCTCGTGCGACCATGGCCCGTCGTCGGTGAAGTAGACGCAGTTGCCCTTCACCTCCGGGCAGCAATCCGCCGGGACGCACAGCGACGCGCTCTTGCCCAAGAACAGCGCGCGCCCGGCGAGGATGCCGGCGCCGGCGCCGTCCACCCGCGCCCACTCGCCATGGCCGCCGCCGGCGGCGTTCCACTCGAAGAGCTCGGCCTTGACGGTGGTGTACTCGACGCGTTCTTGCCGGGGCTCCCACTTGGACCGCGCGTGCGCCTTGTCCCTGAGCCGGTGCACCTGGAGCAGGTGTCCCGGCGAGAGCTCGACGAGGTATTTGCTGCAGGGGATCGACATGGAGCACGCGCGGCCGGAGCAGCAGCACGGCGGCGCGATCTCCCTGGGCGGCGGCGGCGTCGTGCCCGCCGCCGTGACGTCCATGTCCCATGCCTCGACGCGACCCACGGAGTCCAGCGTGTACACCGCTTGGTGCCCGTCGGCGGCGGGGGCGGAGGCGGCGCGCACGGCGTCGACCCAGCATCGTGATGGCATGTCGAGGAGAGTCCACTTCGTGTCCCCTGCTCTGGCAATGGCGAGACGGTACAGTGGCTGGCAGATGAGCAGCACGGCGTAGCCGCCCCAAGACCCCGGCGGCGTCGTCTGCCTCCGCGGCGGTGCAACGAGGATGGCCTTCTCGTAGAGCTCGTACCTGAGCCTGTCCGGCGCGAACGACTCCGGCGGGACGAGCACCTCGTCGCCGTCGTTGTCTCCATCGCCGAAGCAGCAGCGGAGGTCGTAGCTCGCGACACGGCCGTCGGCGTCGCGGCTGGCGTCGACGAAGGGCAGCGTGGTGACCGAGGGTAGCTGGACCTGCGCGCCGGTGAGCGGGTTCAGGAGGTGGAGCTCGGAGGCGGCGTCGGCGGTGACGAGCCACCCGTCGGACGAGCCAACACATAGCCGCTCAGACACCGGCGGCGCCGGCTGCGGGATGGCGTACGCCCTGCCATCGGAGAGGCTCAAGAACCTCGCCTCCAAGAACCTACCATCCCCACCGCCGCCGCCGCTCGGGCTCTGCCTGCGCGCCGTCGGGTTGAACGGGAGCATGAGCCACGGCGGCTGCGCGGCGCGAAACCGTGCGGTGGCGGAGGCCGCATCAGCCGACTGCCACGCCGTGCACACGCCGGGGAAGCGGAGGCGGTCCGGCACGGGGAGGCGGCCGAGCACGGACTCGAGGAGGTCCCGCGGGAGGTCGGCCCACCCAGGCCGCCTCACCGCGGCGCCGACTAGCTTGTTCATCGCCATTGCCAGAGCAGAGCAAAGCTCGATCGCATGACAAGGAGGAGAAGATCAGAGGAGGAGGAAGAAGAAGATGAGACGGTTTGCTTGTTGGGATTGCAAGAAACGCGAGGCGAGGTCGCGGCTTAACAATGGCCATGTCGCGCCGTTCCGACGTGCGGCGCGGCCCGTGTATTTGTGGGATGCCGCAGGCGCGGCGGTCAGAGACGGCTACTAGTTTTGGGTGCGGTCGCAGCATGGGACTGAGAGGGAGAGAGGCGGGTGGTGCGAACGGGAAGGCACGCGAACGCGCGGCGTGACACGGTGAAAATCCCGTGGGCGCTGGTGGTAAAACGTCGAACAGGTCGTCGGCGCGGGCAGCTGATTTTGGACGGGATGATGAGCAATTTGGTCCTCCAACTTTCTTACTCGTCTCACTTTGGTCCTAAAAGGGCCAATTTGGTTCATGAACTTCTTCGCTTTTTGCCCTTTTGTTTCAGATATTTTGGTCGTCCAGATATTTTGTCGATTGTTAAATAGATGAGGCTTATAGAATGTAGTGAAACTTGACATTTCTAATTATTAGTATGTAAATTAAATGTTAAGGTGTAGTATGTCAAAATATTCTTAATAGATTCATTATGTGGTTGTAGTGGTGGTTTTCGTCCAGTTTCCCCTAATTAATTGTGCGTTGTATGGTTTGGTTTCCTTTTTTTTTAAAAAAATGGGATGTCTTCTTTATATAAAACATTGGCAACAACCAAACCGTTTGAAAAAAAATGGATTCATTAACGGCCTGTTTGGTTGGAGGGAGTTGGTGATGGGGAATGGGAGTTTATGATATCTGGGAGTTTAAGTCTGTAGTTTGGTTGGAAGACTTGAGAATTCGAGGGGGTTTAGGATGGGGAATGATGGGGAATTAAAATGTCGAATTCCCACCAATCTCTTACCTGGGAGAGGCATGTTAATTCGTGAGACTTGGAGGGAATTCAATGTGAAACCAAACAAGGGATGAGGACTAAAAATGTAACTCCCATGACCAATCCCACCATTAACTCCCTCCTTGAAACTCCCATTCCTCTTCCCTTCTCTTGCCAAACTGGCCGTAAGCACTGGAGTAGTTATCTTCAATAATTTTTGTTCACAAATTATTATAAACATTAATGATCGAATATTTGTTTTGAGACTATGTAGATGTTCAAAACATAAAAATAAGATATCTCCCAGGTTGTTTCTCGACTTGTTTCTGTGGGTTTTCTGTGAAATATTTAAGATTGGATTTTATTAACTGGTTACAAGAAATGCTATTTATAAGTACCACTGAGAGATGGAGAAAGAGAACATTGCTTCTTATCCATACACGTCCATACCCAATCTGCTTCTCATCAAGTCACACCAATTAAAAAATCAATTCGAGAAACCAAACTAAGTACTCCCACCTTTCCTAAATGTTTGACGCTGTTGACTTTTTTAAACATATTTAAATGTTCGTCTTATTCAAAAACTTTTGTGAAATGTATAAAACTATATGTATAATAAAAGTATATTTAACAATAAATCAAATGATAGGATAAAAACTAATAATTACTTAAATTTTTTGAATAAGACGAACAGTCAAACATTTTTAAAAAAGTCAACGGTGTCAAGCATTTTAGGATGGAGGGAGTACTAGCTCTTTAACCAAACAGCCCGAGTTCATTAGTAGCCGCACAAAAGTATTTCGGTGTGTTTTTATGGTAAATACTTAATATAGTTAAATTTGCTCAGGCTTTTTTTTTTTTGAATTCTCCACCAGACGAAACCGATCGTTGATTAAAGTCAGGGGACCAAGCTGATCTGTAGTTTTTCTTCTTTTTTTTTTAAAAAAAAACTGATCAGTAACCCTTTTCTCCTTGTAATTATCTGAATTTCGTCGTTTGATTGTTGACTTAAGAGCATCACCAACAGACTACTTATCTGATTCCCAAAACTAATTTAATAGATTTTAGTCCAAAAAACAGCTCTAACAGATCTCCTACTCTATTACCAAAGTTTTAGAGTTCCCTTCTTCCGATTTCTCGCTCCGTTTATATGCGGACGCGAAAGTTGTGCTTCCAATTTCGCACTCCCGCCCCTCTCCTCCTGTTCCCGTGCATGGGAGATAGCGATCTTTCTGCGCGTGAAAGAAAAAAACGAAATTTTCTGTTGATAGTTTAACAGAAGAGTCCACTTTTAAGTTTTGGGGATTGAATTTAGGCTATATGTTGGAGTTTTTTCACTTCCTATTTTCAGTTTAGGAAACCAAAAACAATTTTTTAGGGGGAGATTATAGATAATCTGTTGGTGATGCTCAAGCAGTATCCAAAATTTAAAATTTGAAACTTAATCTTAGATCTGATTTTGTCATTTTATCGTAGCCTACTAATTTTCATCATTGGGTTATAAACCCCGAACAATATAATGTTTTTACCCATAAATTAATTTTGTTGCTTCATTTACTTTTTTATAGCTCATCATCTTTTTTTTTAAATGGCAGCTCTGTGACAGTGCAATCCTGTTCATTCAGTTCAGTGCACCTTGGCCCGCTTCATTTTTTTTTCTATAGCATGAAGGCATAATGGTCACTTGGCAAGCTAATGTTGCGGTACTACTCATGGCTTGACAATACTAACCAATAGGGTGGCATGCGCATTTACACGGCTAGATCTACTTTAAAATTTACTAAAATGATAATGGGATGGTCAAATCCTTACCATGCCAATGAGAATGGGATGGTCAAAAAATTTAGGTTTAGAAACGAGTAAAAAAAATAGATTTAGAGACGAGCCATATAAATTCCCTCATCACGCCACACAAACAGAAGGATAAATTTGATCCAATTACACACAAACAGACTCTTCTGAAAACTGAGGGACTAAAGTAAGCATTGATTAAAAGTCGAGGGACCAAATCAACCAAATCAACCAAATCAACCTCCTCCTTCGAGTTATCCTGATTCTGACGGCTGCTCCGTTGACGCTGTTCATTGGGTAAACTTGGGTTCAGAGCACCTTCGCGCGCTATATACATATCTGCGTATTTGTTATAGCAAGTGGCGTGTTCCAGCTCGAGATGCACCGGAGATAACCCCAGATAAGGATCAAAGGATTAGGCAATCTGTATGCGTACAGGTCACTGATGACCTGTAGATTTGCCCTTGCTTGATACTCTTCCAGTCCTCTTTGATCCTCTCCAACTAAGCATGCTATTACTTTAATAGTTTCCATGGAGTAAGAGCATGTGATTGTAATGGAGCTGATTAAATAACTGCAAGCACTAGAACAAACAGGGGCATGCGACCTGCTGTTGCAGACCTGAGACTTGCAGCTGTGGTTACAAGGAAGAAAGGTTGTGAACTTCTACCAGAGCTGCATGTTCAGTTCATCCACTCCTTCCTTTCTCTAGAAACAGAGGGAAAAAAATACAGTATCAGCTAGAGATCTGCAAAAATGAACATATATATGATTGAAGTGAGCTCTTTTACAGCATATTGAGGTAGCCACAAGTGACAAGTCAATTCAAGCAAGTTATGCACAACTACTGACGGCCACATATGCATTATTTGCTAGTGAAATAACAGAAGTACATATGTTACAAACTGCAAGCTTACAAGTTGTGGAAAATGTCCTTTGTAAACATCAGCCTCCTTGACTCATTTGTCATGGAATTGCAGGCCACACCAACTGCAGGCAATTGAGCAGGAGAGAACTCTCCAGGTGAAGCCACCATACTTTTGAAATTGTTGACATTGTTAAGTACCTCCTGCTGATAAACAAGTGGAAGCTGTTTGCTGTCAGAAGCTGAGGGAAATAATGAAGATTGTACTTCATATAGTTCAAGAAGAATGTCTGTTTCTACCGACAAGTATTAACTGACTATATGAATACATTGCACTACCTTGATGAACTGAAGAAGAAGAAAAATTAGTATAGCACGCTGATAACATATTTTAACTGAACTAGGCCAACGCAACGTATAAATTTCGGTTAACTGAACTAGGCCAAAACAGGGTATAAATTTCAGTTAATCAGAAAGGTACTTTACATATCGAGTCTAAGAGTGCCAAATTCAACGATAAGAACTGACACAAGGAAAATTTCAGTGAAACACAACAGTTTTCTCAAAGTTAATAGTTCCATTAAAACCCGGAACCGCTGAAAGATATGATAAATAGGAAAAGTTGACTGACCAAACAATCAGCTGCAGAGATGAACTTGTATGCTTTCACCAAGCAGTTTTTGTGTAATAATACACACGGTGGAAGAGGCACAAGTCATTTATTAACTTATATTGTGCATGGAAACAACTGTGAAGGTAAGGCATGTCCTAATCCAAAAGGAGGCCTGCACAGTAGATCAGAACAAGCAGGTTGGTCAGATAGATGAATTAAACAATAGCAGTGGTGTGCCAAACAGAATGTGAACTGGGGATGTGTCATGTCAAACAAGGGTGTGTTTTGTTACCATTACCTTGGATTAGTAGTATCGTCTGTCTTTGATGATCGGAATGGTTCCTCTCAGGTCGCGGCACTGCCTTTTGAGCTCCTCGTTGTTGCTAGAACGGACATCTAGTACTTCCAGTGAACTCGGAAGGCCGCCCTTGGGCAGCGAACGGATGGCTGGACAGGACCAGATCTTTAATCTCTTGAGGCTGGTGAGTCTGTGTAACCCAGTGGGGAGGGACTGCAGCTCCGAGCAGTACCAAAATTCAAGGTCCTGGAGGGAGGAGAGGAGCAGAAGTGCCGCGCTTTGCTCCTTTGTGAAGCGCTCCACCTCGTCGTTCCAACTAATGGTTAGGCTGGTGAGTGAGGAAGCAAGGAGGCTGCAGATGGGCGCGGCAAGGACCTTTGTGATGTCATCTGTTTGGAGGCACTGCAGCCGCAAGGAGTCAGAGCCACACCCGACGAAGAATTTGGGGGTCTCGAAGATGTTCAGGTTTGTGAGTTGGCCATGGGCGAGGAGAGAAGACAAGTCCTCACCTCTTAAATCCATACATTTCCGTATGGTTAATCTGGTGAGAGAGCTGAGGTTTGAGAGAGGCGCCAGAGTCTCCATGCCTCCCACACCATCAAGATGCAGATATTGCAGGGAGGATGGAAATGGGAAGCAAGACGAGGAGGAGGACGAGTAGTAGGAGGAGAGGAAATTGGGGCAACCCCGAATAGTGAGTGTTCTTAGGAAGTGCAGGCCTTGTAATCCTCCTCCTATGCTTCTTAAGCCTCCTGCCATGCCATCTACGAGAGAATCAAACTGCAGGATCAGCTTTGAGATATTCTCTATGTACAAATCCTGAAGTTGGTGAGGCAAGAGCAGCAGTCCTGCATCAGCTGCTGCTTTCTCATCCTCTCCTCTTAGTTGCTCCTGCTCCTGCTCCTGTCCTATATGTGCATCCTCCAACTTATGACCAGAAGGTGACGACGACAATGCTGACATTGCCATTGTCTGCTCCTTCGCCACACCAAGCACTCTTATCTTCCCACAACCTTGTAATGAAAACATTGACAGCTTGGGGAAAAGAGACAGCAACAGCGTCAGTTCCTTCCCGCTACAGCTACAGTCATCGATACTGAGACCCTCAATCTGAAATTGGTAGCCGACAGTGTTCTCAGCTTCAACATTCAACAAGACATTACTTGAATCATGTATCGTGGGACTCCTCAAACATGATAGCACTAGGAGATGTTTCAGTGGCAAAGGAGGACATTTCTTCAAATACAACACTTTCAGTTCAGTTAGATTACTAAATGCCAATACATTCCAGAATGACATATCTAGATGGCCATCCTTTCCCACAACTTTCAAGCAAAATTCAGATTGGTTATTTTTTGAGTAATCCAACCGCTGAAAATCTGATCCCACTTCATCAATAAGAACACGACATGGAGAGCTTGTCCAAGGAATGTGAGGAAATGATGACAGCTTTGGACAATTTACAACCTCAAGCTCCCTTAGTGTAGGGAATTGGGTCAAGTTCATCTCCTGTCCTGATCGAGGGCAAGTTGAATGTGAAAATGGCAACTCCATAAGTTCTGGGCAATCTCTTATAATGAACACCTCTAGCAGGGAGAACACATGGGAAGCATCATTTCCAACCCATTTTGCTAGCTGTGGTATGCCAAGCAGCTCTAACCTTTTTAATTTTTGAAAGCTCTGACTTGTTGTACAACCCAAGGATTCTTCACCGGACGCATTAACCAACCACAACTCACCTAGAGGGGGAAATTTGTTCCACTGTATGCTATCCAAACGAAGAGCTTGCAAGTTTTTGGTAGACAAGTTAACACCCAACCATGATGGGCAAGATTGCTATGTGGTTTAAGATTTTCAAGAACATGTTCTGCTTGTGAAGAATCATCAGACCAAACTAATACTAACTTGTGTAAGTGCCTTTTGTTTAAAAGGTTTGCTTCCTCCCCTGTCTGTGCATTTTCAAGATTATAAATGCACAGTGATCCTTTTAGCTCTTCCAACTGCCCTATCTGTCTTAATGCAAATGCCTCAGCTTGTCCTTTGACTTCAAATCTCTTTAATTCTTGTAAGCATTTCAGCTTTCCCACATTAGCAATGGCAGAGTGAAAAGAATCATTTGGGTCAAGAAAATGCCGCAGCTTTATAAGGTTACTCATATCACTCGGTAAATTAAAGTGACCACTGCATTGCCGTACATCAAGGATCCTCAAGTGATAAAATCTTGAAATGATGTTGGATAGACTTAATTCTTGAAAATACCCTTTCACAATCCTTAGATAGTAAAGTTCAGTTTTGGGGATTTTTTCTGGTGTGTTGTTCACAGCCACACACACACACTATTTCACTTAGCTACATATGCAAGAAGGTCCCCAATACAAGTGCATATTACATCAGCACTCCCCCTCAAGATGGGCAAAAGATATCAATCATGCCCATCTTGTTACACATTGACTCACTCTCACTAGGACCTAATCCCTTGGTTAAACAATCAGCTAGCTGCTCAGAAGATTTAATGTATTGTAGTCTAAGAGCCCCATTATCGATCTTCTCTTTGATGAAGAACCTATCAATTTCGATATGTTTGGTGCGGTCATGTTGAACTGGATTGTTTGCAATGTTGATAGCAGATTTGTTGTCACAATGAAGCACCACAGTATTATTTCTGAACAACCGTAGCTCCAACAATAGATTCTTCACCCACAACATCTCACTTAAACTCAATGCCATGGCTCTATACTCAGCTTCCGTGGTAGATCGAGCCACTACCGCCTGCTTCTTGCTTCGCCAACAGACAACATTGCCACCCACAAATACACAATATCCTGATGTAGATCTTCTATCATCCACACTGCTTGCCCAATCAGCATCACAATATCCTTCCACATCCAAGTGTTGGTTCTTTCTAAACCACAACCCCTTACCAGGAGTTCCTTTCAAGTACCTCAAGATCCTATGAACCACCTCTAGATGAGTTGTTCTAGGATCATGCATATACCTACTAACCACACTCACCGCATAAGAGATATCTGGTCTCGTGTGGCATAGATATATCAAACGTCCAACCAACCTCTGATAAGTTTCCCTATCAACTGGATCACCTGACTGTGCACTCAATTGGTGATTCCTATCAATGGGAGTAGCACTTGTACGACATCCAAGCATTCCGGTTTCTGTTAACAAATCAAGGACATACTTTCTTTGAGAGAGAACTATCCCCTTTGATGATCGAGCAACCTCAATCCCAAGAAAGTATCGAAGAGGTCCAAGATCCTTCACCTCAAAGGCCTCTCCTAATCGCTGCTTTAAGCATTTGATCTCTTCTACATCATCTCTAGTGATCACTATATCATCAACATAAACAGCCAAGATAGTGATGTGTGCCCCCCTATGTCTATAGAAAACTGTGTGATCTCCATTACATTGTGAATATCCCATATTGCACAATGCACGCCTAAACCTGTCAAACCATGCACGTGGGGATTGTTTCAAACCGTACAAGGACTTCTTGAGCCTACATACCTTCCCAACAGTCTGGCTATTTCCAAATCCAGGGGGAATCTCCATATATACCTCCTCTTGTAAATCACCATGTAGAAAAGCATTCTTGACATCTAACTGATGAAGAGGCCATCCAAAGTTAACTGCACATGATATCAAAATCCTCACCGTACTCATCTTAGCCACAGGTGCAAATGTTTCATCATAGTCAATTCCATATGTTTGACTATAACCTTTTGCAACTAATCTTGCTTTATATCTATCCACTTTCCCTTCAGGGGTTTGCTTCACTGTAAATACCCATTTACATCCCACTGCTCTTTTCCCCATTGGTAGTTTCACAAGTTCCCATGTCTTATTCTTTTCAAGGGCACGCAACTCCTCCTTCATTGCATCCTTCCATCTTGGATCTTGTTTTGCACATCTCCAGTCCTTTGGAATAGGCACTATTTGCAATGATGCAATGAATGCTTTATATGCAGGTGAAATATGAGAGTATGAGATATAGTTTGCAATGTCATGTCTAGAACTAAGGTGTTCAAAACCAAGGCGTATAGGAGGTCTTCCAGCATTAGATCTAGTTTCTCTACGTTGTGCAAGAGGTAACTCTACTTGTTTAAAGGTAGGAGAAATGTTACCACTTGTCTCAAGGAGGGAGGAACTTGTTGGAGAGAGGCTAGAGGAGGAATCTGGGACTGGGTACTCAAACTGCTGCAGCTGTTGTGACTCCTTGTCTTGCTCTTGCATAGGCTCACCACTTCTCTCCCCCTGATTCTGAATTTGGCTCCTCTGGTGCACTTGCTCCTTCCCTGTCACCTTATCAACTTGGTTCTTGTTCCTTCTTTGATATACTCTCATTTTAGTTTGTTGTACTTCCACACGCTCCAGAGGACATGGGATTGTCCCGACAACTACCCCCTCATCCTTGTCACAACTAATGTCTACTACCTTCTCACCAATGTCCACAACCTTCTCAATAGTATCACCAACAAAACTCGGAATTGACCCAATAACCACATCCTCATCACCTTGCTTATGTGCATCAACCTCAACTATCTCCCCCTCTCGACTGTCGATCTCGATGACAGTTGAGAACTCCTCTAGAAATTAATCAAGGTCTCCTCGACTCCTGTAATAAGGTTCAAACTCTCGAAATGTTACATCCATACTAACAAATAACCTCTTCCCAATAGGGTCCCAACACTTATAACCTTTCTGGTTAGATGCATAGCCAACAAAGACACATTTTACTGCATGAGGATCCAACTTGCCAACAAAAGGTCGATGATCTCTCACAAAACAAACACAACCAAATACCTTTGGGGGAACTTTAAATTCTCGCTTCCCAAGTAAAAGTTCAGCTGGTGATTTCATACCAAGTATCCTGGATGGCATGCGGTTGATAAGGTATGCGGCTGTCATCACTGCCTCACTCCACAGATACTTAGGTACGTTCATTTGAAACATTAATGACCGAGCCACCTCTAGCAAATGCCGATTCTTCCTCTCAGCTACACCATTTTGAGGGGGGGCTCCAGGACAAGTGGTTTGATGAATAATTCCATGATCTGAGACATATGACACAAACTCACTATTAATATACTCCGTCCCATTGTCAGTTCGAATAATCCGAACCCTTGCATCAAACTGATTGGTAACCAATTTGTGGAAGTCTTGAAAGCAACGAATGACCTCATTCTTATGTCTAAGCATGTAAATCCAAGTCATACGAGTATAACAATCAATAAAGGTAACAAACCATTCGAATCCACTCACAGAAGTAACTGGGCATGGTCCCCAAACATCAGAATGTATTAATATAAAAGGTTCACAACTACGAAGACCAATTCCAGCATATGTAGACCGTGTATGTTTGCCAAACTCACAAGCATCACAAACAAGTCTACTCTTGTCCACTTTGGTAAAGAGGTCAGGATACAGCTTACTCAAACTCTCGAAAGATGGATGTCCTAATTGACAATGAAGCAAAATAATCTCCTTCTCAGTATCTCCCACTACTACAGCCAATCCCATCTCCTCTTGATTGATGTACCACAGCCCATTACGCCTGACTCCAGTCCCAATCCTCCTCCCAGTCCCCTTCTCCTGGAAGAGACATGAATTCTCATCAAATATAACGATGCACTTGAATTGATCAATGATAGAACTAACAGAGAGGAGGTTGACTGGAAAGGAAGGGACATGCAAAACAGATGACAAGCTAATAGATGGAGTGCACTCTACTGACCCTATACCATGAATGAGTTGAGATGAACCATCAGCAATTTGGATAGTTTCAGAGGGAGCAATAGGGGAGTATGAGGAGAAATTATTAGGCAAGCCTGTGACATGTTTTGATGCACCTGAATCTATTATCCAGTCTACATGATGTCTATATGTGGATGCAAGTGCATGTGCCTGAGTACCTTCGCCCGTGTGGGCGTAGTTGGCAAAGTTACCGAAGTGGCTGGTTGTTGCTTTAGCAGAATTTTGTTGATTGGAGTCCACGGGGCCCTTATTCTTTTGCCATTCTTCCCATTGTGCAGCTTGTTCACCTGTTAGAGTGATAGATGAGCTCTCCCCCATGACAACATTGGCCCTAGGACCACCTAGGCCTCTACCTCGACTTCCACCACGGCCTCCACGTTCACCTCCTCGGCCACCTCGGTCTCCTACATAGCCACCATAGCCACCACGGCTCCCATTGAAGCCACCAAAGCCACCACGTGCTCCTCCACGAGCTACACCCCGACCATTATTGTTCCTAGGAGAAGGACAATTGTAGCTCACATGCCCCTTTAACCCACAATTATAACACTCCCTGTCATTAATTGTGATGTATGCAGACCTCACAGGATTACTTCCTTTCATCACTTTCTGCCTCATCTCCTCCTGAACCATGGCTGAAATAGCTTCCTCCATATTAGGTAATGTAGCTTGGTGAAACATAGCTGCTCTTCTATCCTCAAACTCCTTGTTCAACCCCTTTAAAAAATGAATGACTCTTCTCCTTTGCAGCCATTTATTTCCAATCACAATATCATCATCATGCTTTAATTGTAGGGGATCATAATGATCAAGATCTGCCCATAAATGTTGCAACTCGCTGGCATACTCTTGAACTGTTCTCCCTTCTTGCTTCAGATTCTCTACCTTGTCTTGAGCCTCAACCATCATCATAACATTTCCCTCTTCTGAATACATGTTGCTCAATGTCTTCCATATAATTGTTGCATTCTGAATAGCTTCTATCATCCTAGCAATAGATGGGGACACCGAAGTCATCAGCCATGCTACCACTGTAGAATTAGTGGCATTCCACATCTTCCATTCCACACTAGATTTATCAATAGGTTCAACACAAGTTTCCTCTAAATAATGTTCTACACCTTTTGCTCTCAGCATCAACCTTGCCCTTCTAGACCAGCTCAAGTAGTTTTTGGTCCCCTCCAACCTCACTTCATTTGGCATTACTTCCAATTTTATCTCAGATGGTCCTATCCCACTCCTAAGACCCATCATACCTGTAGCTATGAGGTCCTGCAACAGACTTTTCATCTCACCTTTAGTGAAAAAAGAAGATTCTCCTGCCACACTTTCCTTCTTCCCAGCCTGCAGTGCAGCATCCTCCTCAGCCTTTCTTTGTTCTTGAGTACCCTCGGTGTTCACCATCTTCTCTGCACTCCAAAAACCACTCTCAATAGATCACTGGTACCCCACTTCCCCTGCTTCCCCTTATCAACAATGGTAGGAAAAACTCTCCTCTAATCTTGGATAAAAGAAAAAAGGACCAGGCTTCTTCCCCTCACAGACCACAAGTCAAATGCTCCTCCATCCAGGCAGTAGCCAAAAAACAAGCAAAAACAAGAGACGTACCACCTCCTTCCTAGTTCCTGCAGCAAACAATCCTCCTATGTCACCAAGTCTGCAGCCAAGCCACCATCCTCCTTTTCCCTTAGCTGAGCTCCTCACATTTCCTGCGTGAGCAGCAGGTTACAACACACGCGCTGCGCCCGCGCGGCCGCGCGCAGCGCGCGCTCACCAGCCCCTCAACGTGGCTGTGTGTAGAGGCTGGTCAGGCCGGATGAGAGCAGGGGCGACGTGCGACGACGGCAGCGGCGACGGTGGCGGCGATGGACGGCGGCGGCGGCGGCAGCAAGCTAGGGTTAGGGCTCTGATACCATAAAGTTCAGTTTTGGGGATTTTTTCTGGTGTGTTGTTCACAGCCACACACACACACTATTTCACTTAGCTACATATGCAAGAAGGTCCCCAATACAAGTGCATATTACATCAACAGATAGCGTAGATGGACAAGTTTCGAGAAGTTACGCAACATATTCTCCATATCATAAGATGCATTAAACATCAAGATGACACGGAGTGCTTTTGCTTTACTCAACAAATTACCAAAAGGAATGACAAAGCTCCCATGATATTGTCCAAATAGCATCAAAGACTGTAGTTTTTCAACATCTAGTCTCTTATGTAGAGTGCTAAAATCCTTCTTAACATTTTCAAAAGTCACTCTATGATTTACATCCGTGTCGTCTATCACAATAGACAAATGTCGTACAGATGGTGGAATTTGCACACTTCTCACACTAGAACTACTTATAGCAAGATATTCATATGATGAAACCTTTAGTGCTAACTCATGTAGTAGGTCATGCATTGTATAGTACGGAGACCCATTTTTGTTCATGTCTTTTCTAAAAAATCCATAATTAACCAAATCATTCAAATAGCTCAGTCCTATCTCTTCGACTTTTTTGTTTTGATTCCGCGATTGTAATATGTCTAGTCCTATCCACAAGTGAATCATCTCGTCACTTTCAAATCTGTAATCTTCAGGGAACAGAGCACAATATGTAAAACAATGCTGTAGATGAAAAGGGAGATAGTCATAGCTAAGCTTTAGCGCTGGCATAATATCATTCTCACCGGTTTGCAGTTCCCATTCTCTACTTTCGAGGACACTTGTCCAATGCTCCAAGTCAAGGTGATTTCTCAATAACCGTCCTACAGTTTTTGCTGCCAAAGGGGAGCCCTTCAATTTTTCCGCTATCTTCTTCCCAGTGACAAGTAAGTCCACGTGATTGCCTATTGATTTCTCATCACCAAATACACATGCTTGGAATAGTTCCCAAAACACTTCAGATTCTAGCCCTTCCAACTGTATTGAATGATCAATTGTTTTAACCATTTCTGCGACTGCTAGAAAACGAGTGGTGACTAGAATTATATTTCCCGTTGATTGTGCTTTTCTTAGGGGTGCTAAGAGCCTTCTCCACTCATCCTCATTACCACAATTCCACATATCATCCAAGACAAGTAAAAACCTCTTTGATTTCAACCTTTGCTCAATTAAATCGTCTGGGCCACCAGATTTCTCATCTTTGAGTTCAGGCATTAACTTGGCAATCTCCTCTTTCAATCTATACACATTGAAATTGAGAGAGACACAGACCCAAACCTTAACATCAAAATGGTTCTGTACCTCCTTGTATATATGCTGAGTGAGAGTTGTCTTTCATATCCCACCTGAACCAACAATTGGAATGATGGTCAGGTCTTTGCCACAATAATCACCCCGAGTAATGCCAATAATTTTATTTATCTCACTCATCCTCCCATGAAATTTAGGGTCTATAAACTCTGAAGTGGTTACAGGCCGGCTCATAGCAACGCTGCTTGGAAGAAAAGGTGCTTGCCCTGGCATCCGGGAAAGCGCAGCATTGAGACTCATGAGGCCAATGTTGCGGTTTGATTCCAACAACTCCAGATTAAGGATGGTGGAGACCTTGGCGCAGACTGGTTTTAGCTGCTCGACGATGTGCTTCATTCTTGTGGACAGATCCACCCTGTCAAACTTCAGCTTTGGTGTTTTCATGGTGTGCTCTATGTGCGATGCTTTGCAAGGATAGGCGCAGCAGAGGAACTGGCTTCTTTCTGTAGGAATGTTGCAATGGTGATAAAGGTGTCACAACCGTCATGTTCAGTTACAAAAGAGAGGCGTGGAAGGTGTTTATATTATCAATGAGATGGATAGTAAGTACCTCGAGCATTGGAAAAGAGCTTGTGAATGCAGCTGCTGCCTGCAAGTGCTTCCCCATCGTTGGTATGGCGACTCGCTTCCCCATTATCTCCGCATGAGCACGCCTTCTTCTTGATGTTTCTGACTGTGCGGCGTGTGTTGAGCACGAGGCCATAGAGGCAGCCCTTGGCGTGCTCTTCGGCGGCCTCGTAGGTGCCATCAAGCTCGTCCTGGATGCGGAAGTAGTCGAGCTCGTCCAGCACGTCCTCGGCGTCGTAGGCCAGGCCGCGGAGCTTCAGGAGCAGCTGCTGCAGCGCGGGGTTGCTGGTCTCTCTGCTGCGAGCGTTGTGCAGCATCCCCTGCGCATAGAGCAGCTCCATCTTGATGGCGTCGACATTAGGGCCGAGCTCCGTGGTGGCAGCCCACGCCTCGACGAACCCTCCCGACAGCGGGCTCAGCGCCTTGCCGACCACCCATCGCGCCGCGTTCACGGCCACCGACTCCATCGCGCGCTCTCCTCGACACCGGGCACGAGTAGGATCTCTCAGCTAAGCCGGTGGTCGACCAGAGAGATCAGCGTACAATGAAACTGCACAGATTCACAGAGAGGTAGTAGTAGCAGTGGCAAAGCAATAAAGGCCTTTGTTTTGATTCCCTCCTGCTTTATCCTTGTGGCAACTTTGGTTGCACCTTTATTCTAAAAAAAAGAGGCAGTCAATGAAAAGGGGCAGTACTCTTGCCCTCTTATTCTAAAAAAAAAAAAAAAAACTTTGGTTGCACCTTGACTCCTACGATCAAAGACAGCCTGGGACTGCGGCAGCATCTGCTTCGCTTCGTTTGAGATGGTTCATGTCTGGACATCCGATGCGGCAGCAGGCCAGCAATCAAGCATCTGTTCGATGCTTCCTTCGCTACCCTGATCGTGAAATCTCCATGTGCCGATGGGCATGTCACACAGTCACAGGCATGAATTCCTTGGGAATCACAGTGCCAGGCTGCTGCTTGTGCTGCACTACCTGCTGCGCAACCAAGAAGTTTTGTGTTCCTCTTCAGCTGCTTCTCTGAGGAAAAGATAGACAAACCTGGTTTGCACAGTAAAAATTTTGCCTGCAGACGAAACGCTAGAGCAGCATGGAGACTCTTTTTCCCAGTGCCGAACCAACAAAATTGTTCTAAAGTAGATGATGCACTATGCAAGTTCTCAAGAGGATTCAGAAATGGAAGGTGGAAGAAAACACAGAGCAAACAGGAAATATAACCAAACAGTGCCCATTGCTTGATTTAAAGATGGTACATTTCGGAAATGGTGGCCTCTCCTTGAGTGAAATGTTAAATTGATTGGCTACCTACGATAGTGCATTTTAAACTCTCGCGGAACATCTCCTCATTGTCTGGGTAATCCAAATAGTTATGAAAACAAAAATTAAAGAAGACGTATTAATATGTGATATATCACTCTACAAACATAAAAGTTAAACTATAGCTATTCACAATAAAATTTATTATTTTCGTTGTAACATGTAGAAGTTAAATTTAATATTACACGTTTGTAGAGTGATCTATTACATATTATTATCTTCTTTTATGGTTTTTCATAATCATTTAAGTGACATGCAAACAACGGGGATGTCCCCTCGAGAGCTTTGAATAGTTCCCGCTAATTACCACTTTCTCTTTTAAAAGGAGAATCTTTGCTTTTATTGAAAGCAACATAGCAGTACTGATCACTAGTGAGTAATGATTCTCCCTGATCCACATCAGCTTACCAGTCACTTGTTTCTATCATCAGTCCAATTTGATAGCAGTGTTGCCTGCACATCTTGCATTTTCCAATTTCTACTCCCTTGTTTTTTCGCTGCGTGCACATTTCCTGAACAGCTAAACCATGTGTTTTTTAAATCTATACCTAACTAAAAAATGCATATGGCTTTCACACCTATTTTCGTCAATCCCTTCCTCCCTCCCTCCCACACAGCGCCCTCCTTCCCGGCGCCCCATCTCTTTTCGTCCCTCCCTCCCTCCCGTGCGCCTTTGTGTAGCGCCCGTTCCGTCGTGGCGCCTAGCGGGAAAATTATCTCTTAAAAAATCTAATTGCGAAATTTGTTTATTTGCTTGTTGTCTAGTGTCCGTGCCATCTCAAGATCTCAAACCCCGATCTATCGTCGAGTTCAAATCCGAATCCAAATCCTTCCAAATCAAATTCCTCCGCAAAAGTCTATTTTGCCTCCCCCGGGGGGTCGATGGGCCGATTTCCTCCCGGCCCATCTCCCCCTCTCCCCCGGCCCATCTCCCCCTCTCCCCCGGCGCGCTCCCGCTCTCTCTCCCTCTCTCTCGCTCTCTCTCGCCCCCTCCCCTTCCCGGCGCGCTCCCTCTCCCCTCTCCCTCAGCTCCGCTCCGCTCCGCCCGCGCGCCGCGCGCGCGTGCGTGGGAGCCGCGCCGAGCGCTCCTCCTCCTCCGCTCTGTCCGCGCGCGTGCGCGTGAGTCACCGCGCCGAGCGCCTCCTCCCCTCGCTTTCCTTCTCCTCTCCCTGGCGAGCTCCCCGCTCGCAAAGCCGGCCCCCGCGCGCTGTTGTTCGCGCGCGCGCCCGCGTGGTCCTCGCCCGCACCGCGTGGTCGCCGCCCGGCCCCGCTGCCCTGCCGCGCCTGCAGCCGCTCGGCCCCGCAGCCAGCGCGCGTGCTCGAGCCGCGCCTCTCCATCCGCTGCGCCCTCCCATTGCAAGCCGCGCGCGCGTGCCGAGTGGCCGACCATCTGGTCGCCGCCGCCGTCACCCTCTACCGCGCCAGCCCGCGCCTATCGCCCGTGTCGTCGCGCCGCTCCAAACCGCCCCGCCGTCATCGCCGTCGTCATCGCCTCGGCCCCGCCACTCCGCGCGCAAGCCGCCAAGGGACGGAGGCCGAGCCCTCCTCCCTCTGCCTCGACGCCCCCGCTCCCCTTCCCCTTTTCCCAAAGAAGAAAGGGGCGAGCCCCCCTTTCTCTCCCTCCTTTTTCCCCTTTTCCTCCCGCCGGCGTCATCCTCCCTCCCTCCTGTCGCCGTTTTGGCCGCTAGCCGGAGCGACAGCTCGCGCCTTGACCGCCAAAGTCGGTTTCCAAACTGACATTGCCGCCCCCTATAAACCCAAGCGCCCTCCCTTCCCTTTTCTCCCATTCTTCCCTGTTTCTCGCCCGCGCCATTGCCGTCCCTCTCGCCGACCGCAGCCGTCGCGTGTGTGCCGGAGGAGCCGGTGCGCACTAGGACGCGGAAGGGGACTCCGGGCGCTCGTCTTCCTCCTCTTCCCCGGCCCGAGGCCGGAGAGATCCCTCCCGCGCCGTCGGCCTCTCGTCACAGCGCCCCTCCTCACCTCGGTGATGCCTCCCTCCGTTCTTCCTCCTCGCTCCATCTCCTCCCCCTAGCTTTCGGTAGTAGCTCGAGTAGACTCCCCGTAGTTAGCCGGCGCCGCCCCGACCGTTGCCGTCGCTCGCCGTGTGCTCGCCGCCGTCGCCGCTCGAGCTCCGTAGCACCCACACGTCGCCAGCCTCGCTCGGCGTAGCTCCGTCCAATCCGACGCTAGCATCGAGTTCCCGAAACCGCGTAGATGCTCTCACCGCCGGGAATCGGTCCCTCGTGACCTCGTCGGCGTTTCCCTCTTCCCTCCCCGCCGGTTGTCGCCGCCGCGATTCGCCGCCGTCGAACTCCCTCTGGCGAATCCGAGCCGTTGGCTCGTCTCCCCTCATCACGAACAACCGCCCGGTGTGCTAGCTTTTGCCCGTATCGCCGTGGTTCGCTCCGCCGCTCGCCGCCGCCGCCCGCCGTCCATTCGCGGCCGGGTCGTCGTCTACCTCCCGCCGGCCCGCGTGGCAGCCACGTAGGCGCCACGTCGGCGCCAGCTCAGCCTAGACCGGGTCGAGCCGACCCCGGTCAGTCCCTCCCCGTGCGCGCGTTCCACCGCGAGCCGTGAGGCTGCGCGTGGGCCCGCTGCATCCGCGTCCACCGCGAACCGCGCGCGTGCACCGCGTCCCTCCCCCGCTCGCGCGCATGAGCCGCGTACTCCCTCCGCACGGTGAGCCGAGCCGCTGACAAGCGGGTCCCACCCGGGGCCGCGCATGGTGAGCCCGGTCCACCGGCTCTCTCTCTCCTCCCTCCCGCGCGCGCGCGTCTTGGGCCGCTCTGGGCCACCTTCTTGGGCCGGCCGGCCCGTTAAGCTCGGCCGAGCCGCCCTTTCTCTCGGGCCGCGCCCTAGCCGCCCGAGGGAAGTCTATATTCCCTCCCTCTCCCCTTTTCTTTTCTTTTCTTTTCAAAAAAAAAGGATTTAATTAAATCCTTTTCCTTTAGACCAAAAATCCAATAATCTTAGAAATTCAATATCTTTCCAACCGTAAATCCGTTTGACTCCGTTCAAATTCCAAAATTTCTCAAATCTCGAGATCTATCTAATGGCACGCTTAGAGGTCATTAATAGGGCTTTATTTTCGCCGTTTGTTGAGTTGTCCCGTTTTGCGTGTAGTTTCGGAGCCCGAAGACCCGCAGTGCGAGGATTTCGAGGATCAAGCCCCAGATCTCGAGCAAGGCAAGCCACCTTTGAACATCTTGAGCCTATATTTGAAATCTAATTATATTGCTTGCAAAATATTATGCATTGATAGGATTGCACTTAATCTGTTGTTCCGTCTGCAAGGCAGATTGGCAGACCTACCTAACTTGTTGCATTTGATCCTTCCATTGTTAATTGCTATACCATGTCCCCTTGTAACCATCCAGTTGTGCCTCGATATTCGTGCACCCTGTGCCAGTATCGACGGTCGCCTTCAAACTTAAAATCTGAGTAACAACTTGGGTAAAACTGGAGTTTTACAAAAGACTTGGAAAACCCGACACCTGGGTCGGTGCTTGCGAACTAAATGAATTTCCAAAACCGCGGACCGGGGAATGTACCGGGTGTACGGTTTCCCGCTCTCGCACTTAAGGACCGATTCCTTGGAATTTCATCCAAACATAAGACAAGTACGACCACATGGGTGGAATGGGACACCCCTGGCTGAGTAACTAGCTTATCAGGGGAGCCTTGATGCCGAGAGACATGTGGATTCGCCGGGGTGGTGTCGGGGAGGACCCCTGGGCTTCCTGGCACAGTATGGTCTGGGACCTAACCTGTTGTTGGTCTGGGACCCCTCTCGTCGGCATATGGTAAACCTGTGTCGGCTTTGGAAATGCCTTGTCATGAAAGCTTGGAGGTCTCCCGACGTGGCTGATCCCCACGGGCTGGGTGATCCGGGTTAGTAATGTCGTGTGGGTAAAGTGTACCCCCTCTGCAGAGGTTAACAAACTGTTCGAACAGCCGTGCCCACGGTCATGGGCGGATGTGTAGCGCCCGTTCCGTCGTGGCGCCTAGCGGGAAAATTATCTCTTAAAAACCCTAATTGCGAAATTTGTTTCCTTGCTTGTTGTCTAGTGCCCGTGCCATCTCAAGATCTCAATCCCCGATCTATCGTCGAGTTCAAATCCGAATCCAAATCCTTCCAAATCGATTTCCCTCCGCAAAGTTTAGTTTGCCTCCCCCGGGGTTCGATGGGCCGAATTCCGCTCGGCCCATCTCTCTCTCTCTCTCTCCCGGGCTCTCTTTCTCTCTCTCTCTCTCCCTCCCCCGGCGCGCTCCTTCACCCCCGCTCAGCCTCACCCGCGCGCTGCCCGCGCGTGCGAGAGCCGCCCCGAGCGCCTCTCTCCCTCCGCCCCGCTCCGCCCCGCCCGCGCGCCGCGCGCGCGTGAGCGCGTGTGCCGCCGCGCCGAGCGCCCCCTCGCTCTCCGTCTCCCCGTCCCTCGCTGCCGCTCCCCGCGTGCCGTTGCTCGCGCGCACCCGCGCTGCCGCCCGGTCCCGCCAGCCCGCGCCTGTCGCCCGAGCCGCGCCGTTCAAACCACCGCGCCTCCCGCTGTTTTCCCGCGCGCGCGTGCCGAGTGGCCGACCGCTCGGTCGCCGCCGTCGTCAGCGCCTGCCCGCGCCTGTCGCCAGTGTCGCCGCTCCGCTCCAAACCGCCGCCGTCATCGCCGTCGTCATCGCCCGGCCCCCGCCACTCCGCGCGCAAGCCGCCAAGGGACGGAGGCCGAGCCCTCCTTTCCCCCTGGCGCGTCACCCCCGCTCCCTCCTCCTTTTCCCGATCCGGCAAAGGGGCAAGCCCCCTTTCTCCCCCTCCTTTTTCCCTTTTCCTCCCGCCGGCGTCATCCTCCCTGTCGCCAATTTGGCCGCTAGCCGGAGCGTCAGCTCGCGCCTTGACCGCGCAAGTCAGTCCTCGAACCGACATTGCCGTCCCCTTTAAACCCCCGGCCTCCCCTTACCCCTCCTCTTCCATTCGTCTCCGCGCTGTTGCCGCCGCCCCGTGCTCTGTCTCGCCTCCGCCGTCCTTCGCCGAGCGCCGGGAGAGCCGGTGCATTCGAGGACGCGGAAGGGGACTTCGGCCGCGCCCTCTCCTTCCCCTTCCCCGGCCCGAGGCCGGAGAGATTACTCCCGCGCCGTCGGCCTCTCGTCACAGCGCCCCTCCTCTTCTCGGTGATGTCTCTCTCCGTTCTCCCTCCTCGCTCCGTCTCCTCCCCCTAGCTTTCGGTAGTAGCTCGAGTAGACCCCCCGTAGCTAGCCGGCGCCGCCCCAACCGTCGCCTTCGCTCGCCGTGTGCTCGCCGCCGTCGCCGCCCGAGCTCCGTAGCACCCGCTCGTCGCCGGCCTCGCTCGGCGTAGTTCCGCCCAATCCGACGATAGCGTCGAGTTCCCGAAGCCGCGTAGATGCTCTCACCGACGGGAATCGACCCCTCGTAGCCTCGTCGCCGTTTCCCTCTTCTCCCGCCGCCGGTTGCCGCCGCCGCAATCCGCCGCCGTCGAGCAAACCTCCGGTGAATCCGAGCCATTGGCTCGCCTCCCCCTGTCGCGAACAACCGCCCGGTGTGCTCGCTTCTGCCCGTATCACCATGGTTCGCTTCGCCGCTCGCCGCCGCCGCCCGCCGTCCATTCGCGGCCGGGTCGTCGTCTACCTTCCGCCGGCCTGCATGGCAGCCACGTAGGCGCCACGTCGGCGCCAGCTCAGCCTAGACCGGGTCGAGCCGACCCCGGTCGGTCCCTCCCCGTGCGCGCGTTCCACCGCGAGCCGTGAGGCTGCGCGTGGGCCCGTCGCATCCGCGTCCACCGCAAACCGCGCGCGTGCACCGCGTTCCTCCCCGCCCGCGCGCGTGCGCCGCGTGCTCCCTCCGCACGGCGAGCCGAGCCGTTGACAAGCGGGTCCCACCCGGGACCGCGCGTGGTGAGCCCGGTCCACCGGACTCTCTCTCCCCTCCCCCGCGCGCGCGCGCGCTTGGGCCGTTTTGGGCCGGCCGGCCCATTAAGCTCGGCCGAGCCGCCCCAGATCCCTTGGGCCGCACCCTAGCCGCCCGAGGAAAGTCTAAATTTCCTCCCTCCTTCCTTTTCTTTCTCTTTTCCAAAAAAAAAGGGATTTAATTTAATCCTTTTTTCCGTTAGACCAAAAATCCAATAATCTTAGAAATTCAATATCTTCCCAACCGTAAATCCGTTTGACTCCGTTCAACTTCCAAAATTCATCAAATCTCGAGATCTATCTAATGGCACGCTTAGAGGTCGTTAATAGGGCTTTATTTTCGCTGTTTGTTGAGTTGCCCCATTTCGCGTGTAGTTTCGGAGCCCGAAGACCCGCAGTGCGAGGATTTCGAGGATCAAGCCCCAGATCTCGAGCAAGGCAAGCCACCTTTGAACATCTTGAGCCTATATTTGAAATCTAATTATATTGCTTGCAAAATATTATGCATTGATAGGATTGCACTTAATCTGTTGTTCCGTCTGCAAGGCAGATTGGCAGACCTACCTAACTTGTTGCATTTGATCCTTCCATTGTTAATTGCTATACCATGTCCCCTTGTAACCATCCAGTTGTGCCTCGATATTCGTGCACCCTGTGCCAGTATCGACGGTCGCCTTCAAACTTAAAATCTGAGTAACAACTTGGGTAAAACTGGAGTTTTACAAAAGACTTGGAAAACCCGACACCTGGGTCGGTGCTTGCGAACTAAATGAATTTCCAAAACCGCGGACCGGGGAACATACCGGGTGTACGGTTTCCCGCTCTCGCACTTAAGGACCGATTCCTTGGAATTTCATCCAAACATAAGACAAGTACGACCACATGGGTGGAATGGGACACCCCTGGCTGAGTAACTAGCTTATCAGGGGAGCCTTGATGCCGAGAGACATGTGGATTCGCCGGGGTGGTGTCGGGGAGGACCCCTGGGCTTCCTGGCACAGTATGGTCTGGGACCTAACCTGTTGTTGGTCTGGGACCCCTCTCGTCGGCATATGGTAAACCTGTATCGGCTTTCGAAATGCCTTGTCATGAAAGCTTGGAGGTCTCCCGACGTGGCTGATCCCCACGGGCTGGGTGACCCGGGTTAGTAATGTCGTGTGGGTAAAGCGTACCCCCTCTGCAGAGGTCATTAAACTGTTCGAACAGCCGTGCCCACGGTCACGGGCGGATGTGAGGTGATTCCTAGCGTAGTTTTGTTTGACTACTGCTTGTGAAATTGCCGTTGTGAAAATGGGTTCGATGTTTGAAAAATCTGTAGCTGATGGGATCAGCTAGGCCCGGGTGGCCGTTCGAAAAGTTGTTGGCCCGGGTGGCCGTTTAAAAAGTGGTTGGCCCAGGGTGGCCGTTTAAAAAGCTATTGGCCGGGTGCCAACCTTGTTTCAAAATCTAAAGACTGATACATTGCACATACTCCGACCGGACAAGACGCACTGTCTCATCCGTGTCGTTTGAGAAGCACTCACTTAGTTGCTTTTAGAAAATAATTCAAATAAAATCAATTGCAAAAACAACAGCCTTTCCTTGAAGCCTGCATTAAACACTTATTTCCCCTGGCTTGCTGAGTACTCCCGTACTCACCCTTGCTCTATATAAATATTCCCCCCCCCCCCTCAGTTGCTGAAGAAGATGAAGCGGATCCTGCTGATGAGGAGTTCTTCCAGGAGCAAGCCGGCTACGATGAGTTTTAGGGTTTCGGCCTAGTTCCCAAGTCGCGCCTGTGTTGATTGGTCCAAGTCCTGGCTTCCGCTTTCCTTTTGTAATGCAGTTGTGAGCTCGGGATCTGTCCGCAGCCCAACATGACTGTACATCTACTCTATAATAAAGAGACCTCTGTTGCTGTGATACTCTGTCTCCCTGTGATACCAGCACTGTTTCCTGGGACTGGTATCGATTAACAGGTTAATTTGGAGCGTCACGGGCTAGTTCCGGTCGGGACTAGTTCGGGGCGTGACACTTTGCTTCCGCCTCCCTCTCTCTCTCTTTCAGGACCATGTCGTTGCCAGTCGCGTTCATGCTATTCTTATTTTATTCGTTGCCAACCTCCACCATCTATGGACAAGACACATCATGGGACACATTCTTCCATCTTCCTCAGCACCATTTGGTCGCCCGAGCACCGGCGCCCATCTTTCCTCCTCTTTTGTTTCTCACCTTTGGTTATGAAAGACAATGAACATTGCGTATTGTGCACTATTCCTTCTTGGTCCAGTCCAACCATGCTTCTAGACCACTCACATAATATTGAGATCATAAAAATAGAACATGAAAAATTCTAATTATGTCAATGAAACGGGCACTCATCCAAAATTAATGGATTAGGTTTTCATCTATGAGGTAAAATAAGTTTTTTTTTTCAATTTCTAGCTAATTTCAGTTTTTTTCTATTTGCTGTATTAGTTTTAGCACTATTTGATCCATTAAAAATTTATTATAATTTATAATTTTTCTCTGTATTGAATTATTTATAGCTAAATAAAAAAATGGGGATTTAGTTATATAATTTTCCTAATATTGAAATATCATTCCGGCCAAAGTTATTTGCAGTTTCATGTTGTTATTTTATTGATTATATTTTCTTCATCATTTATGTCTAATTGTGATATATGGTTTAGGATTTTAATTTGTGTCAATGAATGCTAATCCATTGCAACGCACGTGCATTATGCTAGTTATAAAAAAATTGCTTGAAAAAAATCATATTAATCCATTTCTTAATTTTTAAATAATGCTTAATTAATTATACTCTAATGAGCTGCTCTGTTTTCCGTCCTAAGGGTCTGATGCTTGGATTAATGAGCAATCGATTGCCCAACAAGCACCTCACCTTGTGGAGGTAGTTTCAGCTCGACTGCGACGCTCCCGAATGGTGGCGGAGGCCATCCTCCATAGGCAGTGGACGAGGGACATAATCCAAGGTGCACTGACCATGTGACTGATCGTTGATTACCTCTGTCTTTGGCCAGTGATCGAGGCTACTACTCTGATCCCCGACGTCGGCGACCAGATGGTCCGGCGATGGTCTAGTGATCATCAATACTTGTCGAGTTCGGCCTACCAGCTCTTCTTCTCCGGCATGCAGCCGTTCCCCTGCTGGAAAGAGCTTTGGCGGGCTTGGGCACTGCCTCGATGTAAGTTCTTCCTCTGGCTCGCACTTCAGAAGAGATGCTGGATGGTGGATCGACTCCTAAAGCATGGCATGGCCTAGACACACATCCTGCCCTTGTGCAGCCAAGATGCCGAGGACGTCAATCACGTTCTTATCTGTTTTGTCTTCTTGAGGCAAGTCTGGCAGAAGGTGTTGGCCATCGCGAGGCTCACTCTTGCTGCGCCAATGGACCAAGACGACCTCGTCGACTGGTGGTCCAGTGCTCGATGATCAGTGGACAAATGCACCTTGCCTAGCCTCGACTCTCTCATGCTACTTTGTGTCCTGGTGCCTGTGGAAGGAGAGGAATGCTCGGGTCTTCGACAACAACCTATCCTCAATTCAGGCGGTGGTTGATGAGATCTTGCAGGAGGTTGCTGCTAGCATAGCGCGATCGTGTAAATGTATTTTTCACAGCTTCTAACATATTGACATGCAAAACTTTTGCGTGTTATGAAAAAAAATATTCAGGTAATGTTCATTCAGCTTCTGAGCTTCAGCTCGACTTCTGTCAGCCATTTCATTAATCAGACTTGTTACCAGACTGATGCATCACAACCCTTTCCGACATTGCACTGTCTGAATGACGTGCGTGTAGATGGTTACAGATTGCACATTTCAACTTGCTTGATGACGCCGCCCTGCAGCTTTGTCTGCGAATAATTTTACAGGCATGTCGATGCAACTATGGGAGAAGTTCGATAGAGAAATGGTAGTAATCTGCAACAATAAAACATCTGTCCCCAAAATCAGTACTCTGTCTGGTTTAGTGGCAAAAGGATGCCTTCTTTTTTCCCTGAACTCCTAAAGCATATACTCCTATATAAGTTAAAAAAGAAGAGAAAAAAGAAAGCCAGAGAACAGGCCATTTTACAAAGAGAGATAGAGAAGAGTGATATGATATCTGCAGCCATCATCTGATTTTTTTTCTTTGAACATTTGCCGTATCCCCTTCTGGCCAGTCTGCAAAACAGCCCGGGCCAAGTCAGATAACCATGCGCGTCATCCTCCCGGTTTACTTATAATAATGGAAAGATATATCAGCCGCTGCACCACCACAACCTATATGGCTATATTACTAGTGAAATAACAAAGTACATATGTTTAAAATTGTAAAATTTACCAGACAGGGTGTAGAAAATGTCCCTTGTAACCAGCAGCCTCCTTGACTCCTTCGTTAGGGACTTGCAGGCTACACCTACTGCAGGGAAAACAGAACTTAGGTGTGTTTTACAGTCTTTCCTTGGCAAAAGAGATGAAACAATTATCTTTAGAAAGCAACTTACATGAAAAAAAGAAAGTTAATGCAGGAGCAAACTATCCAGCTAAGGATGCCATAGTACTTCTGAAACTGTTGAGATTAGTTAAATCACTCCTGCTGACAAACAAGTGGAAGTTGTTCGCTGTCAGAGGCTGAGGGAAATAATGAAGATCGTATTTCATATGATTCAAAAAGAATGTCTGTTTCTACTGTGAAGTTTTAACTGAATGTCTGAATACATTGCACCACCTTGATGAACTAAAGAAGAAGAAAAACTAGCATGGCATGCTGATAAGTTTTAACCCGTTTCTCGAACTAGGCTTACACAGTGTTATTAGTTCCAGTTCATCAGACAGCTATTTTGTGCATCGAATCTCATGGTGTCAAATTCAATGATCAAACTAACTAGTAAAATTGCAGTGAAAGGCAACAGTTTTCTCAAAGCTAATAATTCTATTAAAACCTGGAACCGGTTAAAGATCTGATGAACTTGTATGGTATCATCAACCAGCTTTGTGTATGTTTTTCAAAACAACAACAACAACAACATCTTTTGTGTACAGACGAAGGAAGAAGCACAATCCAACACTACCACACCTATCAACATAAAAAAAAGGTTGTGCATGGATGCAAAGAAAAGAAGAGATTCTGAGAGGGATAAAATAGGAGTACCTTGGATTAGTACTCTCTATCTTTGATGATCGGAATTGTTCCTCTTAGCTTGCGGCACTGCCTTTTGAGCTCCTCGTTCTCACAACGACAGACATCTAGTTCTTGCAATGAACTCGGAAGGCCACCCTTGGGCAGTGAACAGATGGCTGGACACCAGTCGATCTCTAATATCTTGAGGCCGACGAGTCTGTGTAACCCAGTGGGGAGGGACTGCAGCTTCCGGCAGGAGTAAAACTCGAGGTCCTGGAGGGAGGAGAGGAGCAGAAGGGCCTCACTCTGCTCCTTGGTGATGCGCTCCACCTCATGATTAAAACCAATGGTTAGCTTGGTGAGTGATGAAGAAATGAGGCTGCAGATTGGTGGTGCAAGGACCCTTGCAATGTCATCCGTTTGAAGCTGCTGCAGCCGCGAGGGGTCAGACCTGACGAAGAATTTGGGGGTCATTTGGATGCGAAGGTCTGTGAGTTGGCCATGGTCGAGCAGAGAAGACAAGCCCTCACCACTTAAGTCCATACATTTCCATATGGTTAATCTGGTGAGAGAGCTGAGGTTTGAGAGGGGAGCAAGAGTCTCCATGCCTCTCACATCACTCAGATACATCTTTTGAAGGGAGGATGGAAACGGGAAACAAGACAAGGAGGTCGAGTAGTAGGAGGAGAGGAAAGTGGGGCAACCCCAAATAGAGAATGCTCGTAGGGAGTGCAGGCCTTGTAATCCTCCTCCTATGCCTCTTAAGCCTCCTTCCATGCCATCTACAAGAGAATGGATCTGCAGGATCAGCTCTGGGATTTCGCTGATGTTCAACTCCTGAAGTTGGTGAGGCAAGAGCAATAGTCCTGCTTCAGCTGACACTTTCTCATCCTCTCCTCTTGGTTGTTGCTGCTCCAGTCCGAAACGAGCATCCTCCAACTTATTACCACAAGGTGATGATGACGATGCCAACATTGTTGTCATCTGCTTCCCCAGCACACCAAGCCCTCTTATCTTATTACATCTCCTTGAAATAAACATGGAGAGTTTGGGGAAATGAGATAGAAACAACGTCAATTCCTTCCCGCTACAACCACACTCAAAGATCTCCAATTTCTCGATTGGAAACTGGTAGCTGACAGTGTTCTCAGATTCAAGATGTGACATGACATTGCTTGAGTCAGATATAGTGAGTCTCCTCAAACATGATAGCATTAGGAGGTATTCCAGCGGCAAAGGAGGGCATTTCTTCAAATCCAACTCTTTCAGATCAGTTAGATTACCAAAAACCAATCTCCTCCAGAATGCACCATCTAGATGTTCATCCTTTCCCTTGACTAGCATGCATAATTCATATTGCTTATTTTTTGAGTAATCCAACTGCTGAAAATCCAATCCAACTCCTTCAATCAGCGCACGGCATGGAGAGCCTCTCCAAGGAATGGGAGGGAATGATGACAGCTTTGGACAATTAACAATCTCAAGCTCCTTTAGTGTACGGAGTTGGGTCAAGTTCATCTCTTGCTCCGATCGAGGGCATGTGGAATGTGAAAATGGCAACTCCGTGAGTTCTGGACAATCTCTTATGATGAGCACCTTTAGCAGAGAGAACACAAAGCAAGAATCATTTCCAACCCATTTTGCTAGTCTCTGTATGCCAACAAGCTCTAACCTTTTTAAATTCGGAAAGCTCCTCTCTGTTGTACAAACCAGGGATTCTTCACCATGCTCATTAATCAACAACAACTTCCCTAGAGGAGGAAATTTGTTCCAGTCTACACCATCAAGACGAAGAGTTTGCAAGCCTTTGATGGACAAGTTAACACCCAACCATGAAGGGCAAGTAGTGCCCCCACGCCCATTAATGTGTAGCTCCCGAAGATTGCTATGTGGTTTAAGACTTTCAAGGATATGCTCTTCTTGTAAAGAATCCTTTGTCAAACGTTTAATATCACAATCTAATATCAACTTGTGTAAGCGACTTTTGTTTGAAAGTTCTGCTTCCTCTGGTGCCTGCGCATTTTCAAGATTATAGATGCCCAATGACCCTTTTAGGTCTTCCAACTGCCCCAGCTGTCTTAGTGCAAATGCCTCAACTTGTCTTTGAACTTCAAATCTCCTTAACTCTTGTAAACATTTTAGCTTTCCCACACTAGCAATTTCAGAGTGAAGATTATCATTTGGGACAAGAAAATGCCGCATCCTTACAAGGTGATTCATATCTCTTGGTAAACCAAAGTGACCACTGCATTGTCTCACATCAAGGATCCTCAGGTGATAAAATCTTGAAATAATGTTGGACAGACTTAGTTCAGGAAAATATCCCTTATTAATCCTTAAGTAACGAAGATGAACAAGATTTGAAAAGTTGTGCAACATATTCTCCACAGCATAAGATGCTACAGACAACAAGATGACACGGAGGGCTTTTGCTTTACTTAACAAATTACCAAAAGGAATGACAAAGCTTCCATTGTTTTTTCCAAATATCATTAGAGAGTGTAGCTTTTCGACATCAAGCCTCTTACTTAGTGTGCCAAAATCCTTCTTAATATTTTCAAAAGTTGCTCTGTCGTTTACGTCCATGTCATCTATCACAATAGATAAGTGCCGTATAGATGGCGGAATTTGCATAGACATTACTTTAGTATTACTTATAGAAAGATATTCATATGATGAAACCTTCAATGCTAACTCATGTAGTAGGTCATGCATAGTGTAGTAAGGTGACCCATCTTCATTCACATCTTTTATGAAAAATCCATAATTAACCAAATCATTCAAATATCTCAACCCAATATCTTCAATTGTTTTGTTTTCATCCTGGGAATGTAAAATGCCTTGCCCTATCCACAAGTGAATCATCTCCTCACTATCAAACTTGTAATCTTCAGGGAACAAAGCACAATATGTGAAACATTGTTGTAGATGGAAAGATAGATAGTCATAGCTAAGCTTCAAAGCTGGCATAATATCATTTTCACTAGTTTGTGATTCCCATTCCTTACTTTCTAGGACCCTCATCCAATCATCCAAATCAAGGTGATTTCTCAGCAATCTACCCACCGTTTTTGCTGCCAAAGGAGAGCCCTTAAGTTTTTTCACTATCTTTTCTCCTGTCTCAAGTAAGTTAGCATGATCATCTATTGATTTGTCATCACCAAAAACACATGCTTGGAATAATTCCCAGAACTCTTCAGGTTCTAGCCCTTCCAATTGTATTGGTCGATCAAATGTTTTCACCATTTCTGCAACCACTGGAAATCGAGTGGTGACTAGAATTATGTTTCCCTTTGTCATTGCTTTTCTGAGGGGAGCTAAGAACTTTTTCCACTCATCCTCATTATCACACTTCCACATATCATCCAAGACAAGAAGAAGCTTCTTAGATTTCAATCTTTGCTCAATTGAATCATCCATGTCGACATATTTCTCATCATCCTTGAGTTTAGGTATCCACTTTGAGATCTCTTCTTTCAATCTATACAGATTGAAATTGAGAGAGACGCATACCCAAACCTTAACATCAAAATGGTTATGTACTTCCTTGTATATGTGCTGAGTGAGAGTTGTCTTCCCTATTCCCCCTGGACCAACAATTGGAATGACGGTCAAATCCTTGTCACAGTAATCACCCCGAGTAATGTCCTCAATAATTCTACTTCTATCACCCTTCCTCCCATAAAATTCAGGGTCTATAATCCCTGAAGTAGTTACAGGACGATTCATAGCAACGTTGCTTGGATGAACTAGCGTTTGCCCTGGTTTCCTTGAAAATTCAGCATTGATACTGATGGCAATGCATGATTCCAACAGCTCTAGATTAAGGATTGTAGAGACTTTGGCACATACGGGCTTCAATTGTTCGACGATGTGCTTCATTCTTGTGGACAGATCCACCCTATCGAACTTCAGCTTTGGTGTTTTCATGGTAGATATGTGCAAGGCACCGGAGTCATCACAATTGTCAAGACCAGGTGCAAAAGGGAAGCATGGAAGGTGTTTACCAACGAGATGGATGGTGCTCTGAGCACTGCAAGCGAGGATGCGCATGCAGCCGCTGCCAGCAACAGCCTCCTCTTCGTTGGCGTGGCGACTCGCTTCCTCGTCACCACCGCACGAGCAAGAGGCAGAGAGGTACCTTCTCTTGATGTTTCTGGCAGTGTGGTGAGCGTTGAGCACAAGGCCAAGGAGACAGCCGCTGGCATGCTCATCGGCGGCCTCGTAGGTGCCATCGAGCTCGTCCTGGATGCGGAAGTAGTCGAGCTCGTCGAGCACGTCGTCGGCATCATAGGCGAGGCCACGGAGCTCCAGGAGCAGCTGCTGCAGCGCGGGGTTGCTGGTTTCTCTGCCACGGGTGTTGTGCAGCATCCCCTGCGCGTAGAGCAGCTCCATCTTGATGGCGCCGACGTTTGGCCCGAGCTCCGTGCTGGCCGCCCACGCCTCCACGAACCCTCCCGACAGCGGGCTCAGCGCCTTGCCAACCACCCACCGCGCCGCGTTCACGGCCGCCGACTCCATTGATCTGTCTGGTCTCTACTCCGCTAGCTAAGCTGAGGAGAGTGGGAGGGATGGAAGAGCTGTGGACTGCGAGAGAACAAAGCAGTCCAGGAGTAGTAGAGAAGGGAATGGTGAATAGCGAGCAGACAGTGAAGTGAAGGACTACCAAACCACGGCAGAAGTATTGTTTGTTTTCTGAACCCTCTGTTCGAACTTTACCAAATGGTGTTCTCAAAAATGGATTTAAAAAAACCAAAGTCGTCCTGCTCTTCTTGAATCTGATGCCATTCCGTGCCATTTGGAAGATAAGAAAAAAACTAAACGTCTAATCAGCCCCCAAAACCATAATTAGAACGCAATAGTAAAGGTACAGGCGGTACAGCCAATGGATTTACTTAAATCTGTTGCGATTGCAAAGGTGCATAATGCCAGATTCGCCACTGTTCATTCAGTAAACTACCGGGATAGAGCAATTTGCCTGCATGTGGGATGTGGCACAGAGGAAGAACAGATCTGATAAGCAACAGCCTGTGCTGTATCAGTGATCAAAGTAGGCATGAACAGAAACCTGCAAGCAACCAAATGGAAGTAACTGTAGTGTAGATGCAGAGAGCTTAAGGAACATACGCTTCAAAGCGATTTGCGCTCTGGGGGTGCAGGCACACAAGAAGAGTAGCCTCACGTACATCGTGGCCGGCGCAGCGGCGGCGATCGTGTGGAGGCGCGTGTGCTCGTTGCCGGAGCAAGGCCGGCGGCGGGAGCGGAGCCCCTCGCCGACCGCCCACCCGCCGAGATTCTCCGTGTCTACCACTCTCGAGTCTCGAGTGAGTCTCCGATGGTCGAGTCCAACCCCAACAACCAAACAGTCCCGCGTGCGCATGTATGCCTCCACTCCCTAGGCCACCCCACCACATGTACACACACAAATAACTCTATTAAAAAAAACCCATATATTTTGAAACACCTCTATTAAGAGAATTCGGTTTATTTTTGTTTCACAAAAAAATATTTCACCTAGTATACTCACAATGTTTTACTGTGTATAGATCTAATGTTGCAGTGAACTGAAATATTCCATTGCAACAAAAAAGCCCACATATTTTGGAAACCCCCTATTAAGGGAATTCGTTTTATTTTTTTTTCCACCAAAAAATGTTTCACCTAGTGTACTTGTAATGTTTCACCATGCCTACACTCCCCTGGCTCACCACGTGTCCACACACAAACAACTCTATTGCAAAAAAAAACCCACATATTTTGGAACCCCTCTATTAAGGGAATTCGGTTTATTTTTTGTTCCACAAAAAATATTTCACCTAGTGTACTCACAATGTTTCACTATGTATAGATCTAATGTTGCAGTGAACTGAAATATTCCATTGCAACAAAAAAACCCACATATTTTGGAAACCCCCTATTAAGGGAATTCGTTTTATTTTTTGTTCCACCGAAAAATGTTTCACCTAGTGTACTTATAATGTTTCAATATGTATGGATCAAATGTTGCAGTAAATTGAAACATTCTTTCGCTATTTGCTGAAACATTGTTTTTATATAAGGTGAAATAACACCCGATTTAAACGAGTGAAACATTTTCAGTCTACTTAGTGAAACAATTCCGATATACCTGGTAGAACATCGTGCAACATTTAAAAATAATTCAATAATAAGCTAAAAAAAATTCGTCGGAATATATCCATGTGTGGTCTTGTTTTAAAGATTTAATTGCAACGAATTTAATGGTGCAATCGGATCATGATTTGGATAAGTAATTTAAGAGAAAAAACAGTTTAAAGTAATTTTGCACGTAAATTGGACGCTGACGTCATGCTGACATTAGCGCCCGATTTCACCCCCTCCCGATTGGGCGCCTGACCAGGAGTCGTCCCATTTCAGGTCCCTTAACTTACACCGAATCCTATTTTCATCCCGGAACCGAAAAACCAGATACAACAAGTCTCTCAACTTATAAAACCGGTACAAACAAGATCCCTCAATAATATTATCCCTAATTTTAACTCACATACACCTACGTGGCTAATTTGACTAGGTCTTCGTCCTACGTGGCATTGATTGACATGGCGCTTACGTGGTAGTTTAATTCGGGAAAAAAAATGAAAGGAGCAAAATTGAAAACTAAATAATTAAAACAAAATATGGGGTCCCCATGTCAGTCAAATAAGATAAAAATAGTGGGACTCACATGTCGATGGGTCCCACTTCCTCCACCTCACTCTATCTCCTCAATCTCTTCACCGAGGCAGTGCCGCTATCGACGACAACACACCGAAAAGGCAGAGGAGATGCGAGGGGATAGGGTGGGAGCCCTGCCCATGGCGAGAACGCAGTCGAGGTCATCTCCGTCGCCCCCACCGACGCCTAGCTCCTTGTCTCCTCTAGCGACAGGGCGGGAATGGAGCGGCGTGCTATTAACACCAAAATTTGGTAAGCCCGAAGTCATCATCGGCATAGAGTCACTATCGGCTTCAGAGTCTTGGAATCGGCCGATGGGAGTTGTCAAGTCGCCAGCAATTGTGTTCTATATGAAGTCGGATCAATTAAAGAAAATTTATCCAAAAGAGTCCGAGTTCAAGGAGGATGCGGCATGACAAGTATATCTATTAATTAAGAATAGTATGTTAGTTTTCTTTTATCTCTAGAAAAGTGTGTTTATGTTTTTCGATACCTAATTTATAAGCAATCCCCGTTCATCATCTAAAAATCCAATCATATTCAAAACCACTTTGCCAATAATCTTTAAATTTAAAAACTAATAATCTCACTAGTGAAGTGAAGTGGAGCGGAGAGTAAACATACTATTGAGTGAGCTGATATCGTCATATCATGCGCCTGAAAAGGTAAAGAAAAACTATTGCAAAGTTAAGAACCTCTTCCTGATCAACAAGTAATAGCTATTTGCTCTCAGAGGCTGAGGGCAAAAATGAAGCTTGCATTCATATGATTTAAGAAGAATATGTGTTCCAATTATGAACTGTTAAGAATTAATAACTGAAACAAGTGTTACGAATAGTAGAAGAATATGAAAGATCAACAAGAGTACATGACTTGTCAATGACACATTGACTTGTCTTCCTTAAAACAATACAATCTCTCAAACCGTGTCATTAACATTTTGCATAAGTTTTAGTTCATCAGATAACTACTTTGCACACTGAGTCTCAGACATCAAATTTGACAAGGAGCTGAACTAACAGATCATTAATTTCCGTGAAAGCAAACAATTCTCTCACTGACAGAACAGCTGAAAGATTAAAAAAGAGAACAGTGACAAAATAAGTATATAACCAAATAAAGGAGCGACAGCGAAGAACTTATATGAGATGTTAGTGTAGACGCTGGAAGCGGAACAAGTTGACGTCTTCACACTTATCAACACAAAACTGTGTAGGATGCAAAAGATTATGCAGAGGCGCTAGAATAAGGCCCATATCAATCCAAGATGAAACCTGCACAGCAGGTTACAAGGTTGATCAGATCGATGAGTCAAGCAGTGCGTGCATTTTACCAAACAGAAAGTAATCGGGTATGAGTTGAAAAGGGGCATGTTTGTTACCTGTACCTTGGATTATTAGTACTTTCTGTCTTGGATGATCGGAATGGTTCCTCTTAGCTTACGGCACTGTCTTTTGAGCTCCTCGTTTTTGCTCTCACTGACATCTAATACTTTTAGTGATCTCGGAAGACCGCCCTTGGGCAGCAAACGGATGGCTGGACACAAGGCGATCTCTAATCTCTTGAGGCGGGTGAGCCTGTGTAGCCCTGTTGGGAGGAATCGCAGCTTCGAGTAACACCAAAATCGGAGGTCCTGGAGAGAGGAGAGGAGCAGAAGGGCCGCGTTTTGCCCCTTGGTGAAGTGCTCCACCTCGTCGTTCCAGCCAATGGTTAGCTCGGTGAGTGAGGAAGCGAGAATGTTGCAGACAGGGGCAACAAGGAGCCATGTGATGTCATCCGTTTTTAGTTGCAATAATAGCGAGAGGTCGGATCCGACGAAGAAGTTGGGGGACCTCCGGACATCTAGCTCTTTGAGTTGGCCATGGGCGATGAGAGAACTCAAGCCATCAGCTCTTAAATCCCCAAAGTCCCATATGGCTAACTTAGCAAGAGAATTGAGGTTAGAGAGGGGTGACAGAGTATTCATCCCACTCATATAACTAAGAAACAGTTCTTGCAGGGAGGACGGAAATGGGGAATGATGCGAGGAGGACGAGTAGGAGGACAAGAAATTGGGGCAATTCCATATATTCAAATTTTTTATGGAGTGCAGACCTTGTAATCCTTCTCCTACGCCTCTGAGGCCTCCTGCCGTGTCAAATACTAATGCCAGCTCTGACATTTCCCCGATAGTCAAATACTGAAGTTGCTGAGGTAAGAGCAGCAGCCCTCCATCTGCGGCTGCTTTCTCATCCTCCTCTCCTGGTTCTTGCTGCTCCTGTCCGAGACATTCATCCTCCAACTTACTACCAGCAGACGGCAATGACGATGCTGACATTGCTGTCATCCCCTGCTTCGCCACACCAAGCCCTCTTATATTCTCACATCCCCTTATTACAAACATTGAGAGCTTGGGGAAATGGGATGACAACAGTGTCAATTCCTTCCCGCTACAACTACAGTTAAAGATCCTAAGTTTCTCAACAGGAAATTGGTATCTGACAGTGTTCTCGGCTTTGTCCTGCAACAAGACATTACTCAAGTCTTGCATACAGAGCATCCTCAATGATGACAGACTCTGTAGGTGTTCCAATGGCAAAGGAGGGCACTTTGTCAACGTCAACTCTTTTAGCTCAGTTAGATTACTGAACACCAATAACCTCCAGAATGCACTATCTAGATTGTCGTCCTTTCCCTTAACTAGCAAGCATAATTCAGATTGGTTATTTGTTGAGTAATCCAACTGCTGAAAATCCGATCCCACTTCTTCAATATAAGCATGGCATGGACAGCTTGTCCAAGGAATGGGAGGCAATGATGACAACTTTTGACAATTTACAATCTCAAGCTTCTTTAGTGTAGGGAATTGGGTCAGGTTTGTCCCTTGTTCTGGCCGAGAGCAAGTGGTGGGATGTGAAAATGGCAACTCCATCAGTTCAGGGCAATCTCTTACGATGAGCACCTCTAGCAGGGAGAACACATGGCAAGCATCATTTCCAGCCCATTTTGACAATCTTGGTATGGCAACTAGCTCCAACCTTTTTAAATTCGGAAAGCTCCGATCTGTTGTACAATCCAAGGATTTATGACCATGCTCATTAACCAATGACAACTCCCCTATAGGCGGGAAATTGTTCCAGTCGACACAATTCAGACGAAGAGATTTCAAACCTTTCATGGACAAGTTAACACCCAACCATGATGGGCAAGTGGCGCCACCATGCCCATTAATGTGTAGCTCCAGGAGATTGCTATGTGGTTTAAGATTTTCCAGGATATGTTCTTCTTGTGAAGGATCATTTGTCGAACGCTTAATATCCCAATCTAATATTAGCTTGTGTAAGCGACTTTTGTTTAAAAGTTCTGCCTCCTTTGCTGCCTTCACATTTTCAAGATTATAGATGCCCAATGATCCTTTTAGGTCTTCCAACTGCCCTAGTTGTCTTAATGCAAATGCCTCAACCTGTCTTTTGACTTCAAATCTCCTTAGTTCTTGTAAACATTTCAGCTTTCCCACACTAGTAATGTCGGAGTGGAGATTATCGTATGGGACAAGAAAATGCCGTAGCCTTACAAGATTATTCATGTCTCTTGGTAAACCAAAGTGACCCCTGCATTGTTGTAAATCAAGGATCCTTAAGTGATAAAATCTTGAAATGGTATTGGGTAGACTCATTTCTGGGAAATATCCCTTATTAATCCTTAAGTAGCGCAAATGAATAAGATTTGAAAAGTTGTGCAACATATTTTCCACCACGTAAGATGGTGCATACAACAAGACGACGCGGAGTGCTTTTGCTTTGCTTAACAAATTACCAAGAGGAATGACAAAGCTTCCATGGTATTGTCCAAATAGCATCACAGAGTGAAGCTTTTCAATATCCAATTGCTTATGCAGTGTGCTGAAATCCTTCTTGATGTTTTCAAAAGTCACTCTATCATTTACATCCACATCATCTATCACAATAGACAAGTGCCGTATAGATGGTGGAACTTGAATAGATCTCACATTAGAACTACTTATAGCAAGACATTCATATGATGAAACCTTCAATGCTAACTCATGCAGCAAATCAGGCATAACGTAGTAAGGAGACCCATCATTTTGTTCATCTTTTTTGAAAAATCCATAACTAACCAAGTCATTCAAATAGTTCAATCCTATGTCTTCGGTTCTTGTATTTTGATCATGTGAATGCAAAATGTCTAGTCCTATCCATAAGTGAATCAATTGCTCACTGTCAAAGATGTAATCTTCAGGGAACAAAGCACAATATGTAAAACATTGTTGTAGATGGAAAGGGAGATAGTCATAGCTAAGCTTTAATGCCGGCATAATATCATTCTTACCAGTTTGTAATTCCCATTCTTTACTATCTAGGATTCCTGTCCAATGATCAATATCAAGGTGCTTTCTCAACAATCTTCCTACAGTTTTTGCCGCCAAAGGGGAGCCCTTCAATTTTTTGGCTATCATTTTTCCAGTCTCTTGTAAGTTACCATGATCATTTACTGTTTTCTCATCGCCAAAAGCATATGCTTTGAATAATTCCCAAAACATTTTAGGTTCCAGCCCTTCCAATTGTATTGAACAATTAGTTGTTTTAACCATTTCCGCAACCGCTGGAAAACGAGTGGTGACTACAATTATGTTTCCCTTTGATTGTGCTTTTTTGAGGGGTGCTAATAGCTGCTTCCACTCATCCTCATAAACCAAATTCCATATATCATCCAGGACAAGCAAAAATCTCTTTGATTTCAACCTTTGCTCAATCAAATCATCCGGCCAACCAGAGTTCTCTTCATTGACTTTTGGTATCGACTTGGCAATCTCCTCTTTCAATCTATACACATTGAAATTGAGAGAGACACAAACCCAAATATTAACATCAAAATGGTTTTGTACTTCTTTGTATATTTGCTGAGTGAGAGTTGTCTTTCCTATCCCTCCTGGACCAACAATTGGAATGACGGTTAGGTCCACGTCACAGTAATCACCCTCAATAACGTCATTGATAATTGTACTTTTCTCACCCTCCCTCCCATAAAATTTAGGTTCTATGAAATCTGAAGTGGTCACAGGACGATTCATAGCAATGCTGCTTGGAAGAACAACTGCATGCCCCATTTTCCCAGAGAACTCAGAATTCAGACTCATTGCAATGCACTGGCCAATGCTGCGGTTTGATTCCAGCAACTCCAGGTTAAGGATGGTGGCGACCTTGGCACAGACTGGTTTTAGCTGCTCGACGATGTGCTTCATTCTTGTCGACAGATCCACCCTATCAAACTTCAGCTTTGGTGTTTTCGTGGTGTGCTCTATGTGCAATGCTTTGCAGGGATAAGCGCAGCAGAGGAACCGGCTTCTTTCTGTAGAAATGTTTCAACGGTGATGAAGGTGTCACAGCCGTCATGTTCAGTTACAAAAGAGAGGCGTGGAAGGTGTTTTATATTATCGATGAGATAGATAGTAAGTAGTACCTCGAGCATTGGAAAAGAGCTTGTGAATACAGCCGCTGCCTGCAAGTGCCTCCTCATCATTGGCATGGCGACTCTCTTCCCCATTATCTCCGCATGAGCACGCCTTCTTCTTGATGTTTCTGACTGTGTGGCGTGTGTTGAGCACGAGTCCTTGGAGACAGCCCTTGGCGTGCTCTTCGGCGGCCTCATAGGTGCCATCAAGCTCGTCCTGGATACGGAAGTAGTCGAGCTCGTCCAGCACATCCTCGGCGTTGTAGGCGAGGCCACGGAGCTCCAGGAGCAGCTGCTGCAGCGCGGGGTTGCTGGTCTCTCTGCCGCGGGCATTGTGCAGCATCCCCTGCGCGTAGAGCAGCTCCGTCTTGATGGCGCCGATGTTGGGGCCGAGCTCCGTGCTAGCGGCCCACGCCTCCACGAGCCCTCCGGACAGCGGGCTCAGCGCCTTGCCGACCACCCACCGCGCCGCGTTCACGGCCACCGACTCCATTGCTCTGATCCCTGCACCGCTAGCAAGCTGGGTTAGAGATGAGAAGCAAGCAGTGGCAGACGTGTAGGGGAGAAGAGGCTGGAATGTTACTCTGGCTAAGAGAGAAGCAAGCAAGCACACTGGCACAGCGAATAGAGAAGGGCTAAGGAAACGTCGTGCAGACTGCAGAGTTGAGATCCGATCGGTGTCAGTCTGGCTGGGCAAATTGGCTTGAGTGTAACATGCTTAGGCACTACGGCACTACCTTGCCGCATTTTTATTTGGAATCAGAAATCAGTAACATGTTCTCCCTGCATGGCTTGCTGGCTGCAATCTTCAGAGGCTTCCCTATTTTTGCCTGCAGCAAGAATGTTAGAAATGCGTGGTTTTCGTTCCAGTCATCCAGTGCCGGACAAAGCAAAAGTAGTTTTGCAGGCTTACAGTACATCTGTTTGCTGTGCAAGTACTGCAGAGGCTTCAAAAGGAAGAAAAAAAAGAAAGAGAGGGTGTTATGAAAGACAAAATGGCAAGGTAACAGTTATACAACAAAGAAGAAACAAGTGTTGGAATATTCAGACCGGGAAGAAAGCACAAGCATTCAAAATTTCTCAATAAAAATTAAACTATCCTTACTGGGGTAATCTGTTTTCCATTTCTTATAAAAACAAGCAGGTTTATTTTCTACAATGACACGCCATATATAATTCTCTGCAGCTACAGAGAGTGTATACAATGATAGTTAAAGATAACTTAAACTCACAAGAATACACGTACCTTTTTTTTCCTTATAAAACAGGCAGTTTATTTTTTTCATCAAAGTCATCAGAACACCATGGCAACGGAACAGAGGTGCAGACGTTGCAATTGAAAACGAGCATCATGCCGCATTCCCCGGTTTGTTCAGTTGAAACGACCATGATCTGGCATAGGCCTCATCTTTTCATTGAACAATATTAAAGCTGCCATATAACCAAATAATTGATGGGCAACTTGCCCACTTTCAAAGCAATTAACATGGCTGTACAACATGTGCTCTCCTTGAGCGCAGTTGACTATCCATTAGGTTCTACTAATAATCAGAAATCTCCGATCAGCATCAGTATTCATTTTCTAACTTCAGTTTTTCTTGTTACCACTTGTGACCTCCTCTTGGCTTAGAACAACATGCCACATTCACCAAACGCCAGAGTAAATATCAAGAAAGCAACACCTTTCTGGATCCACTAAACCATCAACTGCGTTGGCTGCTATCTCTTCATGGTATGTTCATGCAGGTTGTGATCTCCAGGTTGCCATTCATGCCTGCAACATCAGTATGACCATGATCTGCCACTTGCCGCTTGTGCAGGTTCTCTCCAGAGGTGCCATTGCATGTGTACCATTGCCATTTCAACAGCAATATTTCAGGCTTCACTTATAACACCTCATCTTTTATAAAAACTTTGATCTTCAGCTACCACATGCTTGACCACTTCCCTTTCGGCTCTTTTGGTACTTACCTACTTATCCCACATAAACTTCATATCATCTCCAAAAAAAATACAAATTTGAATGTGTATTTCTTGGAAGCTACAACTTCAGTTGACCGGACTCCTAGGCCGCTCAATTTGAAGGAGGTGGTTTCTGGCGCCCCCAAAGCCCACCCCATAGCCACCCTCCTTCCCACCTCCTTCCTTTTTCCTCTCATTTTCCTTTTTCCCTCTCTTTCTACTCCAGATCCGTTTTCTTGCGTTTTTGAAGTCGTCTGGCGACTTGGTGGTCGTCGGGCTGGCGAGGGCCGGATCCGCCTATGGCGCCCCTGGAGAAATACGGATTGGAAGGCAGCTGTTTAGGGCAATGTGGCGGCAGGGAGGTGTGCTGGTTGCGCTGGTCACCGGTTGCTACTTGCGTCTCCTGCATGCGTGCGGTGGGATGGCGGATCAGTTGTTGGTGACTTGATGGCTGTCATGCTGATGAGGACCAGATCCACTGGTGGCGCTCCAAAAAAGCTTCAGATCTGATGGTGGTCGTTCAGGGTGGTACGGCGGATGGTGGACGGCCATGCTATGGCGGTACCACCTGATGGCTGTCGACCGACGTGACAGTGGTGATGGCATTGGTGGTGGCCGAGGGAGGTGGCAGTGGAGGCGGTTACCAGTCGGCCTTGCACTCCATCGATGTGTGGTCGTGCCATCGTGGTTGTGGTGGCAGCGAGGACTGGTGGCATCGGCACTCCTGATGGCGGCGACGGGCAGTAGTGAAGTTGGGTGGTGTCGGGGGCTAGTCCTCCGATCCATCCCTTCCTCTGTCACCGGAGGAGAGGGCTGGTGATGACGGATAGTGGTGGGGGCTAGCTTCCCCCTGCAACGACGGATCAACAAATAGGTATGGTGATAGTTGTGGACTTGTATTTCGGCCATGGTAGTTTGTGATGACGATGGCAGATGCTCTCGGTGTCAGCATCCTAGGGATGGCAGCGACTTGACGAGGTCCGATGCCCGGTTCTGACCATGACCAGGTGAGGACGAGGGATGGTGATCGTCGATGACAGGGCTAGTTGACGATGCAATGGTCGTCGGCTCGCCCAACGCGGATAAGGACGATGGCAATGGAGGCTCTTGGTGATGGCATCCTAGGGAAGGTAGGTACCAAGTGAGCATCGGCGCCAAGGTCTGGTTGCGGTTAGGGGTCGACGGCAGTGGAGCATCTTTGACAAGTTCTTGATTGTAAAGGCAGCGCGTGTCATACTAGGCGGCTCCACGACGCTCTAGAAGCGACAGTGAGATCGATCGTCTACAGAGAAGACTGGTGGTGCGGCAAGGCGGCTTCGTGACGCACTAAGGGTGTTCAAAATGCGGCTGCGGCGTAGGTGTTTTGGATGGCGACGGCGGACAGAGGGCATAAATGTTGGTAGCAGATGGTGGTTGTGTTCCGTAGAGGCAGAGATGGTGCGATGATAGGTAGCTCGGACTAGTTTCTATTCTCCTCTTTCCCCATATTGCGCTGCGACGGAAAGAATAAGTCATCGATGAAGGTTGGAGCTAAATCTTCTAGGTTTTTTTTTGTGTGTGTGTGTGTGTGTTTAGAGTCTAAGAACTCATGTATATGTTTTGGTTGTGTATATCCTTTGTGGATATAGAGGCCGGATTAATGAAAAATCCATTATCTAAAAAAACCTACTTCAGTTGACCTTATAGCACAATCTCATGCTGATTCCTTTCAAAAACTTCAGTTGAACTTTTCTCCTCTTGCAGGGTACTTCTCCCTAAAAGCTGCGGCAACTCTGAACTTGATTGGCATATGCATTGTTGCCTACTCAGGCTAGGCAGTGACCTTCTAGAACAATGCAGCAGATAAGCAAAGAAGGCTAAAATCTCAAAAAGAATGTGATTAATGTATATAAATAAAATGCAATATAACTTGAACAAGTAATATGCAAGTCTCTGCTGCAGCATGTAATGTCATGCATCATGAATTTTTTGCCGAGACGGCCGAAGGAGGTCACCCAAATTGTATTAAGGAGAAAGAGAGTTATAAGTTTTACATTAATCGACTTTAGACAGTCGAGGAAAAAAAGCGGTCACCATAGGGTGACGCCTCTAAGAGCTCTTACAGGCACTGATTAATCTACTCGCTTAAAGATCTCTGCTTCATGAATAGAGGATATGAAAATATGGTTGTGCCATAACTTCATTGATTGATTAGACCATATGTATATGTCAACATATACTGTACTAGACCTGACGAATCCTAGTTTGTGCACCATGCTTGGTGTATGCCCTAGACAACCTATGGGGGAAAAAATCAGGTTTCTAAAATGGAAACGTCCAATGGAACTTCTTTATCAGCTTGAGAATATACATATCTTCGCTCGTGACCAGTACGATACCAGCTTCGTCCATTTGGCATGTTGGATAATATCATTTGAGCAACTGATGGTTCCAACAAAAGTATTACTGTCTCTACTAATTAGTAAGTGAATGGCTGACTTTTGAACTAACTGTTCATTGTGTTCGATGAGGATACTAAACCCAGAGATCAAGACATGCATGACCACCCAAAAACATGCTACTCATAGCATACACTGCATGTTACAGACACCGTTTTATATGTTAATTTAACAATTCAAAACAAAGTAAGCTTTTACCTGCATTCTGGAAGTTAAAATGGAGAAATGAAGGATCCAATCATAACTGATTGTATATGAAGATATTGGATGTGCTCTAACAGAAGCTCATGTTCTTAAAATAGAACTTCCATGCAGACATTGTGTCCAGAACTGAAGATAGTGTCAATTTCAACTAAACTGTTTACATGGACATGGGAACACAATATGAGATCTGTTCAGTTGATCCTAGATAGAATAAGGGAGCACAGAAAGCAGCATCATAGTCATGCTATTGAAACCAAAGGAATTCACTATTCTACCTCGGTTAGTTGGTTGGCCACTTGGCCTTAAACAAACCACAAATCGATGCGTACTAAACTGCGAACTATTTTTCTATAAGAGCTAAGTGTAGATGTAGACATGAAGAACTGATTGACTGTATGCATAGAAAAAAAGGTCATTGAGGCATCCAGACTCCAGAAAATGCTAGCTTTAAAAAAAATCCCCAAAAAGAAGAGATCCTGAAATCCCCTTTCTGCCATTGCTGATGCTGTAGGATTACTTGGACAATTGCTACTGCTAATAACTGCTGGTACTACTCCCAATTAAGCGCACACAAATGAACCTCTCGTAAAATGTGCACTACAATAAGCAATAACACATGCCGCATCAGTAACCAATACAGCCATGAACAGCGAAGCCAAACCAAACCAAACGGAACTTACGCTTCAAAAGCAGGGTGGATTCTGGAGTTCCGCACATTGCTGCCGGGGACGCGGAGCGCGGATTCTGCGAAGCCCGTGGAGGCGTCCCGCCTAGAGCCGCCGGAGCGCGGCGGTGGCTGAGGCGGGCGCCGCCTCACCGCGTCGCCGTCGACCGCCATCCGCCGCGAGAAGGAGCCACGCCGCTCGGGAGGCCCGAGACGGAGAGATTTTCCGCTCCGCATCTCCAGCATGCAAATGGGCCGGGCTGAAGGCCCAATTAAGGCCTCACTCCTTTCCGACGGCCCAGTATTTGGGCTCACCAACCTCTCCTATATTGCACTTTGTCTACCATTGCTGGACAGCAGTTTTTGTATGCGAATGACTTTATTAGTACTGGCATATGTCAAAGCAATTATACGAGAAGTTGGATAGAGAAATGTTAATCTGCAACCATAAAACATCTTTAGTGCACTTTTTTTCTTATAAAAACAATACAAACAGTTCATATACAAGCGCACACTCCCACATATAATGCACACCTGTCACGTTTGATAGCAACAAGATGCCAACGTTTTTCCCTGGAGCTTATGGATACATAAAAAATAGAAAGTCACCCAAGTCTTAATACAATGATGCGTAATATTTATGCGAATTCTCCGGAAAAAAAAGTCAGAGAGAATGCGTTGCCAAGTTCATGATCTGCAGCCATCATCATCTGATATTTCTTTGTGCATTGCGGTATCGCCGTCCGTCCAGGCTCCAAAACAGCCCAGGAACACATACGCCCAACCAAGTCATATCCAGCGTCCCAGAGGCACTGAAAATTTTCAGAATCAAAATAGATCAACACCCCCCCCCCCCCCCCCTCTCACTGTCTCTGCATCCACTCACCTGATTTAATTTGAAGCTTCAATCAAGCTTCCCGTATACATAGAGTACATTCATATGCACAGAACTGGATTCAAACTAGTTTTTTTTAGATAATGGATTCAAACTAGTATACATAGAGTACATGTACATACAGCATAACTGCTGTTGGTACACACAACAGGAGTGCCCGAATGGATTGGCTGTGCACTTGTTTAGCAGCACTTCTGATTTTCTTTTTGATTGCAACACTTCTAACAGGATGACTAAGATCCTGAAAAAAAAAACACATACAAAAGGGCATGTGGATAAATAATTGGAGTGAACTCTTTTGTTTTGACACCACCAAGGTGTAACCACAAGACAATTCAATAAGCTCGTAGACAACTGCTAGTGAAACAACAAACTGCACACAATTCTTTAGACGACACTGAACTGCAGATTTTGTACCAGGCAAGGATAGGGATGAAGATTGAAGAAACTGTACCTTGTTACGAGGTGATTGCTTGTTATTGTAGGAATGACATGCCACAGCCACTGCAGGCAGCAGAAGAATCATGTTCTGAATGTTTGAAACAACGTCCCAGCGAAAAAATGTTTGAAACAACGAAACTTGTGCGTTGTGGGGAACGGCGTGAAGGCCTTGTTCTGGGAGGATAACTGGCTGCAGGGAGAATCCATCCGCTGCAAGGCGCCGGCTCTCTATGCTGCTATCCCGGCTCGCATTCGCAAAAAAAGAACGGTCGCAGAAGCTCTGTCTGATAGGCGGTGGATCAAGGACATCTCTGGTGCCCTTGGTATTCAAGCCATTCTTGAGTATTTATCCCTGTGGCAAGACATTCGTGCAGTGCACCTCACGGACCAGCCCGATGTGCTTTCGTGGAGATGGGAGGGGTCGGGCAATTACTCTTCCCGATCGGCTTATCAAGCATTGTTCCTAGGGATAACCCGGTTCCAGTCTACCCCGATCTGGAAATCTCTCGCTCCACCTCGATGCTAGTACTTCGTCTGGTTAGTGGCGCTTAACAGGTGCTGGACGGGTGATCGATTGAGGAGGCGCGGACTGCCACACCCCGACCAATGTGTCCTATGCGATCAATGCGATGAAAGCATCGATCATCTCCTGGTCGCTTGCCCAAAGTCCCGCTAGTTGTGGTGGATGGCACTGAGGGCCATTGGACAAACAAGTTCTCTGCCGACGAACGAAGTCTCCTTCCACCTCTAGCTTTGCGATAGCCGAAAGAGATTGACCAAGGCAGCTCGGCGTGGTTTCGACACCATTGCAACCCTCGTCGCCTGGACAATCTGGAAAGAGAGGAATAGCAGCGTTTTCAATCAGCAGCAAAAGACTTGGGCGGAAGTGGCAAGGGCAATGGCCGCCGAAGCAGAACTCTGGAGACTTGCGCGAGCAGCCATTCCGGAGTTCTTGCCACAGCCAACTGTCGAGAGGTCGCAACATCGGATAGGAGAATAGATCTTTTGGGGCAATTGTATTCCTGCATCTCCCCTTCACTTCTTGTATTTCCTGTAATTAAACTTTTTTTCCATCCTTAATACAAATATGCGCTCCTTGCGTATTCCCAAAAAAAACGAAACTTTAGCAGCACCTTTCACAAAATATATCTGAACTTAAGGAGCCGAGCAAAACTAAGTCAGCTGATTTATATCATGTGCCTGAAAAGGTTAAAAAAACTATGGCAGAGTTAAGTACCTTACCGCTTCCTGATCAACAAGTGATGAGTTATTTGTTCTAAGAGGCTGAGGGCAATAATGAGGCTTGCATTCAATGATAAAGAATTTTTGCCTACTGTGAAATGTTAAGAATTACTCCACTGTGTTAAATTGAAGAATATGAAAGATCAAATGACATGCAAATGACATATTGACCTGCGTTCCTTGAAACAATACAATCTGTCAAACTGATAACATATTGTATAAGTTTCAGTTCATCAGAAACTAGTTATTTTGTACAGCGAGTCTCAGCCAGTAGGCCCAGAGTCGGCCCAGTATCAAATTTAACAATAGCAAGATCGTCGACGGACAGTGTCAATGGCAGGAGGTGGGCTCCTTGCGGATGGCACAATAGCGATGACATAGCAGAGTACTGGAGTAGCCAGGGCCTGGGGGTAGTTTCAGTGGTCGGGATCAGTGTTTTTTCTGTTGCACAGGTCCCGGCCTTGCCTGTTGTGATTGAAATCACTTTGTAACCTTTTCTCCTCCAATCTAATAAAATTTGGTCGGCGTCCTTCAGCCATGCCCAGCGATAAATAAATTACCATGAAATCCCACAATTCTTTTTTCGGGAATACGCAAGGAGCGCATTTTTTCCATTAAGAGAAATAAAAGTTATTTACATTTGAAAGAAAAAAAAACAGCACGGGACTGATACAGGACAATAACAGACAATCCTAAGTCTATCTCTCACGCTAATTTTGGCGACCAAACTCCCTCCTGAATTACAGCGCAAGGATCGCCGGGTTTGCTTTACGCCAAAGAGAGGCTTCGTCCACCATCCCTCTGGCCACATCCGCCCAAGATCTACACTGCTGATTGAAGATCCGACCGTTCCGTTCCTTCCATATTGTCCATGCTACCAATGTCACCACCGTGTCGAAGCCTCAACGATGTGACTCACTTAGCACCATTCTGCTATCGCACATCCATTGGTGAAAAGAAGCTTCATTCACCAGCAGGCAGTTGGGGTGGCCGATTGCTCTCAAAGTCCACCACCAAAGCTGCCTTGATTCTGGGCAGCCGACTAGGATATGATCAATGCTCTCATCCTGCTGATCACAGAGAATGCAGCGGTCGGGATGCGGCAATCCCCGACTCCGCAATCGGTCGGCTGTCCAGCATCTATTCAACGCGACCAGCCAGAGGAAGAAATGACAGCGAGGTGGTGCCAACGAGTTCTAGATCGGTGTGGATTCAAAGGCAATTCGTCCAAGGAACAAAGCTCGGTAGGTAGATTTTGAAGTGTATTTGCTTGAGCTTTCCCACTTCCAGGAGAGTGAGTCGGGCTCTGCGGAAGAACAATCAACTGACTGAATCAGCGACCAAAGTTTGAGGTATTCGAGTATTGCCTGAGTCCCAAGCGCGCCACTTATGTCCTTGATCCATCTACGGTTAGACAGCGCTTCAGCCACCATCCGGCGCTTCCGGATACGAGTAGAGACATGATCGTAGATGGAGGGTGCAATAGCTCGGATGGTTCCTCCTTGCAACCAATTGTCCTCCCGGAAAAGGATTGTTTGCTCGTTACCTAGCTGACAGACGGTGGAGGCGGCGACAAGGTGAAGTTCTTTCTGTGTGCAGGGGATTAAATCCCACAATTCTCTCACTGCCAATACCTATTCAGAACAGCTGAAAGATTGCAAAAAGAGAAGAGTGCGATCAGACAGATAACCAAAAAATGAGCATCTAAAGCATCAGATATGAACTCGTATGAAATGACAGACCAGTTTTTGTACACGTGATGGAAGCAGCACAAGTTGATTATCAACTCAATGGAGATGGATGCAGAGAAGATTCTCCAAGACTAGAATAAGGCACATACTAATCCAAGAAAGAATCTGCACAGGATTTCAGAACAATCAGGTTTTTCAGGTAGATGAATCACACAGTATTAACGTTGCGCCAAACAGAAAGTGAACCGGGATGGCTCAAACAAGAGAATGTTCATTACCAATCAAATCCCAGTCGCTGTCTTTGATGATTGGAATGGTTCCTCTTAGCTTGCGGCACTGCCTTTTGAGCTCCTCGCTGCCTCCAGAGACATCTAGTATTTCTAGTGAACTTGGAAGACCACTCTTGGGCAACGAACTGATGAACTCACTGCACGAGATCTCTAATCTCTTGAGGCTAACAAGCCTGTGTAACACAGAGGGGAGGAACTGCAGCCGGCAAAAACTAAAACTGAGCTCCTGAAGGGAGGAGAGGTGCTCAAGGGCCATGTTTTGCTCCTTGGTGAAGCGTTTCACCTCGTTATTGCAAAAAATGGTTAGCTTGGTGAGTGAGGGGGAGAGGAGTCTGCAGATGGGCACAACAAGCACTCCTGCGATGTCATCCGTTACAAGGTGCTGCAGTGATGAGGGGTTGATCCCGACGAAGAATTTGGGGTTCTTGTTGACTCGCAGCCTTGTGAGTTGGCCTTGGGCGAGCAGAGAACACAAATCCTCGCCTCTTAAATCACCACATTCTATGCCTAAGTTGGTGAGAGAGCTGAGGTTAGAGAGGAGCGACAGAGTCTCCATGCCACTTACACGGTCAATAGACAGATATTTCAGGGAGGAAGGAAATGGGAAAGATGAGGAAGATGATGAGTAGGAGGAGAAGAAATCAGGGCAATCGATAATAGTCAATGATACGAGGGAGCGCAGGCCTTGTAACCCTCCTTCTATGCCTCTTAGGCGTCCTTCCATGTTTTCTCCAAGTGAATCGTGGTGGAGGATCAGCTTTGAGCAACAGGAGATGAACAACTCCTGTAGCTGGGTAGGCAAGAGCAGCAGTCCTGAAGATGCCGCTGCTTTCTCGTCCTCTCCTCTTGGCTGTTGTTGCTCTTGTCCGAAACGTGCATTCTCCAACTTATTACCAGAAAGTGATGGTGAAGATGCCGATGTTGCCGTTATCTGCTGCTCAGCCACACCAAGCATTGCTATCTTCTCCAATCTATACATTGTCAAGTCAGAGAGTTTGGGGAAATGGGACAGCAGCAGCGTCAATTCCTTCCCGCTAGCACCACACTTTCTGATCACAAGTTTCTTTACTGGAAACTGGTATCTAACAGCGCTCCCACCTTCAACCATCAACAAGGAACTACTTGAACCATTTATTTCAAGCTTCTTCAAACATGATAACATCTGGAGGTGTTCCAACGGCAAAAAAGGGCATTTTGTCAAGATCAAATATTTCATCTCAGTTAAATTACTAGATGCAAGTACTTTTGAGAATGCACAATTCAGATGGCCCTTCTTTCCCGCAACCCACAAGTGTGATTTAGATTGGTATAAATTTGAGTACTTCAAGTGCTGAAAATCTGATCTCACTTCTTCAATCAGAGCACGGCATGGAGAGTTTGTCCAAGGAACGGGAGGCAATGATGATAGCGTTGGGCATTTTACAATCTCAAGCTCCTTTAGTGTAGGGAATTGAGTGCTGTCCATCTTTGAATATGGCAACTCTATAAGTTCTGGGCAATCTCTTACTATGAACACTTCTAGCTGAGAGAACACACGGGAAGCATCATTTCCGGTCCATTTTTCTAGTCGCGGTATGCCAACTAGCTCTAACCTTTTTAAATTCCAAAAGCTTTGGCCTTCTATACAACTCAAGGATTTTTCACTGTGCTGGTTAACCAACCATAACTCCCCTATAGGTGGGAATTTGTTCCAGTCTAGACCATGCAGACTAAGAGATTGCAGGCCTTTGATTGACAAGTTAAAACCTAACCATGATGGGCAAGTGGCACCTCCATGCCCTTCAATTTGTAGCTCCTGAAGATTGTTATGTGGCTTAAGACTTTCAAGAATATGTTCATCTTGGGAACAATCCTTTGTTGACCAATGTAATATTAACTTGTGCAAATGACTTTTGTTTAAAAGTTTTGCTTCGTCCGCCGCCTGTGCATTTTCAAGATTATAAATGCCTAGTGTTCCGTTCAGCTCCAACTGTCCTAACTGTCTTAATGCAAATGGCTCACTTTGTCTTTTCACTTTAAATCTCCTTAGTTCTTGTAAACATTTTAACTTACCCACATTAGCAACGTCAGAGTGGAGATTGTCATCGGGGACAAGAAAATGGCGTAGCCTTACAAGATTATCTATATCTCTTGGTAAACCAAAGTGACCATTGCATTTTCGTACATCAAGGATCCTCAAGTGATAAAACCTTGAAATGGTGTTGGGTAGCCTTATTTCTGGAAAATATCCCCTAATAATCCTTAAGTAGCGCAAGTGGACGAGATTTGAAAAGTTGTGCAACATATTCTCCACTGCATATGATGGAGTAGACAACAAGATGACGCGGAGTGATTTTGCGTTACTTAACAAATCACCAAGAGGACTGATAAAGCTTCCATGGAATCGTCCAAATAGCATAAAAGAGTGTAGCTTTTCAACATCCAGTCTCTTACTTAGTGTGCTGAAATCCGTCTTGATGCTTTCAAAAGTCACTCTATCATTTACATCCATGTCATCTATCACAATAGACAAATGGCGTATAGATGGTGGAATTTGCACAAACCTTACGTTAGAACTACTGACAGCAAGACATTCACAGGATGAAACCTTCAATGCTAACTCATGTAGTAGATCATGCATACTGTAATAAGGAGACCCATCTTCATTCACATTTTTTTTGAAAAATCCAAAATCAACCAAATGATTCAAACAACTCAATGCTATATCTTCAGTTCGTTTGTTTTGGTCCTGATGTGATTGTAAAATGTCTAGTCCTATCCATAGGTGAATCAACTCATCACTGTCAAACTTGTAATCTTCAGGGAACAAAGCACAATATATAAAACATTGTTGCAGATGGAAAGGGAGATAGTCATAGCTAAGCTTTAATGCTGGCATAATATCATTGTCACCAGTTTGTAATTCCCATTCTTTACTTTCTAGGACACTTGTCCAATGATTGAAATCAAGGTGATTTCTCAACAATCGACCTACAGTTTTTGCTGCCAAAGGGGAGCCCTTTAGTTTTTTGGCTATCATTTCTCCAGTCTGTTGTAAGATAGCATGATGGTTTATTAATTTCTCATCACCAAACACATATGCTTGGAACAATTCCCATAACTCTTCAAATTCCAGCCCTTCCAATTGTATTGGACGATAAGTCTTTTGTACTATTTCTGCAACTGCTGGAAAACGAGTGGTGACTAGAATCACATTTCCCTTTGTTTGTGCGTTTCTGAGGGGTGCTAATAGCCTTTTCCAATCATCCTCATTACTGCAATTCCACATATCATCCAAGACAAGCAAAATCTTCTTTGACTTCAATCTTCGCTCAATCAAGTCATCTAGGTCACCCAGTTGCTCATTCTCATCTAGGTCACCCAGTTGCTCATTCTCAACTTTAGGTATTGAATCAGCAATCTCTTGTTTCAATCTGTACGCATTGAAATTGAGAGAGATACATACCCAAACATTAACATCAAAAAGGTTCTTTACTGCTTTGTAAATTTGCTGAGTGAGAGCTGTCTTCCCTATTCCTCCTGGACCAGTAATTGGAATGACGGTCAGGTCCTTGACACAGCAATCACCATGAGTTATGTCTTTAATAATTCTATCCTTCTCACCCTTCCTCCCATAAAATTCAGGCTCTATAGTCGCTGAAGTGGTCACAGGACGAAGCATAGCAATGCTGCTTCGAATGGTGCGATTTGATTCCGGCAACTCTAGATTAAGAATGGTAGAGACTTTGGCACAGACTAGCTTCAGCTGCTCAGAGATGTGCTTCGTTCTTGTGGACAGATCCACCCTATCGAACTTCAGCTTTGGTGTTTTCATAGTGTCCTCCCTCTGTGATCCCCACTGTTTTTCTTTTCTAGGCATGTGCGTTGCAGTAGAGCTGTGGTCGATATCAGTAGAGCCGGTGTCGTTGTCGTCTTCATCGGTACAGTCGTCATCGGCATCATGTTCACCAGCTAAAGAGAGGTCACTGCCGGCAACAGCTTTCTCGTCACCTCCGCCCGAGCAACAAGCAGAAAGGTACCTCTTCTTAATGTTTCTGGCGGTGTGGCGGGTGTTGAGGAGGAGGCCATGGAGGCAGCCTCTGGTGTGCTCGTCGGCGGCCTCGTCGGTGCCGTCGAGCTCGTCCTGGATGCGGAAGTAGTCCAGCTCGTCCAGCACGTCCTCGGCGTCGTAGGCGAGGCCACGCAGCTGCAGGAGCAGCTGCTTCAGCGCGGGGCTGCGGGTCTCCCTGCCGCGGGCGTTGTCGAGCATCACCTGCGCGTAGAGCAGCTCCAGCTTGACGGCGCCGACATTGGTGCCGAGCTCCGAGCAGGCCAGCCACGCCTCGACGAGCCCTCCCGACAGCGGGCTCAGCGCCTTGCCGACCATCCACCGCGCCGCTTCAACGGCCACCGACTCCATCGATCCCAACGTGCGCTGCAGCCGGAATCGCGCGAGCTGCACGGGCGTAGGAGCAAAGCAAGCTGCAGCAAACTGGTGGAGGAGTAGTGGATAAGTGGAGTACACAAGTGCTAGCTGAACAGCTCGTCAGTTCTTGCTGGCAATCTCAACTTGTTTGTTGTTACTACTCTGCAGTGGAGGACCCAGCATGGCAGCATCAACTAGTCCATTGGTTGCTACTTGCAAGTGGAAAGGTAATGTATCTGGGAGATCTCTCAGTTCCTTCGGTGAATTACCTGGATATGGAATTTACCTCTCGTCACTGCACAATCTTGAAACTACCGCCTGAGGACACCAGTTCCAGAATGCAATAGCTTGTCAGGCTTGCCGACAGAAGTGTGTCGTTCCATGCATCATCTAACTGCAAGTCTGCAACTGATACTCCCTCCGTCCCAAAATAAGTGCAGTTTTGCACTATTCACGTTCAACGTTTGATCGTTCGTCTTATTTAAATTTTTTTATGATTAGTATTTTTATTGCTATTAGATGATAAAATATGAATAGTACTTTATGTGTGACTAAATATTTTCAATTTTTTCACAAAATTTTCAAATAAGACGGACGGTCAAACGTTGGGCACGGATATCCATAGTTGCACTTATTTTGGGACGGAGGTAGTAGTTTGATTGGACAGCTCCATCCATCCAGTAGAACTCTTGTTTGCACAATCAAGAAGAACATAGCCCGATAGATCCAACAGACAGTTAACCAGGCTGCAGTGTGCTCTGGGTCTCTGTGCAGAATAATGTTTTCTAGGTTGCCATTGTTTTCTGCAGCTCCAGAATGCCAGTGGTCTTGATCAAGCAGGCATGTGCCTGTTAAAGGCTGTCTAAGCAGGTGCTCCCCAATGATTGCTGGTGCACCATACGGAGTAGGCCTTTTGCACCAGCAGCATTTGGCTTCATTTGCAATGCCTTAATATTTGAGAGGAGCTCTGCTCTTGACCAATAGCAGCTGCCATTTGCTTGATCCACAGAGCCCTTTAGGGAGGCTCTTATGGTAATGATCCCACACAGTCTTCGTATAATCTCCAAGAATCAGATGTGCATCAGTGCATGTCCAAGTCTTCGAAGCTGATATTTTGGTTGCCATTTTCTCCACCTGTTTCCAAAACCTTGATGGGCACTTCTAACCTGACAAATCCTAGTTGTGTGCCATGCGCCCATGCTTGGCATAATGGCATATGCTAGAAATAGAACCACACACACACGCACGCACACACTCGAAAATAGGTTTTCAAGAATAAAACAGTAAGAAGATTGTCATTAGCTTGCAACTCACTGTCTCTCCTAAATCCTAGTCAGTGCAACCCATTGCCTGACTTGTACTAAATGGTTCATGAGGATTGCCTGACTCGTACTAAATGGTTCCTGAGGATACTAAACCAAGTGTGAAAAAGTTATAAGCCAAAGTTTGAAATATTGTGAGGATCAGAAGTCTATATCCTTACATGCTCCAGTTGATCACTAAGGCACTAAACACTCAATAGTAAGAGCATACACTGTGTATTAATTGCCGCCTTCTATATTCTATTTTACCAGTTTATTTTTTAGAAAACGGGTAAAACCGGGCCTCTACATCCAACGCGGATGTATGCAACCAAATACTTTACCAATTCACATCAAAGAAACCTTAAAATGCATTCTGTAGTTTAAAATGAGAAATTAAAGCCATGCAGCCAATCATAACTGCATCTATATAAAGATATTGGGATCGATAGACAATGGCCATTGGGTTCAGATAGTGCCTATTTCAGCTAATATGTTTACATGGGAGAACAATATGAGAGCCATTCGGTTTATCCTAGACTGAATTGCGGATGGCAGAAAGCAGAATCATAGTCACGGTATGGAAACCAAAGGAATTCGCTCTTGTACCTCATGTATTAACTATTTCTCTAAGCTAAAAATGTAATGAATCGTCCAATTGCAGAAATGAACCATCGATTTTATGCATTGAAAAAAAATCACTGAGACATTCTAGCTCCTAGGACATGTTAGCTTGTGGCACCTAAAAATTCCCCAAAAGGAAGAGATCCCAAAATCCAATCCCTTGATTCCCTTCTGCATTTGTAGATGCCAGGTTTACTTGCGCTGACTACTATCAAACATACACGTGAAAGTAAATAGCAAAATGGACATCACAATCAAATTCAATAAGCAATAACACATCCTCCATCACTGGCGCATGAACAGCAACGCGGAACCAAACAGAAACCGCTGCCATAAATGGGGGAGATCAACATACCCTTCAAAAGCGGAGTGGTCTCTGCGGGCGCTCGCAGCAACAGCCTCGCCCACACGTTGCTGCCGGCGGCGCCGGAGCGCGGCTTCCACGAGGCCGTGGAGGCACCCCGGCCCGGCCACCCGCCGGAGCGCGGCGAGACGGAGGCGGAGGCAGAGGCGGGCGCCCACCTCTCCGCCTCGCCCTCGCCGGAAGGAAGCCAGTAAGGCTGGAGGCCCGTGACCAGAGAGAGATTTTCTCTCCCGCGTGCCAACGGGCCGAAACTAAGTGGCCCACGTTGAAGGACTCCAATCATCCGGCCCAGTATGTGGGGCCCACAAACCGCCCGGTTGTCAGCATGGGCCAGGAACCGCCATGCGGGCCCCACCCTCCTCGAAACCCGCGTCGAGTGGGGACACACGGCGTTGGACTGGCCCGCGGGTGAAAAGGCCACGTCGAGCCAAGCCGGCCCACGAGGGCGGCGACGACGCGTTGGCGTTGGTGCGGCGGGGAGGCAACACGCCAGCTGTCCCGTCTCCTTCCGGCCGGCGGCGACCGTGCATGTGACTGACGCTGCAATGCCCGGGCTGTGTCTGTGTGCACCGCCACGCCACCTGTCTCTCGCATCACCGTCACGTCAAGGGGATGCATGGCTAGTGGGGTCCACATGGAGGTGGCACAGGGAATATCGGCCTGGTCTACTACGAGTAATCTCCTCCAATCATCGCTATCTGATCTGATTAAGCATTAGCAGATGAAAATTGCTATGCATATTATCCCATTATTTGATGGGGATTTGATTCATGTAGAATTTGATCAATGGTTATAAATGTTGTAGAGCATTTGGATAATCTATAGTTGCGTGTTTATGTTCGTACATGAGCAAGATTTCGTATTCATGCTTGCATAATGGCATTGCACATTTGCGTGCATCGGCGTATGCTGCGTTTTACGGGTGCCATCGTTTGGCATATCGGTGGAATAAGTCAAACGGCATATTTACAAACGAAAAGTAATTTGTGAATAAAATTTTTATATATGTATTCTTAGCGATCTAAAAGCAAAGACTGAAAAATATACTTCGATGAAAAAAAATCCCAAAATCAACTCAAAATTTAACGTTGAAAATTCAAATTCTGACTGATAAGCATATGAATATGCTAAACGATGGGGACCGTAGTATTGTAGTATTGTTCTTACATGGTGTTTCCAGTCGTTAGCGGTCAGAATCCGGTTAACCTTACCAACTGGAACCAGGATGTCTCTCCTCTGTGCAGCGTTGACCGCATGTTAATTGCAGCATGTTCCTGTGCCTGGTGCCAGAGAATTTCCGCAGACAAATTCAATCCATACAGGTAACGGTCTAGACCAATTCGCAAGTACTACTAGTAGTAGTATAGTTCTAGCAAATTATTTTCCATTTTAGAATTGAGATTATTATACAGTACAGGAAAATACATAGTTGAGACCAAATCGTACGTGCAGGGCAGATTCGGCCATAACTTTCACACAATTGGAGTACAGTACAGCCGTGCATGCAAATGAAGTAGGAGTAAGTCTTGTCCACATCGTACTAATACTAAAAATCTAGCTGTACTTCCACTACTGGGATTTCCCTGCTGCTTCCTTTGATGGCAAGATGGAAACCGGCCGGTGCACCGTTTTCCTTCCAGATTTGCACGTACCACCACCCACTTGATCGTCTTCATAAGACAGTTTTTACTAATAAATTAATTTTTATTTCTTAATAAACCGTTTTAGTATTACTAGAAAATATGGGTAATCGATGAGGCTATAACCTAATACAAAATGTCTTAATACAAAATGTCTTAATATTTTTAGCATTGCAATGTGTTATATTTTATAGATTAGTTTTCTATTATTTTTTCTGTTTTATAATATATATATATATATATATATATATATATATATATATATATATATATATATATATATATATATGTAATGCTAGAAAATATTATAATATGAAATAGGGGGAGTACGCGGCAGACGGGGAGGAGAAAAAAAAATCGGTCACTAATCAGAAGTATAAGACGAGGAGATCCTGCTACTTCTTCCCCATCACCACCACCACCACCATCGCTTTCTTCCTCCTCGCCTTCTGCTTCTGCATCCATCCATCCATCCATTACTCGCCGAAGACTTCGCGCGGGGAGAGAGGAGGCAAGCTTGGTCGCGGGAACGCGGGAAGAAAGGTCCGAGCTTGGAAGGAGAAGAAGAAGTAGCCAAGAACGCGAGAGCTTGGAAGGCGAGCTGCGGTGGTGTAGCTAGCCAATGCCGGCGGGGAACTGGTAGGGAGGGGGATGGGGGGAGGGGGCACGCTCGTCGACGGATTCCGCCGCCTCTTCCACCGCCGCACGGCGTCCGGCTCCAACCAGTCGTCCAACGCCGGCGAGGAGGCCGCCTCCTCCGACCTCGAGGTCGCCGACGACCCGGATCTCGTCGCCCTCCGCTCCATCCGCATCCGCGTGCCCAAGCGCAAGATGCCTCTCCCCGTCGAGAGCCACAAGAAGGTGAGGAGGTGCCTAGTGTGAAGTGTGCTTTGCTTTGCTTCGTTTTCTTTTCAGTTTGGGGGTGAAATGAAAGTTTCAGGCTTTCTCGTGATCCTTGATTCGTGGCCACGAGGGGTTCTTAGACTAGATCAGATCTTCGTGGCACCTGAATTACTTGCATACTGTACAATATCATTATTTCTTTTTTTCTATGATCTGTGCAAAGTGCAATACAGCTCAAGTGCAGGTAAAGCTTGCGTGTTCTATCCAATCTTTCTTCTTTCGATGGTTGCTTGTAGAGCGATAGTTGCTTGTAAACTGCCATCCGATTCGTCATCCTGGCTGTTGACCTGTGTTATTCCAGTGATCTATGAAACGATCGATCTCGTAAAACTTAAGTTTCTTTCTTTCTTTCTCTGTTTGCTTAGTTCTGAAATTACTTGCTCCTGCATGCTCCATTTCTTAGAGGAGTGCAATTGCAGCACTACTATGCAAAAAGCTTGTGCCCTCTTTTGGAGCTGTTCTCAACAATTGGTCCCATCATCCTTGTCATACTGATCCTTAGGAGCTCATATCCAAGTTGTCCACTTGTGGTTTTGGATGATCTCATCAGAATCGGCTACTAATTAGTACTCCAGGTTTGACTTGGTCTGGCCTATGTATATCTCTGGTACGGACTGTTTCTATTGGGAACAAGTCGCGTCTTGCACATGGTATGGAGCAGGTGTTCCTTTCATTTGCGAATAAACCTACATGTCTATGTACTGAAAATGTCAATTTTTGTTAGGTTGGTCATGATATTCCCAGGGACAAGATCATGGTTTTGTTTATAGGGCTATTCTACTACTGAAGAAGTTTTATAACCAGCCACTCTGTATTTTTAGTTAGCTTAATATTTTCTTGCAAAATTGTGATCTTGTAGAACACAGTGGAAATGGAGTTCTTCACTGAGTATGGAGAAGCAAGCCAGTACCAGATCCAGGAAGTCATTGGCAAAGGAAGTTATGGAGTAGTTGCTGCTGCAGTAGATACCCGCACGGGTGAGCGGGTTGCAATCAAGAAGATCAATGATGTGTTTGAGCATGTATCAGACGCTACGCGCATATTGCGTGAGATCAAGCTCCTTCGTCTGCTCCGTCACCCAGACATAGTTGAGATCAAACACATTATGCTTCCCCCTTCTCGAAGGGAGTTCCAAGATATTTATGTTGTTTTTGAGCTCATGGAATCAGATCTCCATCAAGTCATCAGAGCGAACGATGACCTCACCCCGGAGCACTACCAGTTTTTCCTGTACCAACTTCTCCGTGCTCTCAAGTACATCCATGCAGGTAAGCTTAACTACTGATAATCCCCAATTCCCCAAGAACCTACTTGACCACCATTAAACACATAGTTCTGTTGATTTATCAATTAACATGGAATTCTAGCTTATTCTCTGATAAATCATCTATATTGGCACAGCTAATGTATTTCATCGCGATCTAAAGCCCAAGAATATACTGGCAAACTCAGACTGCAAATTGAAAATATGTGATTTCGGACTTGCCCGAGCATCATTCAATGATGCCCCTTCAGCAATATTTTGGACGGTAAGGTGCTTATATGAGATTTTACATTCCTCTTTAAGTCTTTATGTTATTAATTATGTTCTACTTTGTGAAGGATTATGTTGCAACGAGGTGGTACCGAGCACCTGAATTATGTGGCTCATTTTTCTCCAAAGTAAGGTCTTCAACACTAGAATTCTTTCAATCAAGATTAATGCTTTTGTGGCACCATAGATGAACTGGTCTAGTTGTTTTTAGCAATGCTTTCTTTTTTTTTTCCTTTTTCTTTATCTATCCAACTTACAGTTGTGCTAAATGAAGTATAGAAAATTAAGTTATTTTTCTTTTTGTTGATATTTTAGTTGTTTGTACATACAATTTTCTATCAAAGCTGCGCCACTTGAAACTGGATGAGTAACATTCTTGTAGAGAAACAATATACTGTGAACTCTTTTGTGCAATGCTGATGCTCTAGCGTTCCATGTGTTTTATGTGTTCTAACAATAGCCAATTTGCATACAGTACACTCCTGCAATTGATATTTGGAGTATTGGGTGCATATTTGCTGAACTTCTCACTGGGAGACCACTATTTCCTGGGAAGAATGTTGTGCACCAATTAGATATTATAACAGATCTTCTTGGAACTCCATCATCAGAAACCTTATCCAGGGTATGTTTACTTTATACCGATTCTCATATATCCTTGAACCTCCTATTCAGTAACATTCAAGAAGATCCAATTCTCTAATAAGATGAAACAATCACCTTACTGTTTTCTGCGTCTCTGCAGATTCGAAATGAGAAGGCCAGGAGATACTTGAGCACCATGCGGAAAAAACATGCTGTCCCCTTCTCTCAGAAGTTCCGCAATACTGACCCCTTGGCTCTTCGTCTGCTAGAGCGTTTACTGGCATTTGATCCTAAAGATCGGTCTTCAGCTGAAGAAGTAAGCTCAAGAGAAAGCATAGCATCCTTTCCAAACCTCAAAAGTAGTTTTTTTTTAAAAAAAAAAACTTTCAGAAAACACACATTTTTTATATGTTATATTCTCTTCCAATTTTCAGGCTTTGGCTGATCCGTACTTCGCAAGTCTTGCTAATGTGGAACGTGAGCCCTCAAGACATCCAATCTCAAAACTTGAGTTTGAATTCGAGAGACGGAAGCTGACAAAAGATGATGTTAGAGAATTAATTTATCGAGAGGTACAAAGCAATAGCTCAAGTTTCCTGCTTTGTGTTAATAATAAAATTTTCAGCTTTTCAAGATTGATAATTATGAAATGCAAACAGATTTTGGAGTATCACCCACAGATGCTGCAAGAGTATATGAAAGGTGGAGAGCAGATTAGCTTCCTCTATCCAAGGTGGAGTCTTGCATTAATTTTTCTTTCTTTCATCAGTTTTAAATTTGACGTGACAAAGATGAATATCTGGCTTTGTTCCAGCAAGTTAGCATGGTGTACAATATACTTCTTTGCACCAACAAAATTGCCTTCGCCAAATACTCTTGTTGGCAAAGCAAATTTACTAAGTATAGTAGTAATTTGCTTTGCAGTGCTATCATGAGTTAATATCTGATCTATTCTTGTTGCTCTCATTTTGGTATATCTTTATTTCCAAGGCTCCTTTCACCCGAAAATTGCATGGACATTGTTACAGGAAACACTAGCCATGTGTGCATCTAATATATATTTATCATGTCCTTGCATGGTTTTCTCTCCTTTTTTTACCGTGAACATAGCTATTCTGTTAATATTGTTATCTTACTGCAGTGGGGTTGATCGCTTCAAACGACAGTTTGCACACCTTGAGGAGAACTACAGCAAAGGAGAAAGAGGTTCTCCACTGCAGAGGAAGCATGCTTCTTTACCGAGGTACATAATGTGGCAATATCAGAAATCAAAAGTGCAGACCTACTTACTTTCATATCAATTATTGTACTAACTTCTCCATTGATTTTGCATATAACAGGGAGAGAGTAGGTGTATCAAAGGATGGTTATAACCAACAAAACACCAATGACCAAGAGAGGAGTGCAGATTCCGTTGCCCGCACTACAGTAAGCCCTCCAATGTCACAAGATGCACAACAACATGGATCTGCTGGCCAAAATGGTGTGACATCCACAGACTTGAGTTCGAGGAGCTATCTGAAGAGTGCAAGCATTAGTGCTTCCAAGTGTGTCGCTGTCAAGGACAATAAAGAACCAGAGGTACTGTTACTTTGCTGCCTGAAATTTGTCTATGATTCTTATAAGTCGGCAAAGTTGCATAGCTATGCACGATCGAACAAAAGTATAAGAAATGATGCGTGAAAAGAAAAGGAATTGACTGGTTTGTTGCATAGGTAGTAACTCCATTTCCCTTTGCATTTCCCTTTTGTTTTTGCTATCCTTTAGGATGATTACATCTCTGAAGAAATGGAAGGGTCGGTCGATGGATTGTCTGAACAAGTCTCCAGGATGCACTCCTAGTGCACAACGATGACGATGATCAGTGCAAGATTCTGTGAGGCGCACCAGATGCTGATAATTTCCAAGCAGAATGCTGCACTGCAAGTTTGGACTTTGGACAATGCAAGTATGCAACAGCCAGCCCGAGATGATTGGCATCTTCTTATGCTCATCCATGTTCACATATTCTTCTTGCCATTGTGCTGTCTGTCACTACAGGACCCCTGCATGGATTAATGTATTATCCCTCTGATGTAACACTAGATTAGTCCATCTGTCCATGGAGGAATGAATAGCAAGCAGCCAGCTTGTGCATCATGTGGGCATGTTCATTTTCCAGTGAGATCTAGTCATATCCATGCTTTTTTTGTAATGGTATATGAAACAGTTTATCAGTGAGACTCTGGTCCATTCCTCTTTGAAGAACTGCTGAGACAGTGATCCATTCCTCTTTGAAGAACTGTTCATTTTCAGTACATTAAGCCTAGTAAAGTTCAGATGTTTGAGTTCGGTGCTTAATAATCATGTCACACGAATTTTCCAAGATGAATGCCAAGTAGGAGTAGTATGTATGAGTGTACAATTGCATCAGAAATTCAAATGAAATTGGCGAATACCAGACGTAGCGGAGGAGATTCGTTCGAAGTCACAGGTTTTGGCGGCCGCGAGTCCGACGACCCGGAATGCAGTTTCGTACGTTGGAGCTGGCAGCACACTGAAGAAATTCCTGTAGCTGAATGCCTTGGAGAGATGTGGTATGTGATCACAAGCTCTTACTTAAAAAAAAAAGGTAAACTGCATAAACCACATGTTTTGTGATCAAAGTTGTAGAAAATCACACGTACTTTGATATTCATGATGCGCGTTAGACTACTGATCGCTAGCATTAGCGGTCATTTCTGAGTGATCCCATTTCCATTTCATCTTCTGCTACTCAGGATAGTGAAAACATCTGAAGAAATGGAAGTCTGAACTCTGAACAGGTAAACCCAGGATGCATTCCTTAGTGCGACAATGACAGATGACGATGATCGGTGCAAGATTTCTGCCAGACACACCAGATGGCAATAATATGGAAGCAGGACACTGCACGGCAAGTTTCTTTGAACTTTGGACACTGCAAACAGTCGTCCAAAGATGTTTTGCCACTTCTTATGAGTTATGCCCACGCACAATGCACGTTCATCTACTCTTACCATCATGTTACTCAATTCAGATGCAAATCATGCAACATTAGATATTTAGATTAGATCTGGTCCATGGAGGAATGAAGACTGGCCAGCTTTTCCACCATGTGAGCATGTTCATTTTCCAACCAATGGCATGTGAAGGTTATCATGTGCTGTTCCTCTGTAAAAAGAGCTGTGCTAATAGATCAAGAAGCATCACCTTTCGCATGCAATGTTTTCTTGTCTAATTGATCAATAACTGAGCCACACACTCTTTTACAAGACACACAGACATCTTCAAGTGCGCAGATGAAACGTCTTCCAGAACACCCCTCCATTCCAGTACTGCGAGCAACTCTATTGGGAGCTGAATTTACTGACTACTGAATTACAGAAAGGCAGGAGACATCTCATGACGATTTTCTTCGGTCAGAACAGTTGTCTTCACAATATTCTTCCAATTCACAACAAGCTCTCTCCTCAGATTGACCCTTGTCCAAACAGAGCTTCATAAGATATCAAGTTATGTGTTACTAAAGCATAATGAGCTAGACCTTAAGATACAATACAACAATGAGTCAATGACAGACGTCTGAGGCAAGATCTGTACATACTGGCGGGTAGCTACTCAACGAAGGGGTACATTTGGCATCTTAATTGGAACACTACACTAACTGACTAGCTGCTAGCTAATCCGGGAGCAGCAGATTTCTCTGGGCTCAATCCTTGCATTGAATATATACATAGCTGCCATCACTGGTCGCCAACATAATCAGAAAGGACTAACTCTTCCAGCAAGCATAAGCATGAATTCAGGAACAAGGCGGCGTGCAACAGGTACAGCAAGATGCTGGGCAGATGTATCTGGATTGTCATTGTGTATCACAGTAACAATCTCTTCGAGCAGCTTATCCCTACCACCCCGGAGAGGATCCTACAGCACACATTAATCAGAGAAAAAGCATCAAGTGTAAGAACTTTGTGCATTCAAATTACACTGCCAAATACACCAGGGCGTGATACCCATGTTGGGGCAATAACAAACATCAAGCAATACAGTTTATACATGATGATCAGTTGAGACAGTTAATTCTTTGAAGGGTTGAACCTTCAGGCCCTTTCTCTTGTAAACAAATTACAATCACATTGTATACTAAGCCGATAACGCCTTTATATTGGCTGAAGGTACTTAGTTATACTACCCACCATAATGGTTCTTAAATCAAAGACTATGACCATCTTGAAATCACAATATAGAGAAGAACAACATTACATCGAAGAATGAATAATTTTATATCTAGAAGAAAGAAAAGTACCATAAAAGCCAAAAAGAATAAAATGTCTAAACAAAGCAACCCATATCCAATAACCACTAATGTAACAATAGATTACCTGAAGGAACAAGTCAGTATGCGTCTTTCCATCATACAAGAACAGATCTGCTTTAGCGCCATTCTGTTGTAAAGCATCAAAGAAAGCCTCGCTGCATTTTTTCAATTAAGTCAATCAATAGAAATAGTCCAATATGGCAATATCCATAATATAGAAGTTTCGTCAGATAACACAACTACAAAAGTTACTGGTGAGGAGGAAAAATAAACAAGTGACTAAATCTCCTAAATGAAAGCTAGATGGTAGCACTAGAATCCCTAAGAATAACACTTGTTTCTTCTTAACTAGTGTTAACTACTCAACACCAACAGGAAATGGCACAACGACATGATGTTGCACTAGACTTATCTCTTCTTCTTGACTAGTGCAAAACTACAATAAGATTCAAGAAGAAACAATTTCTGACTAGTCTATGTTTTTCTTCAGCATGCCAAACAACATGGAAAATTCATTTGAAATGGATGCAGACAAGATCAGGGCACTATGAAGTATAAACAATCCAAAAGTCCTTAGAATACCCAAGTCCCTCAGTTTGGTTTAGTCATCTCATTTTGTTTGGTCAGTAACAGCATGTGGAAACTTTATCATAAGGCATACTTATTATAAAATAATGTCAAAAAGGTTTAAATGAGTTTCATTTCACTTTGTTCGAGAGAAAAGTTTCATTTCACTTAACCTGAGACATTCATCTCCTGGAAGAGAAAACAACTGAATAAGTATATAGTTGGTTTGTCCAATCTAATGATTTCGAATCAATACGACAAGAAAACATGCACCATGTGATCAACCATTCCAGTTGAACCCACCTCTCAGCCGATGGTATTGAATAGTCACTTGTTCCATGAAAAAGGAATATTCGAGGTAATAGAGATACTGCAGACCTAGCAGCTGGGTCCTTAACCATCACCAGTGGAGAAAATTTTTGCAACGACTCCTCGCCTTCCATTATGCTGTGAAACATATTGTTGAAGTGGAGTTTTAGTGTATATAAAGATAATCAACATGATATGCTCACATAGTTCAATAGTTATGTGGGAGTTGTTGTGGAGGACATGAATACAATACTATGCTACTTTTAACTAGCTGTAAACAAAAATATACCTGAGAAAGATCGATCGGTACAGGCCACGTTTATGGAAATGATCGACCAAGTTAAGAAGATTATAGCTGTAGAAATCATAAATCAACTGTCAAGTCCGATACACCAGAATTCCTGTATATGTGAACCATTAATGAAACTACTAAAAATGTAATATAATCTCATATTAACAACAAAGGTACCAAAATGATCCATAAATTACAAAGGCTGAACATGAATCATCAATAATATTTATAGAGTGAGCCCAATTGCCACGTCACTTCTTAAAAAGGGAACTTCTCATTTCTTAAATCTGGAGCAGCATATTACAGCTCTGCTCACAAAGAAGCTCAGCAGACTACATGATATATTCCACTGCACACTGTTGCAAATATTTGACGATACAAACAACTGAAAACTGAAAGTAGTGTGTACATGCGCATTCTCATACACATTATAAAAAATGCAAGCCTTGCTGCATGTCACCTACTGTAAGTGTAAAGAGAATAGGATATTACCCGCCAGAAATACCAAAATAAGCTTTTAGCTGTGCAATGCTCCAAGTGGAAGCATCTCCTTCACCAGATTCTTTAATAGCTTGGTGTAAGAGAGTACAAGCAGCAATATGAGCACCAGCAGATTGTCCAACAAGATAAATCCTGTAAGTATCATTTAGATAGAGCAGATACGGACAAGATGCCTCAATATATGCCATACCAAAATCAGAACGCTGAGTTGTTTCTTGTATTCATAATGCTTCAGAAGTTCCATATGTAAGATCTTTATACCATGCAGTGCCTATTACTAGAACCCTAGAATATATAAATAGCCAAAATGAAATATGTCTCTGACGCAATCTAACTCACATTCCACTGATGGTATCCTAATTATTAATACAGTAACAATTTGTGCACATCAGCGCATGAGAAGGGCATACGTTGGTAGGAACCATTTTGTAATTGCAACAGAAAAGTTTGAAAGTTTGATATCATTGTAAGTTATGAACCTTTCAGGATCACCTCCATAACTAGCTATATTATTGCAGACAAAGGCAATCCCTTGAGATGCATCTTCTACCATGTCACCAATAGTCCCTTGAGGAAAGTTTCTGCAAACAAATAATTGGTATGCTCCATGAAAATGGTATGAACCCTCATTCTTCTATATGCATATTTGGAATTTATTTTGAGTACCTGTAATCAATGCATGCAACTAAGATGCCCCTCTCTGCCAAGCGCCTGCCCAAAAGGGCCCCCCACCCTTTGTACCTGTGGATGTGATATGTATAATTTGCCATTATAGAGTCAACACACAATCTAAATCTTACTGGAACTTCAGGTAGTAAAAATACAGAAAGTTGGAGACCAGGATAGTACATACTTGTACAGTTTTACTCACCCTATGATCCAAGCTCCACCCGTGACAAATGCCACAACTGGCTTCAACCCAGTTCTATCGGTAGGTATGTATAAATCCAGCCTAGATAACGAATTTTCAGGGTTCAATATATGAACAGCATAATAGACTATGCCAAGTACACCAAGACAAATTAAAATACAAATATGAGCATAGCATTATGAAAAAGATAGCAAGAAGTACCTGTTTCTTGGTTGTTCTCCATATACAACACTTCTACAAACTTGGCTCGAGAAGAAATAATAATATACAACTGTATTAAAGAAAAAAAAAAGAGTCAAGGCCATCTCCATTCTGTTAAACACTTTCTGTGGTAATGAAATTTGTTTTTCCTTTTGAAAACTGGCTAGGAGCTCTAGCACTAACTAAGGAAGAGGATGTGGGATGGAACCCATGCTAGTCTTAAGGTTTCAAACCAGCGGATGGGACAATTGTGATCTCAGGTATATAACACAAAATCCTACTGAAATACTACTTATGAAGACATGGTGAATCAACCAAAGAAAAATGTGGAGATGTGCCAAGCAAGTGCAAATGCTTTCTCTCCCTCAACAAAAGAGTAATGGCAAGGCTAACCTTGAATGAAACCTGGCATGAGCAAGAAGGTGTAACAACAGAGGGCTAGGAACTGCCTGATCCATCTGTAGCCTATCCTGCATAAATCAGACAGAGACAGGTTATTGCAAAGAACAAAACACGAAAAGGCCATACTCCCATGCACAATCACAAAAGCAGTTTAGCATCTGATCTTAGTAGAAAGCCTAGAAATGATCATTTAGCTCAGTGGTAAACATGCCATGATACAATTTCCCCAAATTACAGCATTAACACAAACAGATCGCAAGGTTGAAGTGATAGCAGCCTTGTAGTAGAGTAGAACTATCAGAAATGGAATTGGCGAGTACCCGAGGTAGCGGAGGAGGATGAGCGTGAGGCGCGTGAGTAGGTAGGTCTCCTCGGCCGCGCGGCGGACCTCCCGCCGGAAGGATCCGCTGCGCTGCCGGAACCGCTCGCTCACCACCACCCGCCGCCGCACACCCCCACCTCCACCTGGCAAGAGCGGCGCGTCCTCCGCTGCTGCTGATGCAGCGGCGGCGGCGGCTGGAGATGACGGCGGAGCCTCCCCCGTCTCGCTGGGCCGGGCTGCCGCGCGGTCAGCGAGCTCCACCTGCATCGCGACTGACAAACCAGCCGGCGACGTGCGATATTCCCCCACGTCGTCGTGACTCGTAGCGCTCCCTGCTCCGGGCAAGACGTAGCGCGGCCGCCTCTCACGCAACGGCGAGGTCGCCGGGGAGAGATGGCGGTCGTTCTGCGGCGGCGCTCCGGCGGACGACGGCGAAGAAGAGAAGATCTTCTCACTGGAGGGAGGGGGGGGAGCTGACAGGTGGGCCACCACATGGCAGCGAGGAGTATTTATTCGAAGAGCCCCTTTAATTATTTTCGTATTACCAGTTAAATCCATCCACGATCGCTAATCCAAAACTGCACGCGTCTGAACCGTTCGATCTGAGGTGCGGCCAGATCGAGAAAAGAGTAGTTGGGGAGCGCATATTTACATTTTGGACCTTACTCTTATTCGTATTTGTGTTGCGGCCATATCGAGAAAAGAGAAGCGGGGAATTAGCACATTTACATTTTGGTCCTTCTTCTTATTCGTATTTGTGTTGACGGGTACCGTGGATTCCACCGGCGGCGCAGAGCCGGAGACCGGAGGGCGGCGGAACTCCGGCGAGCTCGGCGGTGACCGACGGTGGAAGGAAGGTGCATTGTTCGTCAGTACACCAAGCTCTCATCAACTCGCCGAGCGCTTCCCCTCCCTCCGCTCCATCCATCCATGGCGTCCTCCCCGCCTCCATCGACGGCGTCCCCCACCTCCTCCTCGCCCTACCGGAAGCTCCTCCACTCCGTACGCCTCGCCCTCGCCCTCATCTTCGCGTGCGATTCCGAGTCCTCTCCCCTGATGATACACTTTGTTTGGATTCCTTGTTCGGTTTCAGTTGATTTACTGGGCGGTGCAGCGCTGCCGGATGTCGGAGTCGCCGTGCCGGCTCACGGTCTCCGTCAAGCGCTCCCCGGAACCCGCTGGTTCCTCGCCCCTGCGTATATCTGGTAGTGCAGCTGCGCGCTTGCGCCGTTGTGATCTGTTGCCCCTTCCTTCCGCTTACATTCGTGAACTACTGCAGTTTCAGATACTGGAGTTGGGAGCAAGCTGGAGGAGTTCCTGGAGCTAGATGCATTGGCGCGTGAGACCCCCGTGGAGAAATGGGGTATGCGATCACCTTCTCTCGCTCAATTTCCCTGTTTGCTGGTTGTCAGTAGCATCCTCAGACTGCGGATTGCATGAGATGTGTGGTTCTGTTGTTAACAACACCGCTGAATCATCTGGGAAGTTGGTTTGTACGGTATAGCCTGTTAGGTACGGAGTAGATATGGAGTTCACCAAGTCATCAGAATTTGCTTAAGATATATTATCACTACATTTGATATGTTCATATGTAGAATTGTAGATGGTCTTGATGGGAAGATGGATATATGTTTTTCCCTGACATTCTCTTGGGCAACAACCATGTACCTGACACTGTGCCATGTATCTTCATTTGGTTTAGAGTTTGTCATAACTCTTGGTTCATCATTCATTGTCTCACACTAATTCTTTCCATCTGCAGATGGTACCCTCTTAATCACAACTACAGGTATGCTTCGTATCTAATCTATGTGTTACATGGTTCCACTGCTCCATTTGTGCCATACTGACATAAACCATTTCATCTTGTCTATTTAATACTTTCACCTTATTCTAAAACATATGTTTAAGTTATCATGTGTTGTCCATTGTTCTCCATGGTCCCATGCTGCTAGTGCTCATTTTATTATCTCTTTTTGGAGTGGAAATCCCACAAAGCCTGAGAATTTTCCCATAAGAGCTGCAAAAGTTGATAGCATTGTGGGCATACTTAAATCGGTCGAACCACAGTAGTATGCCATGAAATTCGCTGTTTCACTTTGCTAAAACTTATATTTGAATCTTGCTGTCTCCTTGGTTCCTTTTTGTTCCTTTTTTGCATATAATGTAGTTCTGTACATACTGTCTAATTTATTCAAAATGGCTTTATTGGATAAAAAGGAATTCTAAAGTCAAAGGAAATGTTAAATATTTATGTTGCGTATACTTATCTTGTTATGTTTCTTCAGATATTTTCCAGAAATTCTGTGTGTATGTTTATTCTGTTTTGAATACATGTTATGACACCTGTGGATCCCTCCACAAATTAGCATTTGCCATGCAAATACATAAATATATATGTTGTAAACTATTGTTTTATTATCTTAATTCTATGTGTTTATTCAATGCTATTGAACTTTTTATTGCATACTTTTCCAATCTGTAGGAATCGATGACAAAGCTATTTATCGTTATCAATTTAATCTTCAAGAAGACACATCTTCAAGCACAAGATTTACCAAGCTAGTGACCACGTACAAAAGTCGTGCTATATTCAGGCAGGTCCTCTTGTGTTACTTTGATGTGACCTATGGAAATCTGGTGTTTGTTGAATCGTTTATGCCTTTTTCAACACAGTGGAACTGAAGTATGCCTTTGCCTGCCAACTGAAGCTGATGTTGATGACTTAATATTATGGTTGGTTGGTTTTGTCCGCAAGGTTGTATTAAGGAACATTCATATTTTTTAAATGTTTTTTCACCATAATTTTACCTGCCCAACCTTAGCAACATTAGTGATCGTTGTAATTTGTTATCCTGTCAATAATAGAATCCTCATAACAATCCTATATTACAGACTTACTATAGTCATTTGTTTCCAAATATGATAGAATTAGTAACATTATGTTGCTAACCATTTCTTTTTGCGCGATTGTCCCGAATACTTTCTAACTAGCATGTTTCTGTTGTTGACCTTTGCAGATATTCGTGCTAAGAGCATCTGTAAGTATTTCTGAACTTTTTTCTCTAGTTGTAACCAGTGTGTTCTTCCTATTTTCTTTGTTCACTATGTTTTTTTTCCATATTTCATAATGACTGATCATATTTATACTCACCATTAATCCCTTTAATCCTGAGTCCTTAATCCTCAAGTCAAAATGCCAAATGCTATTCGTCCATACTGACCATACACACTGGTGCTATTGTGTGTCTATCTCTTAGCAGCGGGTGATGCTGTTCTCTGAGGATGTGTTTTTCTTGTTAGAATAACTGTGTCATTTACAAAGCCTTCTAGCTTATCCCGTATCATGTGTGGCGTACTGCTCTAACAACAGTACATTATCCCGTATCATGTGTGGCGTACTGCTCTAACAACAGTACATTTCATGCCACTTATATCATCTAAATCGAATGTGCAGATTGCATTATGTGAATACTTTTTCACACACTGCAGGACATGTTTGATGTATTTCTATATGTGTTCCCGTTTTATATGGAGTCTCATACCTTTGTGCATGATGTGCAAAATGAAAATACATGTTCCTGTATTTATTTATTTACTTCTGAAAATTCACAAATACAAAAGTAACAAAACACGGTGTTCATTGGTCTATGCTACAGGGCAAAACAACTGAAAACCCTAATATTGGAGTTTCCTACAGATGCATTTGTTTGATAAGTTCTTAACAGCCATCTGATATCATATCACCAATTTGTCTGCCTGCATTTTCAGACCAACAATATTGTGTATCCTGAGATGTAATTAAAGGATATAAAACTGATGATCATGATTCATCCTCAGTACTTGGTTACATTCCATTCCTCCGAACATGTCTAATTTTACTTTGTGTTTGCATATGTCCAGTTTTAGTTGTTGCACAGTAAACAGGCCTAGAATTAGAAGCATCTATCTGCTTTTACTCTGTTTTTTCTTATTGTGACCTCTTAAATGGTTGTTTGATTTCTTTTGTACTACTCAGAATTTAGCATGTGAGCTCTTTGTTGCGCAAACAGACAGTGCTGGATCAGGAGACGTTTGTCTGTCACAAGATTCTGATGATGTCCATATTTCCATTACCACATCAAGTATTGACCGTCTAGTTTCTGGCCTTAAAGATTATGCACTCTCACATGCTAACACATCTGACAGGTGTGAAGCATGCTACATGAACAGGTAAACATTGCTTGCTGAGTTTAACTCTAGACATATTTGTTTATTTCTTTACTTTGCTATTGGAAATAGATTTATGATGTGTGTTATCTTTTGGATTTTGACTTTCAGTGGAAGCTTATCATTAGCAATTTAGCATCCATATTTAATCATTTTTCTGGAACTTGCACTTGAATCGCTAAACAACAGGTTTGAAGTTAATTTATGGGTGTTTTAGACTTTGTGTCACATAGGAAAAGTTGTCGCTCATGAAGCGGTAAATAAAATAATTGCAGTCACTGATTCTGAATGTAGTTATGAAAACTCACTTGTGCACACACGAAGGCTGGGGGAATAAGTCTTATCCCATCACATCTAATAAAATCTGAAATGTATTAATCAAATATGCACAATTGAGTGTATCAACATTATTTAATGTGAAGATATCAGATCCTGCCGCATTTGAGCTCTAGAATTGTATATATCAAGGCCTAATAGCTTTCTTTTGTTAAACAAAGTACCGATCTATCAGATGAACTGCTTCAGGTGGCCAACAGTGTCTGGTGCTATTCGCTAGATTTGAGTAATGTCTAATTGCCCCATTTTCCCATCACCCAAAGTCCCAAACCCATTCAGCATTTCAGTTCAACCTTTTTAGGCATGCTTGTGTATCCTACCTTTCGGTAGCCTGGTATGTAGTAGTTGAATTCAGTCATGTGCATACTAATGAATACCATATGTGTATCATCTATCTCTGCAATTGTACATTCCTCAAATAGCTTTGATTACATAGTTGATAGGGCTTGTATGTTTTGCTCTTCTGCCGTCTCACTTCAGAGATCGCCTGAAGATTGGAACTGGAACAGCAAAATATGTAGACAAAAGAAAAGCTAAAGGGCAACTTGTTGAAGTAGTGATAATGCTTGCACCTACTTCATCTGATTTGAGCTGTTGGATGACAAATTGTTCATCTACACAGGTTTGCACCATAGGCCTCTAAGTTACATAAACTAATTATGCAATTACATTAGCATACTTGTTCTTGTGATGTCTAACTGGTTATGGGTGTAGTATACAAGCAAGAGGGCCTCTTGTGTGGTATATTCTTGCTTGTATTTAGTAAGCTTATAAAAGTTATAACAGCATGGCGTCCAATGTTTATGCTGAAGGTGTGGTTCAAGTATGCTCACTGCTTCCACTCAATGGTGAATTGTCTATTGTAGGTTTTGCATTTTGTAGAGTTCATACCATGTCCAATCTCACAATCCTCCCTCAGTGCGCTGATGAGCATAGACTGGCAAAGCTACGGTTTCAAGTTTAAAGGGGGTTTCATTGATGACGATGGAAATGCTGAGCTTCAATGGGATAACATGGCATTTTCTCATGTCGATATTGCCATTCACACTTACCACGAAGGATATCCAGCTTTTGTTTTGTGCATGCTTTCTTTTTTCTAGTGATGGTGTCGCCTGTCTATTTGGCTGTGGATATCTCTGTTGGATTTCCCATCACTGTATTTGGCTATCCTTGACCTGCTGTAGCTACTGCTGTTGATGAATGGAAGAGCTCTCAACCTGAAAGGCATCTTCTAAGAAAGGCACTTAAGTCTGCATTGTTTGGATTGAAAGCAGACCATGCAGAAGACTTTCTCAGCTGCCATGGCCAGAAGGTTTGTGCCTTCTACACTTTGCTGTTAACCACGTAACTGGTGTGTTTGTTATTTCCATTCCTTACTTGTATGTATTTTCTGCCTGTTATAATTTATAACTCAAGAAAAACTATTGTTAGACATAAGGTAGTACTGAACCGACACCTGTTAGATTTAGTGCAACCTCAATGCAACACTTCTTAATCTGTGCCACCTGCCAACCTCGCAAAGTGACCACTTTCTGTATAGTTGCTCTTTTGGTCACACAAATTAGATTGACGTCATAATAAGCTTCATATTATAATTTCTGTAACTTATCATCAGAAATAATCACTCTGTTGGTTCCTACCTCAATGTGAATATCATCTTCACTTTCCTTGATACTTCTTTCCCTTGAAATATCAAGTGTGTGTCGGCTTTATACTACGAGGGGAAAACTGTATAGGGAAGAACTGGTGTGCCTACTGCCTAGTACACCCTAGCAAAATTACCACTCCCCTTAAATACCGAACAAAGACTAGACGGCAATATTGTTCAGCTTGGGAATGGGCTTTGTAAGTCTGTATGCCCTCAACTATTCTTGCTAGTTTTCATCAGGACACACATTGAATCTTAGTTTGGTGGCAAGCCACAAATGACATGGCCTAACATTTGCGTACTGTCAGTTCAATTACTACAAACTTGAAAAATGGATTAATCTGATATTCTAGAACAACTTTCATATAGAAAGTTTTCACACGAAACGCACCGTTTTACGGTTTGAAAAGCGTGCCATGAGTATCCAAAAGTTAATCCAACCTAAGGTAACTTGATGTAACTTGTTATTGCCTACAATTTGATGTAACTTGTTCTTTCCATAATTCAGGTTCGCGAGTATGTCCCTGATCTCGCAGAATCGATAGCTGGCTTAATCTTATCATCCAATGATCAAGAGTTCCAAGATGAGTGCATCGCTCTTCTCGGCCTAGGCTCAGATCAAGATCTCACAGAAGGGGCGGTTAGATCCTGCATCGGTGAGAAGATGAACCGTATCGTAGAGATGAATGACACCAAGGAGAACGTAGAGCACAACGCACCTTATCTGTTCGAGTGCGAGAGGTTCGATGAAGATTATAGCCTACTGGATGAAGACGACCCAGATGAGGATATGATTTTCGATTTCTAGCATTTCCAATTGTCTCGTAGCACTCCTAATCCAGAGATCTCCTATGCTGTGAGAGAGCTTTACTTTGACCAGAGAACTTTATAAACACTAACAAAGACTGCTCTCTGAGACTGTTTCCTGCCTCGTGTAAACAAAATTCAGACATTGTTACGTCAAAAATTCAGAAACTGCAAGTAATTGCCCATGTGCTGAGCATCTCTTTCTGTTCGTTCTCGTTCATGATAATATCTGCGTTCAATAACTCCATGAAGATTGTGTATACTATAAGCATTTTTAAAATAGTGCCAAGTCAAATATTTTTAATTGTGACTATTAATAGAAAAAAATAAAAAAAAATCATGTAAAATTAATATTAGTAGATTTATCATTAAACAAACTATCGTACTATACAATTATTTGTATTTAAAACATATTACTTTTATAGATATTGTTGGTTAAAGTAGCATCTCGAAAACCGTGTCGAAGTCCAAAAATACTTATATTTTAGAAAGGATGGATAGAGTATAACATTACAGACAAATTACATTATTTTTGTAGAAAATTCCACAAAATTTGAGTTGAATCCTTGCCTTCTTGATATCAGAAAGACGCGTGAGGGCGTGAGGCTGGATGCGTGTGGCCTCCTGACCTCGCGTCAGACTCAGAGCCCCATTTGCTTTTACAGAATGTGAAGCGTCCTCGTCTCGTCTAGTCCTCTCCTCCTCCTCCTCCTCCCTCCTCCTCCTCTCCGCTTTCGCTTTGACCAAACCCAAACCACGCGCAGCGCTCCCATCGCCCAGGGCAACGCCACGAAACCTAGCCCCACCGACTCGCCTCGCCTCGCCTCGGAATCCCCCAACACCAGAGCGCGGCGGCGACCATGGAGCCCTCCCCCGTCGGCGGCGGGTCCGCCTCCGGGTCGGTGGAGCGGTGGCGCGCGGAGGCGTCGCGGGCGTTCCAGCACTACCTGGATCGGGCGGCGCCGCACACGGCGGGGCGGTGGGCCGGCACGCTCGTGGCCGCGGCGGTGTACGCGCTGCGGGTCTACTACGTGCAGGGGTTCTACGTCGTCACCTACGGCCTCGGCATCTACCTCCTCAACCTCCTCATCGGGTTCCTCTCCCCCATGGTCGACCCGGAGCTCGAGGCGCTCGACGCCGGCCCGGCCCTCCCCACCCGCGGCTCCGACGAGTTCAAGCCCTTCATCCGCCGCCTCCCCGAGTTCAAGTTCTGGTATACGATTTTTCCTGATTCGCTTCTGATCCTAGGCAGCAAACTGGTGTAGGTAGTTGGTGATGCGACCGTACAAATGTGATTTCTTAATGTGAGGTTTTGATCGAACCAGCTGAGATGGTTTGGATCATCAATATTCAATTCACCGACCAACACATGTGTTCCACTGATTAATCGGATGATGAGGTAGTAGATGGATAGGCAAAGGCTTCACTATGAATGCTAACCTACGGCTTATGCAGATTCCATTGGGAGTTACTACTTAATAGGGCTATAGATAATTTTGATATGGTAATTGCTTAGGTTGTGCATAGCTGGAAAGTCCGCGATGAATTTTTCTAGTGGAGCTATTGCATTTTTTGCGTGCTCTTATCCTGTTTAGTTGTTGGCTTGTGATGTACTAGTACAGTAACTTTTACCTGTTTGTTTTTAAGTTCAGATATTATATTACGTAACATCTTCGTCAAGCTTACAATTTTTTATGGAACTTAGTTCATGAGCTGCTTTTACACGTTGCTTTATTGACACTTGTTCACAAAACAAGAGGCACTTGCTGTTTTATAGCATCGAATTTTATTTCTTAAAAAGATCAGGAATAGTAATTGCATTAGTTTGTCATGGGCACATCATGCCACTGTAATTAAACACTTCCCTATTTCGTGTTCTACTGCCAATGGGTTTGGTTTCTTTGTGTGCTTGTGTTGGCGTGTCTAGCAAGGCCTATTTGCGATGCAAATGCAAAATGTCAGCTATGCTAACTAATTTATTTTTTTTCAGGTATGCCATCACAAAAGCCTTTTGTGTTGCTTTTCTGATGACATTCTTCTCTGTATTCGACGTTCCTGTCTTCTGGCCAATACTTCTCTGCTATTGGGTTGTGCTTTTTGTCCTGACAATGAAGCGGCAAATTGTGCATATGATAAAGTACAAGTATGTCCCATTCAGCATAGGAAAGCAGGTGAGATCATTATGATATGTATGCATAGTTGATAGTGTTTTCTTCTGCCATTTGGAAGTTCAGTAGTTCATACTGCACCATATGTTAATCTTCCAAGTGGCCATTACTTTGTGTATTTGGTCCTAGTCATGATAGCTGTCTTGGGGGCAGTAAAAATTAGAAAGGCCCTTTATTTGCAATTGCATTGGGGGCTTGTCAGAGTTACATCCCTAGTACCTTCTGATTAAGTTTGTACTTACTGCACTAAGATTCAAGAGTAAATCATATGTTATGAGTAGGAGCTACTGGCCTTGTCTTGATATGTTTTCTCATAGTGTGATATACTCCCCTCTGTTCATCAATATCGGTGTCAAATATTAGTGATCAGAGGTAGTATCATAGCCAAGCACATGTAAGATGATGACAGTAGGTGTGTCACCATGAGAAGACATCGCTAACCAATTTAGATCACTGACTTGTTGCGCTACACATTTTCCTTTTTCCTGAAGGAGTTGCACTATACAATTTTTTAAATGTACAATATATTAGCTTACTGAACTACATTAATTCCAATGCAGAAATATGGTGGAAAGAAAGGCCCGGGAGCCAGTACGTCTAAAGACTGAGACCTGGATTGCAGATCCCTGTGTTGCTCTTGAGGCAACATGCTGGCATGGTGGTTTTTTGGTACCAGCTACTGACAGTGGATGTACACCTCCATTCGCTAGTCGAGAGGAGCTTAAAGAGACTTTGCATCGGTTGATGACCATTTGTGTTGTATATCAGATTCTTCTGTGCAATGACTCGTTCATTTATAGTTCTTGTGCTGTGCGGCTCTTGTGTGGACGAGTAATGAACCTATTGAGTCAGGTGCAATGCAAATCAAAACTATTGGGGCTTGACATGGATTTGTACTGGAATTCAACATGCTCGTTTCCAGACGGGGCCCTTAATTACTCGCATGTTAGTAACACATTTGTTATTCTATTTAGAGTCCTATGAAGGTTGTCTGTTTTGTGTATGCGCATGAGCCATTCGGTAATTGTTACTCCCTTCATCCTACATTGAGCATCCAATAATGTCTGCTATAATGTTTGTGCACCAAGAACAAGAATAATTTAAATCACATCGATCAAGACGTCATGTATAATATGCACACATTCTCTCCTAATGCATGAGTTGGTTAAAACACAATGCACAATTCCACTCTGCCTTTAGCATGCACACATTCTTACATGATGTATTAATTGTGCTCTAATAAAATCCTTATACATGTGATCAATTTGAAAAATTAATTTTAGTTTTTATTATATGATAATCAATTTAAAAAGAAGGGAGTACTATCTTAACTGCACTAATGATTGGTGGCCAAGTGATTTACAACCTCTGATGCCCATCGTAAAATCCCAAGCTGTTTTAGCCTGTGCTAAGTCAAAACTGTCAGCCTACCAGGCAGTTTGTAACTAACTGCAAATATGGTAACCAACCCGCTGGCTGATAGGCGGGGCCGACCGTTCGCTCCGGCCCCACCTGTCAGCCAGCGCATGATCTCTACTCTTTTTTATTTATTAGGAGGTTGCTGCGCTGCGGAGGCTGCATGCATTAGCGCGGAAATTCTCAGGCTCGCCGTCGACGAGGAGGAGGAGGAATCGGGAGGAGATCCGAGATGGCGGCGAGGGAGACGTCGCGCCACGCGTCGCTCTGCCTGTGGCTCGCGCTCGTCGCCGCCACCCTCTCTCTCGCCCAGGTACTCGATTGATGATGCTTGCTCATTCTGTTTATATCATTCACATTGCCCGGATTTTTCCCCTTCAATTCTTAGTTGCCACCCTATCATTAGTTTGCCACTCTCCCTGATCTGATCTGATTACTCGTACGTCACTCTTCTCCAATGTGTTCGATTTTCTATTTGTTTTAGAACTTTTGCTCTCTCTGTTTTCTCTTTTCAGGCGGTAGAATCAGAAGCCGAATTGACCAAGGTCACCACCAAGGTCTTCTTCGACATCACAATCAATGGCAAGCCGGCAGGTTTGTGCATCCTGACTCCCTGATTTCTTGAGTTCACCAAAATTTTGTTATTGCCTGCTTCTCTGGTAATAATGCCATTTATGTATGTTGAAGATTGTTCATTGTTTAATGAAATCTTCCATTATCTAAAATAATGCGTGTTTGATTGATGATATGCTCATTGACGTTTAGATTGTTTCTACTTGGTTGTTATAGGTCGGATTGTCATGGGGCTTTTTGGAAACACTGTTCCTAAAACAGCAGGTATAACATCAACCTAATTACTTATTGTTTTCAACTTAATTGTTTTTGTCTGAGACACAAATTGGTAATGGTCTCTGCATCTGCTCTTTGCAGAGAACTTCCGAGCAATTTGCACAGGTATTTCTTCCCAACCGTCATACTACATTTCTTCAATGTAATGCTACCGATTTCATACAAATTATTTGAAATTATACAATTTGGTCAGCTATCCCAATTCCCAAACGTGAAAGGCTATATGTCCTTTTAGTTTTCTTCTCTAAAAGTGTCAAATGAAAAGGCATATTGCTCGCATCCTTTTTATGTTATACTATAGGGTTAATACTTATTGGCATATTCGGTGTTACATAAGTTATTTCCTTTATCACTCTGGGGCCTGTTGGTACTTACTGAGCATGCCCCAAGTCATGTACTCCAGTTGATTTGGCTACTATAGTTCACGAGATTTGGAGAGAGAGATGTCCCTCCAAACATTTTTTTTAAAGAAAAAATTGCAAGCGTGTTGGCGATTGAACACGGGATATCAGGATTGAAACCACACACCCCTTGCCACTGCACTATCAAGTGCATCTCTTGGCTACTATAGTTTCATGTAGCAATCTCAACTTCACATTTATACAGGTGAGAAAGGACTTGGCAAGAGTGGCAAACCTCTCTCCTACAAAGGAACGCCATTCCACAGGATCATCCCAGGCTTCATGATCCAAGGAGGCGACACCGTGAGCGGCAATGGAACCGGCTGTGATTCGATCTATGGTGGAATGTTCCCTGATGAGAACTTCAAGATCAACCACTCTGCACCAGGTGAACTGCTTTTCTTGATATCCCAGTTGTATACTACTATATTACTGCACAGAAATTTCATTCTTTTGAGCAGCAAGTCCTCATGTTTGATTTGCTGGCTGGTCATTGGTTCAGGGTTGCTGTCCATGGCCAACTATGCGAAAGATACAAACGGATCCCAGTTCTTCATCACCACCGTAAAGCTAACCCGGTAAACTTCATCAGCTCCTGAGAGCTGAGAATTAGTTTTCGTGCAAATTTTCTTTTTGTTTGCTAGAAATCTTCCGATCAAATTGTAATTTTGATCATGACCTACTCTTTTTGTGTTGTTTGCTACTGCAGGTTGGATGGGAAGCATGTTGTGTTTGGCAAGGTGCTTTCTGGAATGGACGTCGTCTACAAGATTGAAGCTGAAGGCAGTCAGAGTGGTACTCCACGGTCCAAAGTCCTCATATCAGACAGCGGCGAACTGAAGTGATCTTCCATTAACAGAAGCTTAATAACGAGCTGTACTTACTTACCGTGAATTCCTATCATTGGAGTATGTGTGCACGTCATTAGTGCCATGCATTGTTTGGAGCCTGTTTCTGCTGATTATAATGTGACCTGCTTTGTGTAATTGTTGTAAAATGAGAGTGTTCTCTCAATATTTTCCCATGGCAATTCAGATTGGATATGCAATGCAAGCTTATATACATGCGAACACAATGTCATATTCCTCTTTGATTTAGATTATTGAGCGGATTATTCCATGAATTATCAATTTGATTATGACTATAAATTAAATAATTTATAAAAATAAACTTAATAAATAGTTTAAAACACGCATTTTTAAGCCTTGTACAAGAAAATTCTTTTTATAAAAAAAATTTAAAGCGTTGAGCAAATAATCCGTTTCTATAATTAGAATAAGGTTTAGTTTGATTGTGAAGTTTGGATTTTTAATGGCACGTAAAATAAGACTAGACTAATTAAGTATTAATTATTTAAAAATTATTTGTTTTTTAAATAAACTTCTAAACAAAAAGTATTTGGAAAAAAATAAACCTTTAACAGTTTAGAAAGCTAAACTATGCTCACAGTAAATAACACCCAAACTAACTTTCAAACTAAGCCTAAGTTGAAAAGAACAACTCGATAGAATCTAAAATTTTTATGCTCTCTTGATCGATTTATCTGCATCACCACTCCCTCATTTACACAAAACAACCCGCAATCGAAAGTTACAAAAAAAAAAAGCACCTCAATGAGTGTGATTAATGTGGAGTTAAACACGAAGATCTTTGCTTGAGACAGAACCCGACACTGACATGTAGGGCCCACCTGTCAGGCAGCGCATCGCTTTCACCCTCTTGGCTACTATTTCTTCGTGGACTCTTGGGCAGAGTGCGGAGACCGCAGTGTGGAGCAACAGATCTATCCATCCATCCCATCCTCGATCCTTCATTCCTGCCCGGCGGCGAGCGAGAGAGAGGCGGAGGAGATCCGAGATGGCGGGGAGCGGGTGGAGGAGGATCCCGGCGGTGAGGAGGCCGCCCATGTCGCGCCCGGCCTCGGTCTGCCTCTGGATCGTGCTCGTCGCCGCCACCCTGGCGCTCGCCCAGGTGCTCATCCACCTCGTCCGTCTCCACTCTCCACCACGCCTCGCTCCTCCTCCTGCTTCCCCGTATCTGCGTGTGATGTGATGCGTGTGCTCTCCGATCTGATTCGATTGTTTGTGCTCGTGCGCTGATTTCTTGATCTGTTTGATCTGTGGATCCAATTGGCCCTGGTGTGCTGATTTGTTAGAATTTTGAGTGGTGCCTCTATGTGCATCTATGCGTACTCACCTTTTTTTTTTTGTTGCTGTTTAGGCGAAGAAATCGAAGGCGGATTTGACTGAGGTCACCCACAAGGTCTACTTCGACGTCGAGATTGATGGCAAGCCCGCAGGTTTGTGTTGGCCCCCTATGTTTAGCTCTACTACCATATCAGCATAATATATAAGTCTTCAGGCAGAAAGAAGAAAAGATATGCATAGTTTGATGTGTCTAGCATTAGCAAATACGGAGCAGTAACAATTTAATTTGCATTAATTGTGTCCCACCGTTGTGTATAAGTGACTTGTGATGGGCTGATGTCATATGCAGTGATTATTACAGTTAGAGTTATCAGCATTTGAGATTGACCTGAAGCTAACTCTATTATGATGAGAATTTAGCTTCTTCTATTGTTGTTTATGTTTAAGGAGAAACGTTGATGTGATATTTGTGTATGTACTATTTATAATGTCTTTCCTGTTAATGATTGCCTTACTGACATTTATTATTTTTTCTTGTATTGCCATAGGACGGGTTGTCATGGGACTTTTCGGGAAGACTGTTCCTAAAACGGCAGGTACCATTTGCTTATCATTTAGTTAGGTAACAGGAAATTCATTGTCATATCACAAATGCTAATGATTCACTATATCTTTTTTTTTTCCTACAGAGAACTTCCGAGCACTTTGCACAGGTATGCTCCCTGATGATTTATACTGTTTTTATTACATTAGATGTGTTCATTCATCTTCTGCTAGAGTTTCCAGATGGTTAATCCCATGGCAAGCTTGGTAGTGGCAGCATGTAGAATTTCCAGCATTGAATAACACTTTCTTTGCCACTTTAACCTGAAATTATTTTTGAATGCACAACTTTTGTGTCATTATCAAGTTTGGCCAATCAAATATACTGTTACAGTTGACTAGTTAAAAATTGATGCAAAAATACATCAGCTCAGCTGTTGTCATTATTCATACGCAAGTGTAGAATATTATGAAAACCCATAAAAGTATTTACTTCATATAATGAGAGAGATCCCATTCTGGACAGCGAATAGCACTACAATCTGTGTGGTAGCATTCCCTGATGCCTACTTGTGGTTATTATACGTAATCTAAGTTTGGGTTTGATGTAGCGCTTTCAACTTTGTTGTTATACAGGAGAGAAAGGAACTGGAAAGAGTGGCAAAGCACTCCACTTCAAGGGAAGTGCATTCCACAGAATTATACCCAGCTTTATGATCCAAGGAGGTGACTTCACACTTGGTGATGGAAGGGGTGGTGAATCTATCTATGGGACGAAGTTCGCCGATGAAAACTTCAAGATCAAGCACACCGGACCAGGTAATTTTCGTTATTTCCTGAACCATTTTTTTACTACACTATAGACGCATTATTTGTGTGGTAGACCATCAAATCATCCTTGTTTGATTTGATCTCATGTTTATGCAGGCCTCCTGTCCATGGCCAATGCTGGGAGAGACACAAACGGGTCCCAGTTTTTCATCACCACTGTAACCACCAGCTGGTAATCGTCGTTTCCTCACTAGCCTTTGTAATCATAGCAGCACTATTTCTAATTTGTACTGAAGACACTTCAATCTGTTGAAACTATTTATTTGATTAGGTTGGACGGGAAGCACGTCGTGTTCGGTAAGGTGCTGTCTGGAATGGATGTGGTTTACAAGATTGAAGCTGAGGGCCAGCAGAGTGGGTCACCGAAGAGCAAAGTTGTCATCGCGGACAGCGGCGAACTGCCGATGTAATGAGCTGAAATGATGTTTCACTGAAGCTACTGCTACTGCTTCTCGTTGTAGAACTGTTATTAGCTGCTCTGTTTTGCTATGCTTCTACCCCGAATCTGGTTGGAGTAAATTTCTGTTAGACTATAACAGCGTGCTTATATCGCCTCTTAGTTGTGGGCGATTTGGAGTGAACTAGCATAAAAAGGTCGAAACTTTACTTAAGTCGTCTTCTTGTTCTAAGTCGAATTATACTTTGAAGTGACTTGCTTACTGTTGAGCGCTTGATCTGCGTCTAGTTCAGACGAAGATATTCTAGATTCATTGAACTGCAACAGACTAAAAAAAAAAAACCTAGATCACGATCGATTAGATTTGAGTGGATTAATTTACACAAACCAACCACCTCGGGTAGATAAATAAAATCTGTATGTTTCATAGATTCTCACTGACACATGAAACCGAGGTAATTAGAGAGAGAATTAAGGCCGATGCAAACTGGAGTAATCCTCAAAACAGCGTGATTCCGTGTGCCAAAAGAGGACAAGGAGAGAGTCCTGGGAGTTAGAACCAGACACACCCACAGACCGCATCTAGACCGCGAATCTCCGATCGGGCGGTGGATAGCACAGCATCCAGGGGAAAGCCGTGTCAGACACGCATCTGGACCGCGAATCTCAGATCGGACGGTGGATAGCACCGCATCCGGGGGGAATCCGTGCCAGAGACGCATCTGGGCCGCGAATCTCAGATCGGACGGTGGATAGCAGCTGGAGGAAAGCCGTGTGCTGCTCCAACGAGCCTAATAATTGGCGGCCGAGTCAGTCAGCCTCCCGACCCATCAAACACAAATAGGGTTAGCGAGAATCGGCGGCGGCGGCGGCGGCGGCGAGAGCGGAGAGAGACAGGAGGGGGCAACCGCGGCGGCGGCGGCGGGGGGGCGCGGAGATGACGGGGAAGGCGAAGCCGAAGAAGCACACGGCGAAGGAGATCGCGGCGAAGATCGACGCGGCGACGACGAACAGGGGCGGCGGGAAGGCCGGGCAGAAGGACCGGCTGGGGCAGGACAAGGGCGGCCACGCCAAGCTCGAGTGCCCTCTCTGCAAGACCACCGCCCCCGACATCAAGTCCATGCAGATCCACCACGAGGCGCGCCACCCCAAGCTCCCCTTCGAGCCCGACAAGCTCAACAACCTCCACGGCGGCGGCGCCGGCGCCGCCGCCGCCGCCGGTGAGGCCGCCGCCTCCTCCTCCAAGCCCAAGCCCGGCGTCCGCGGCAGCCTCAAGAAGTAACCGCAATCGAATCCATCATCACCCGAATCTGCTACTACTACCGCCCGCCGCCGCTCGCTCCGGTGTGCTTACTTGCTGCTGCTTGCTGTTTTGAATTATTACTACTGTGTCATGATGTGCCGTGTGATAGATGCGTTGATTCGCGCACATATACATATGTGACCGTGTTCCGTCGCGTCTTCGTCGGCATGTTTTAGCTATGATGTTTAGTTTATGTGTCACTACTCTATGATGCTGTCAATGGTGTCAATGGATGATAATGTTTATGTCTGTCACTGCTCAAACAATTGCTAAATCTGAGTAAAGAAAAAGGTGATGGCTAAATCCGTTTGCTCACTCACTTCCGTTTCGTAGCAAGGATGAATTGGAAATTTGCAATTGTGATTAGCTGATTATTATCTTTGCGGTGTCAAGCGGCATCTTTTTTAACTTGGTGATCATAGGTATCATGTGGGGCATGTTATTCTGCGCTGAACCCATGACTGATCTGCTTTTAGCATTGGAAGCACAGTAATTAGGAGATTCTACCTGTTTAGAAAACATATGTTTTTTTTATTTCATAGTTATGCGCCTGAAAAACAACTGCCTCTTCACAATTAGAGGTAATTGCAACATGGAACTGATGAAAAATGGGCCTGTTGCCCTGTATAAGGGAGTTAGTTGCGGGTTGATGAAATCGTGGTACAGTGTTAAAAAGAACACTTCTTTCAGTTCTGAATTTTAGATGCACACCTCACACGGTTCAGTTTTCTCTGTCAAATTTCACAGTTTTCCTAATGTTAGGACTAGTGAACTCCTTAATCTCCGATATGATCTGTTAAACATGCAGATGGCTCTATGCCAAGCCCTTCACAGTGAGAAGTTGCATCATTTGTTTCATGTGATTTCCACTATTCGTAGGTAGTTCATTGTGGTTGTCATTTAGTCATCTGAGCATGGATTTACCAATGCAGCGGTGTGCAGATACAAGGCATTCCAGGCTTCTAACTTGTCAAAAAAAAAACAAGTTTTGTCTATTTGATTGGTACCTAAACTAAACTACCATTGAGGCTTAACACCATAAAGTGATGTTTTGCACTAATTTATAGCAGTGAGATGCCTTTCTAAAGCTCATGGACTTTAGTTAGTGCAGTGCCCACTGGGGAGGCATTGCAATGATGTGATATTATGGTGCTTGAAGCATGGGGGAGGCATATTATGGTGCTTCAAGCATGGGAGAGGCCTTTCACTTTTCTTTGTATGACATGGAATCAGGCAGTCCTTAGATGAAAGTCATGAAGCTCTGATGAAGTTTTTATGTGGAAAATTTTGACTACTCGAACTTCTGCTCTGGCAATTTGGCATTAGATGAAAATCATGAAACTCTGGTAAATTTTGTCCAGATTATTTGGATTTGATCAGAACCAGATGATATGATGTAGTGCTGCATCCCTTGAAGGTTTTGAACAGTATAGTTTACTGAAATCGAGATGCCAGAAATTCATTGTGCAATCAGAGTGTTTTATATAAACTACGCCGTGAGACCAGGTTGTTGCAGAACAAGAATATGCACTAGACAGTAAGGATTTTGCATACAGTGTTTTCCTTTATATACTTTACACTAGGTAATACAAAAAAGTAACAGTGTGTACTGACAATTTACATCACATATATAAAACAAATGAAGCAACGGAATCATTACTAGACAGACACAACGAAAGCACAATCCTGGAATTCTCTCTTTTCCTTGGACAGAAACTATTGTGCTCTCAAGACATAAACTTGAACAAAGCAAAGAATACATTGGGTCCCATCATCAGAGAAGAACAGCTGTCTTGCCGCAAGTAATCAATAACTCAACTCTGTTTCAGATTGAGTTCCCAGGCCTAGAGAACAACCTGCTGAAGAGAAACACAAAACCAAGCCTAAGATCAGTCATTTTGGAAAAATCTCTGCACCAAAATAACAAAAAAAAACACGTTTCCAGTTCTTTTGTTAATTAAGTGTGGTACAAATATGAATTAAATCTTTGGGTAGCTTTAGGTGCATAACTTTTCAATATTACAAATGGAACATCAGATGGTAACAATATACATACGATCTATTATGCGATAAGTAGAATCAGTAAGTAACAAGCTATTTAAGGTCTACCTTTAATCACTGAAGCTGTTCCTACTGGTGACCACCAGTGGGCTGTAAAAACAACTGTTGAAGCTGGAGGATCACTGACCATTGTTAGCCAATGGCACCTCCATTGATGAAAAAATGGCTCCTTGATATGAGCTCAAAACAATGGCTATTGTTCAAACTTATTTTCAGCATAGAGCTCAGTATTCTGATATTCCTGATGATGGAGATGGAACATAAACCAACTACAAATTCTAAAAGTGATGGAAATCTTGACGTAGGAGTATAGGCGAGAACTGTATTTATACGTGAAGTAATTCTGCAGCTACTGTTCAGGACAGCTCATTTAAGGATCAATGGAGCCAGTGAAAGAACTTTCCTGTGTCTTGGGAGTTGGTGGATCCTCATCCTCCACAAGAAGAGGGTCTAAATATCCAATTGCCAGTACCCTTTGCGCCTCATTGTAACGGGCCCAGGTAACAAGGTATAGACCAGCAATGATAAAGACTCCTCCAATAATGCTGAAAAGTAGAATGGAAACATACAACACGTGATTATGACATTATGTATACTTTGAAGTTTCTTGAAATTCTATAGTTTAGAGGACCAAAAAGGAGTTTTTCTAAAATAGTATGGGAGTGAAATGAACAAAGCGATATTGGCAATGTTATCTGTAAAAAAAACAGTTTTTATCATATTTTCACCGGTATTAACACCAATATGAAGATTATTTGTCTGGAGAGTATCAGAAACAATTAATAAACACAATGAAGAGCGACTATTGTCTGGAACGAGTATCAGAAGCAACTAATGAACGCAATGCAGAGCGACTACAGTTGAATGAATCCCAAATTTCAGAAACCGTCAAATGGCAAAGTTCAAAGAACACATTTCGCATTATTACATGCCAGAATTTTCCGTTATACCTTCCAAGATATATTGGGGTACCAAGAAATATAGTTGACAGGATGGTAGAACATGCTGGTTGGAGTGGATTGTAGAGGGCAACCAGAGAAGGACCAAGGATTTTGTTTGACCAAGTCATGATTGCGTAATTCAAGCAAGATGCAACAATTCCCTGGTGAAGCAAACCAATAAATTCAGTTAGAACATGCTAGAGGAGGATCATAAACATTAGCATTGCATTGGTCATACACAAGTCTATGTAATATAAGCCCAAGGGAATATAAACATGCTTACAGCATATAGAATAGCAATGATCTCGGTCGTTGTCAATGCCCATTCATGGAGCCCATTGGTTGTAACTACCCCTGTCAGCACCATGAATACAGTGGCAAATGAATAAGAGTAAGCTGTTAAGGATAAGCTCGCGGGATATTTTATCAGCACTGGAGCCTGCACATAAGAAAGCAACCCTGTCAATAGACATTCTTTTTCCAACAAAAATAAAGACATTTTATCAACATATAGATATTAATCTTCACCAAGGATAAGATGTTCCAAAGTTTGCATCACCTGTATGACCAGATAAGCGCCCATCAGGAAGCAGTTCCCAATGAGGCAGATGACACCAAGATTCCATGTTTCTAGACCGTATTGGAGCATGGCCGATGTCAACCATTGGGGCGTGTAAGAATTGCTGCTCCATGTGCCGGCCAGGACATTCTCACCCACACCATTGGAGCCTCCTCCTCCTCCTCCTCCCATGCCAATCAAGGATGGACCTCTATAGAACACCATCAGCACGGCTCCGGAGACGCACACAGCCGTGCCAAGAACCTTGACGATGCCGTCCTTGGTGAAGATATTGATCACCTCAACACTGCAACACGCGTAATTTCACTCAATTCAGTTGAAATTTGAAGCCAATGCAACATCAGGAGTAGATAATTTTCCAAATCATGAACCAATTTTACCCGACGATTGCGGCTAGGAGGAATGTGAACACCGGTATGGCTGGCTGGAAGGCTGCGGCGTAGGAGGCGTTGGTGAAGCTGAGGCCCAGCAGGAACAGGAGCTGGTTCCCGAAGATCCTGGAGAAGAAGAGATCGATCGATAAGATGAGCAGAAGGAGAAGAAGAAGAAGAGGAGGAATCGATGAATACCCGGTGAAGCCGAGGAGAGCGAAGGAGGCGAGGAGGTGAGGGGTGAGGGGGCGGCGGGTGCGGCGCTCGCGGAAGAAGGCGGCGGGGGCGAGGAGGGCGAGGGCGACGAGGTCGCGGTAGACGCAGAAGACGATCTGGTTCATGCCGACGTTGAGGACGGACTTGGTGAGGACGTGGTAGCCGCCGTAGGCGAGCTGGGTGAACGCCATGGCGGCGTGCGCGCGCCACGCCTTGTCCGCCCACAGCAGCCGCCCGCTCCCGCTCACGCTCCACACCGACGACGACCACCGCTGCAGCATCGTCATCCCCTCGCCGCCACCCCGTTCCCTCCCCATCTCCGGCGACCCCGCCGCCGCGATTCCTGCCTCCTCGCCGCCGGTTGGTGTCTCTTGCTTTTGCTTGAGCTTGTCTTGGAAGGCGTCTACTGACTACTGCTGCTGCTTTTGATCCGTTTGTTTATTTATTTATTTATTTTGTTGATTGATGCGTCTGAGTTTTCGCTTGCGTGGCAAGTTATATATTAGTAGAAAATGTGTTGAGCGCCACGCACGCTAAAAGGCCGGGAAGAAGTCATGCATTTTTTTCATTTTTTTTCTAAAAGAAAATATGAAACCGGGAGAAAAGTCATCAGCGTTGCTTGTACTCCCACTATGTAATTCATAGTTATAGAATACGTTATATCGATATGTCTACATCTATACTGAGATATTTTTATATTAGGATAGAGGGATTATGTATTAATCTTGTGTACGGCTTGATTCTAAGTAATACGGAGCACTAATCATATGGCTGGAGTAATGGTCTTATTTTTTTTCTTATACTTATGTTTATTAGCTATTTTTTTAGAAAATTTTTATTAGTTTAAGTTTGAAATTTTAATCTTAAATTTAGAGTTAATTTTATGGGTTTTTCATCGAAGTTTATTTTTCACCCTTTACTTTCAGATCGCTAACAACACGTATATAAAAGTTTTATTTATAAATTATTTTTCGTTTGCAAATTATGAGGCCGTAAGTATCAATATGTCATTTTTCAGGAGAAGGTTGTCACCTGGATATCGACATATCGTGACTGGTTTTTTCTCGACCAGATTTTGTAAGATTCTCGATTGAGGAAAAGAAAAATCTCACCATACACAGGGTGGGTGCGCCACTGCTTATCGTATCTACAGTACTCCCCTGGCAATTCACTGCTTTTTTCAGTTAGTAAAGAGACTACCCTATAATCTTTTCGTCCCAAAATATAAAATATTTTAGGTGAATGGAACACTTTATAGTTTTCTGTCTAAAGAGTGTCATATTCATTTCAAATCTGTTTATCTTTTGAGACGAAGAAAGTAATTGGCATAGGCTAATTATAAAACCATATGAGTAACCTAAAATACTTATAGATATCGGATTTTATCCATTATTTCAAAAAAGAAACGATGTAACACATGATTATAACTCATTAACGCAAGGTGTTCTCAGACTCTATGGTAGTTTCGTTTGTGATTTATTTTTTTATGTTCGAGTTGTACGGTATCATTTTTATTTTTCGGGTCTCTGATTCCGTTTCCAAGAGAGAAAAAACGATTGCATAAACATTTTGAATATTTTTTTTGATCATTTTCATTCACAGTTATTGCCATGGAGGAACATGTGAGTGAGATAGTTGAACATTTCCTTCTTATCCAGAACACAACTTCCCTGGTGGTGGTGGCCCTTCTTCTTTCATTTCAAAAAAAAAAAAAAAAGAAAAAAAACACCCAAATCAACACAGATCGTAACTTGGTGGCGGGCGGGTGAGAGGACAGCAGGTTAAATTTTACATTAATTTTTTTTATACATTAAGATAGTATTAAATTTTACACTGAAACATGTGATACCTTTCCAAACATGGTAAAATTACCCTACATTATATAAAATATGTTCTTTTTGATTGGGTAAACCACTCTGTTTTTCAATAAAGTTAAAAAGATCAAACTGAATTTTCAATTTTTGATAAAAATTTATTTGGATTTCATCAGTTTTATCAATGGATTTCGTGAAATCCGATGATACCACCCCTGAGCCGATTTTAATCACTGTCGGGATTGTGAACCTAGAGGATAGAGCGCGTGAATGCTGAGATGAGGCGTGCCGCGTGCGTGGCTGGTTGAGAGCACCTACATTTCGCCGTGTTTATCTCCCTGATGTATCGTCCCTTTCGCCTTGTGACTCGTACCACTCATCAGACGGTTAGGGTGTGTTTAGTTCACACCAAAATTAAAAGTTTGGTTGAAGTTGGAACGATGTGATGGAAAAGTTGAAAGTTCATGTGTATATAAAAGTTTTGATGTGGTGAAAAATTTAAAAGTTTGAAGAAAAAATTTATAACTAAACACAGCCTTAATGAATCGAGAGCGGCAGCGGCAGTGACCGCGACGAGAAGAGAACGATTGATTGATTGATCAGCCAAGATATAAAGGTAGAGAGCGGTGACCACGCTGTAATATGATGTGATAATCAGATGCTAGCATTATGTCCTGCACCTGCACTGCAGATTCCGTTTCTTCGCTGCCAGCTAACTGTTCAAATCTTTTTATTTTCTTTTTGGGTGATGGAGTTTAAATCATTTTTTGAATGAACAGTGTTCAGATCCGTATCATATGCCATGAACTGTAGCGATTGCGATGGACACCGACGACCAAACACACGCCGGGGAGGTAGGGATTCAGTGTTTATTATTATTGGTCGTGGAGAGAAATCTGTACAGCTGTGTATTGAACATTTTTGTGTCATGTCTGATGTGAGTGATTCTGTTTAATGGTTGATCGCTAATACTATGTTTACAGTTACATTCCTGGGCTGGGATGAAGAGGCCGTATGGTCACATTCGTGGAGTATGCAATTTACTTTACTTACGCCGTGTTTAGTTCCAAAATAATTCTTCAAACTTCCAACTTTTCCATCACATCGAAACTTTCCTACACACATAAACTTCCAACTTTTCCGTCACATCGTTCCAATTTCAATCAAACTTTTAATTTTGATGTAAACTAAACACAGCCTTATAAGTTATTTTATGAAATTATTAGTAAAGATAAACAGTAGTCAAGATTTGCGGGGTGAAGTCAATCGTACCAATTTATCTAAAAGAATATATAGGGGGTGTATTAATGTATTACGTAGTACTATTATTCATGTAATATTAGGGTGTGGTATTTGACACGCCTCTTTAGCTTTGAAGTTCAGCAAGAAAAATATGGTGTATAAGCATACCACGTCAAACATAGGAAAGTCCAATATTCTTTTAAGGGGACACACATAAACTCACTCCATATTTACATCACATCACACGCACACACCGGTGGAGTATAAGAAACACATATTATCACTCCGTAGTGGCTGGGGAAAATTATTAGGAGGAATAAGAGTTTAAAAAGTGGGAACTGTTAAGTCTATTATTTAATCAGAGAATGTGAGAGTTTTAGAAGGAATTGAGAAGGAGAGTAAGCGAACTTCCACCTCTTCAAAATCTTGGTAAGAGTAAGTAATTGAAATGGAACTCTCTTCTAAGTACAGCAAGATAAATATGTGTCGTACATCATCACTTAAAATTCAATTCTCATCTATAATCCTTATGATTCTTATTTCTACCACCAAACAAAAGATTAGGAGTAAAATAAAACTCGCATGATCAATCCTTTCACTAACTCTCTCCTCTCAACGGATCCATGTCGTCTACAGTGTAGTAGAGAAGTTTGTGAGTCTGCCACAGTAAAGCAGTACATCAAACACTCAAACAGTGATCAAATATTGTATGCAAGTACTGTATAAACAGTAATTCTTTTATTATTTAAATGATTAGTGTTCACATTAAGCTGCTGTAGCACTTTGTTTTGGACGATCCAACAAAAAAAACAGCATACCATAATGCACTGCATTGTAAGCAGGGTTCGACTTACCGTCCGTAACCGCGCGGTTACCGTGGTTATTGGCCTTACCGCGGGGTACGGTAATAGAAAAACCACGGTAACCTCCTTAAATTCAAATAAATTTAAAAAATAATTTGAATTTTTAAAAATTTTACACGATTTCGTACGATTTTTCACGGTTACCGCGGTTACCGCGCGGTAACCGTGCTTATCACCGGGGCACGGTAACCCCGGCCCTGGCGGTTTGGGAAACCCTATTTGTAACTCCCTCTGCTGACTCTTCATCACTGCAGAGGATCCGAATTGCCTCTAAACTCTCAATCCTCCTCTCATCTCTTTGTCAAACGGGCCGACTTAATCGGGACCTAAACGCATGTTATGCGTGTATCCTTTTACCCACCCGGACTAACCGAAGTCAGTTCCGGGGAAAGCCTTTCCGGCAGCTTGCGAATGTCAAGGCCCTCCGAAAGTCAAGAAGAGAAAATGACGGCCCACATAATTCAGACGGCCTGAAGCTCGCAGGGAAGGAGCGGCGGGCTGGGCCTCCGGGATTGAGGAACACTTGGCCCAACTCAAATGTCAGCGAATGTCAAGGCCCAGCCCTGAGCAAGCTCCATCATGAGCTAAACGCGTGAATTTTACAGGATTTTCATATGAATCAGTTTAATTCCCGTAAAATTATTCCAAAAATCCTAGATTCGGAAGAAGGCCTTAGAACATATGATTCAACCACCATACCACCATGATTCCAGTGAAATTACTGCCTGAACTCTGAACAAACTCGTGGTAGACAAAATATTTCTGAACGTCTCTGAATACCAGCAAACCTGTTGGGACTCTGAACTTGGTAAGCTCTAATCAACAAGGCTCCAAATCTCAGGCAGCATATCTCAAGGCCCAACCATGAAACACAGTTGGCAACAAATGGAGTAGCTAGCTAGCATACCTCGATCTCAGTTTGATTCGATTGAACATCATGGATGAACCACCATGATTCCAGTGAAACTGCTGCCTTCAAACAAGAGTTATAAATATGACATTTTCTGAATCTCTGAATACCAGCAAACCAATTGGTGAGACTCTGAAAAAATGGTTCATCACAGGATAGCTCTGATCATCAGGGCTCCAAATCCAAATATCCAATCATCCAACGAGTGATTTGCAATTCCCTAATCCTTACCTACCACTCTGCAGGTACATTACGTGTGTAATTGTGTCAATGCAGGAGCCGCAGTTAAGTCAGTGTCAATAGGTTGATCCGGACCCCAGATAAAAAAAAAAAACGGAAATGCAGCAGAAGCAGCAACGCAGCAAAAGTTCTCCACAACAAGCAAAGAAACAGCCGTTCAGACTTCAGAGACGTGGCACAACATCAATATGCCATGAACCCATCCTTCCATAGTGGAGCATATATAATAAAACCTGGGCCTGACGCAGAGCTGTCACCACCACCACAAAGCAGAGAAAAATTTGGGACTGACGAAAACGACTCATGATCTAAATAATGGTTAGGTGGTCATCAGTGTTGGTGTGTTAACCTGACCTCTTCCTTCTATCACATGCTCACAGGTCGATTAAGCACTAACAATTTCTTTTTATATTGCAGGCCTCTGCCCCTTTGGTCAGTAAAACATAAGAGCTGAAGAAACTGGAATTCAGATGTGCTTCGCTAATCAGGCGAATTCAACAACGAAAATGAAGTCCTTGGAAATTCATTGGGAACTCGCATGAGACAATTCTGAATTGTTTTTTTTCCTGTCATCAGACTGAAAGGCACAAATATTTTTGTTAAGAAACAATTGGAGCTACCAGGAGTTTATCCATAGAATGTCTGAAGCAGTGCAGGGCCCCAGTAGAACAGTAAACCCCGAGTGGCAAGTACTCACCAACACAGATCCACTGATTGATTTGCAAAATCTTCATGCGACTTACAGATGTCACCATGGGAGGCTCAATTCAAAGCATGCTAATGTAAAACATGTGGTTTTCCATGACAAATAATTAGAGCACACAGATTTGGAATCCCTTTGCTAAGTGCCTCTAATACCGCTGTCAAGAAAGCTGCATACCAACCGGATGAACAGCACGGTTGAAGAGAAGATGGCCACACCTAACCTCGTCGCAAAGAAACAAGGTCGCTCTCACAACTAACACTCTCTGCCATACTTGGGACGACAAGGACTCCCAAAGTTCAAAAGCCAAGGTGATTTGGGTTTGACTCTTACTCTACTTCAAGATCCTGAGTTACTAACACACAAGCCAAGTTAATTTGCTCCTGAAAAACTTTCTTGTATCACAAATCACAATGCCAAGCTTATTCCTCAATGTTCTTTTTTTTTTTGTATGATGACGAGTTAATCTTCATGACAATGCCAAAGTTTATTTCTTCATCCTCATATAATCATAATTCCAAGATATCTTTTTCTTCCCAAGAGGAAATTACTTGGAATGAAGCACAACTAACAAGGCAAGGAACAAAGGGTTCAAAGAACCCTGTAAAGAATAATACAGATGCAGATTTGCACATTGCAATGCAAGTATGAGCATCAAGAACTTAAGTTGAGTAACAGAGCATTTCATGATACAGTACCATATGGAGCCATGGTGGCTTGGAGCGCGGAGGAGGAAGACGATGATGCGGCTACTTCCTGACGGGGGTGTTGTTGGGAGCGTGCGGCGAGCCCTCGAAGAGCTGCTTCCGGAGCACGTCGTGGAGGCCATCGAAGAGCTTCTTCTTGACGGAATCCATGGCCCATTCGAGGCGATTGAGCAGCTCGGTGGAGTTCTTGTTGTACATGAAGAGGCCATTGTAGAGGTCGAAGCTGTCGCTGCAGGTGTTGTCGACGAGGCGGAGCAGCGTCTCGTACCCCTTGGTGTTGATCGGCGTGGACCGGAGCTCCAGCATGGCGAGCATCCGGCCGACGGTGTGGGTGAGGAACTGCGTCTCGGCGGCGTGCGCGTCGTGCTCGGCGCAGGTCATCTCCACCATGCGGCACCCCTCCCGCTCGAAGATGTTGAGGAAGGCCTCGGCGCGGGCGCGGCGCGCGGGGCAGTCGCCGACGCGGACCTTGTCGAACACGAAGGGGAGGCCGTCCCAGCCGTCGCGCGCCGACTCCGGGCCGAACATGGGGTGGGTGCAGATGACGTCGAAGTCCGGCGGGAGCGAGCCGAGGAGGAGGTTCCTGGGGAACTCCTTGACGGAGAGCACGTCGACGAAGAGGGTGTTGCGGCGGAGGCGGTGGACGGGGAGCGAGCGGAGGACGGCCTCGGCGGAGAGGATGGAGGTGGCGAGGAGCACCACATCCGGGTGGCACTCGCAGAGGTCGTGCGGGTCCTGGAAGTAGGACGCGCCGACGGATGCGGCGAGGGAGGAGTAGTCGGAGCGGGAGTGGGCGAGCAGCGTGTGGCCCTGCCGCGCGAAGGTGCGGGCGAGGAACTGGCCGAAGTTGCCGAACCCGACGATGGCGATCTTGAGCCGCTGCCGCTCCTCCAGGAGCCCCGCCGCGCGGGACTCGTAGTCGAACGGCTGGGCTGCGTCGATGGCGCGGATGGTGGTGCCGCCCCCGCGCTGCGGCCGCGCGCGGAGGGGCGCCGCCGCCGGAGACGGAGGGCGGCGGAACGCGGCGGCCGACCGGAATTGGTGGCTCGCCGGCGGCGGCGGCGGCTGGTGGAGGCAGTGGGTGGAGGTGGAAGACGACAGCATCTCGCCGCCTCTCGCGTTGGATGCTTCGGGGGTTGGGCTTGGCTCACTTTGCTGCCTACCTTGCTCTGGAGTTGTGGGCTTTGGGGGAAATCCTAAATCCCAATTACTAGTAATTAAGTGAGCTAAATGATGGTGATTAGTCAGTCAATTAATTAATTTTGTGGGCTAACTGATGAGGTGATTAGTAAATTGATCAACTGGAGGACAGAACGGTGTTATTCGTTGGGATGGATCATGGCTGCTAACTAGTAGTAGAGTAGTAGTAGGAGTCAGTACTCTAATGCTGATAGCCAGATTAAAGAGAGAGTAAACTAATGCAAGAGAGCAGCAGGTCAGTGGTGATAGCCAGATTAATAGAGACTAAGCTACAAGAGAGCAACAGGTCAGCGGTTGGAGAACTATTCGGTTGAGCATTTTAAACACTGTTTGCAGGGGAAAGCAAGGTGATTTGAGCTTACTTGTTGACTTGATTTGAGCAAGTTGATAACTTTTTCAATGGACGTTGGTGGAAGAATAAGTTCTTTTTTTTCCTAACAGGAATAAGCCTTGTTCAGCTTTGAGGTGAAGTGGTGTCCATGTTCGCTTAGCGTTTCATTTGACAGTTGTCAAATTGCAGAGTTTCTTTTTTGTTTTTCAGTCGACTGCAATTTTGGAAAATGAAACACAGAGTTGAATTTATTTTGCTGAAAGGCTCTTTTAGCTCTTGGAAAACATCAACGATGTTAGCAAAAAAAGGGCAAAAACCTGAAACTCAATGTCTTGGATATGTCTATTTGGTAATTGGTACAGATACTAGGCATAAAAGAGTAACAAATTCGTAAGGACCTCCATTACAAATCATGCTCAGTTGAGCATTATATTTATCCAGGCATAAAAGAGCAACAAATTCGTAAGGACCTCCATTACAAATGAGGGCCTTTATTCAGTGAATTCAAAAGATACCATGATGCCAAACAAGATATTTTTTAAATTAATAAAAGTCCCTCGGGTACAAGCCTACAACAAAAGGCACAACAATTCTTCTACAGAAGACAAAATTCAGTCACATACATTACTATCGCATCACAAGTCGATTAGCAGCTGCAGTCACCAAACACCAGCAACCCGTGGACCCTGGTGGCCTTAAGAAAATGACCAAGCATATGTAGCTAATGACATCATATAAACGGCAGAGCGATCTTCTGTGGAGACATCATGCAGATTATACAACACTGCTCATTTTCTTCTACGATGGCGATGACTATAGTGCCGTTCGGAGTTTGAATAATCAGAAGCACTTGAATCAGAGTAGTGCCAGTTCACCTTCAATGTCCTTGAATGCTTATTGCTCTCATAAGGCCTTGATTCAGTGTACTCCCGCTTATCCCTCGATCTCTTTGAATGCCTATCCCTGTCATGCGTGCTCAAGTCAGTATAGGCCCTCTTCTCCTTTGATCTCCCTGAATGCCTATTGTGCTCAGGAGAACTTGAGTCACTGTAGTACCTCTTTTCCCTTGACCTTCTTGAATGCCGATTGCTCCTAGAAGAACTTGAATCGCTGTAGTATTGCTCATCCTTATGTCCCATTGAGTGCTTCTCATTGTCCGAAGTACTAGTGTCACTGTAGTGGTGCTTCTCCCTCGATCGGCTTGAATGCCCATTTTCAGTCATATTTCTTTTCTCCTTCCTATGCTCTCTCTTCGGATGCCTCCTTGTATCTCTATCAACTTCAACTTCTGAATCAGATGAAGAATATGACTCAGTGACATCTCTTTTCTTCTTCCTGTGCTCCCTCTTCGGATGTTTCCTTGTATCTATATCAACTTCTGAATCAGATGAAGACTCTGACTCAGTGATATTTCTTTTCTTCTTCCTATGCTCTCTCTTTTGATGTCTTCTTGTATCTCTACCAACTTCAACTTTTGAATCAGACAAAGACTCTGGCAGGTGTTTCTTCTTGTGCTTTGATTTTTGCTTGCTTTTTCTAGCTTCCACCTCAGCACCAGAAAATGACGAATCAGAACAATATTCTTTCTTTCTCTTGCTCCTTGATGTCCTGTTGCTCTTCTCAGCTTCAGAGTGTGAAGATTCCTCATGAGCAGCAGGCTCAGCCTGCCTATGCTTGCTTTTACTCTTGGAGCGTTTCTTTGATTTGCTAGCAGAAAAGTTGGAAAGAAGAGCTGGAATATCACATCCACCAAGAAATCCTGAAATATAAGAAACCAGTATAATCAGCCAATATACTAGCCATAAATTAAACTCAGAAATATGATGAAAGTTTGTCAATGCACAGCTGCATGCTATCCATATTCTACATGATCTACCTCCATATTCATCAAAGATGTCCTCGGCTACAATCTGCTGATTAGGATCATCTGGGTTGTATCCACCACGTGGAGGGCTCATGCCTGGCTTTTGCCTAAGTTCCCACTTCAAAGGCTGGCAAAGAATTCCTTGTGTTAAAACATTTTGAAGTTTAACCGAAGTACAGTGAGAAAAGGTGGCAATGGCAAAAATGTGCATCTTAATTGTTGACACGCTCAAATAAAGAAATATATATCTTTAAAACTGCTGATTCAATATTCAGTACTCTATCCATAGTATTCCACTTGATGACAATTTCAAGAGCTATCTTCAGATATTAATTACCCAAGCTTCAGGAAAAAAAAGCAACTGTAGATAAGTTGCTATCAGCAATCAAATTATATGCAGTTATTAAAAGGGAGACAAGCAATACAAATGGTTGACAGAGATCTACTACTTGCAAGTCTTGTTACAGGAAGCTTATTTGAATGTAAATTGCAACAGGGAAAACATTTTGACAAAAAAAACCTAACCTCACTTGAATCAGTCTGTGCCATTATAGCTGTAAGAGGATCATCCCTTTTCAGTCGGCTCTCCTCGTTAGGCATGATCACATCCTTCAGTGGGCATTCTCGGTCACCACTCTGATGACCATAGTTTCCACACCTTAAACATCTAACGTTACGAACTTCAACTCCAAATGGTTTAACCCTCGCAGGAGCACCTGTCTCCAACCTGAGAGTACAACAAAAACATATTAAATCATAAAATGCTACTTAAGAGTTATCTCAAGGCAGCACAATGATGCTCTAAGCCTACTCCCATCTAAGTCACAAAAGTTCCCAGATCGATGGATCGAGGAACGTGGGACGTCATCTTTAAAAAAGATGGAACAAGAGGGGTATACCTCTTCTAAAACTATGGAACGATAGATGGAACATGTTCCTAGTTTTTCCGGAACGATAATCCGGAACGGTGTACCCAATTTAAGGAACATGTTCGGTGTTCCTAGTTTGACTCCCTGGATTGTGCTCTTCTTTTTTCATACAAAGTCGATAGCGCGATGGCAGATGGCTCGAAGCGACGGCAAGATCAGCGCGATGGCTTGGCACTGCGCTGCCGCGGACAGCGATGGAGGAGAAAAGCGGGTGCGACACGCAGCGCGCCTCAATTTCTCCATCCTCCCCTTCACGATGGCGGCAGCAGTGCAGCGCACGCTCATATATGCACCTAGGCGCGATGGCAGCGAGCTGCAAAGAGCAAAAGCAGCGGTCGTCCCATGGAGCGATGAATTCTGTTCGGAAATTTTGGATTGCCTTTCCCATATTTTGCTCATCGTAGCTCGTTCCTCCCTCATATCATCCTGCTAAGTTCCTCCATTGTTCCTACCGTGTACTGGAACGACAACCCACCCATTTTCGGAACGAAGTTCCGCCTAGTTCCAGTTCCTCGATCCGGAGCGAGGAACTTAGCTAAGTTCCACGTTCCCTGTGACTTAGACTCCCATAACTCACAAAAATGTAATGAAAATGAATGTCATGTTTGATCATTTGAGATTGGAAAAAGGTGAAAATGAAAATAAAGTGAAAAGGGTAATTGTTTGGGTTTGGAAAAAGAAACTCTGTATGTCATACTGTCATGTAGTGATTGTTTCAAGATTTTAACACAAAACAAGGTGAAGGAAGTAAAGTACCTTGGAGCATTTTTCAGCACTTCAAATTCTTGTTCTGTTGGCAATGGCCGGCCAAAAACATCTTTTGGCCTGTTTTTCTTATCTGGACCTGCGTGGGTCTTGTCAAGTTCCTTATCAGGCCTGTATTTTTTTTTTAAAAAAAAAGTTAAAGAAAATATAGAGAAGTGATATGAGCAGAAGTAATAGGGTTGGTAGAAGCTTGATAAATGTGAAATAATTCATGAATCACGGCAGGGAAAAAAATGCTACATTACATTGAAGAGGTGCTTGCAGCAGCAGCACTTTGGGTTGCATCACCTTCACCAGACCTCCTCTTCTCATCTTCAATTTCAGCTGCTTTTGCACTCTCTGCGTTGTAGCCAGGTGGGCGGACATACATGAAACTCACAGCTTTCATTATCTCCATCTGAACTTGAGAAACAGATTGGATATCGACAACCGTGAATTTTTCATGGGTGACAAAAGAAGCATGAAGACTTAGATAAAAGCATACTTGTTCATCACAGCTTAACATAAAAGCTCCTATAAAGGATATATGCAACAAACATATAAACCTCTTGTATGCAACTAGCAATCATCATAACTAGATTTCTCAGTATTAAATAGGTTTGAGGTCCATGGTCCAAGTGCAGATAAATCTTTCCTCATTTCTACTGTAACTTACTGACTTATGTCCCATGCTGATACATGTAACAAACATATATTTGACTTTGAGGGCACAAAAGTGGGGCTGCACAGTCACTGGCACGTATTATCATCATCCATGGAGCAAATATGACAATGAATAGAAAGAAATCCTACAGAAACCCATGTCAAACATTTAGGTAATGTCTATAAGCAATGCTAAGTTGCTAACACTACTTGTCAATGGCCATATCGGATCAAAAGCACAAGCAGATTAAGCTATGATCAAAGCAGATGATTTAGGAGACACATATACAGCAACATAGTTAGCTAAGAAGGTAATTAGCATATACATAGGGTTCCGGTTCCATTATACCTTCTCCTTGTCCTTCTTGGAGAAGAGGGCGGTCTGGCGGAAGAACTCCTGCTCCTGCGCGAACTCACGCTGCACCTCCTCCTGGCGGCGCGCGCGGTTGGCGTGGATCTGCTCGGCGATCCACTTCCGCCGCTGGTTCGGGTAGGAGAGCGGGTGCCATGGCTTCTGGTTCAGGTACGAGTGGCTCCACGCCGTCCCCGCCTTCTCCTTCAGCTCCACCTCCCCCGCCGCCATCTTCTTCCCTCCCCCCAACCCCCCTCGACTCCCCGTCACCTCCTCCTCCATCTCCGGCCGCCTCCCCCAATCTCGCCGCTCCCGATTCGCCGCCGCTCGAACTCGATTCCACCCTCCTCGCTGCTCGCAAAGCGGATTCTGATTCTCCTCCCAGCCGAGGAGATGGGTTTCATGGGCTTCGTTTGATGGGCCGATTCGGCGGTATGGGTCGGCCCATTTAAGAGGCCCGCTTCATTTCCGCGAGACCTAGAAGGCTAGAACACTACCAGTTGAGTTGACTGGTTCACTCTCTCCCCATTTGTAGGCTGGCGGCGCGAGACACCGCCGCGTTGGCGCGCCGCTCACCTCGACGCCGAGATGGCGATGTCGTGCTCTTCCTCCTCCTCCTCCGTGCGCCTCCGATTGAATCTAGCGCCCTCCCGCCGCCGAATCGCCGCTCCCGCCAACCTCCAGGTGCTCCGGCGCGTGGGAGTGGCGGCGGCTTCAATCCGGCTTCGTGCCGCCCGCGCCACGGGAGGTGATGCACGGCAACCGTTCGACCATGTGCCTCGCGGCGTTGAGGAGGTTGGTGAGATGGAGGAGGACGAGGAGCGGCGGAGGCGGAGGGGTCTCAAGATCGCCGTCGTGGGGTTTGGGAACTATGGGCAGTTCCTGACCAGGACGCTGGTGCGGCAGGGGCACACCGTCCTGGCGCACTCGCGCTCAGACTACTCCGCCGTGGCGGCCGAGCTCGGCGCGACGTACTTCACCGACGCGCACGATCTCGTCGAGTGCCACCCGGATGTGGTGCTCCTCGTCACCTCCATCCTCTCCGCCGAGGCCGTCCTCCGCTCGCTCCCCGTCCACCGCCTCCGCCGCGACACCCTCTTCGCCGACGTGCTCTCCGTCAAGGAGTTCCCCAGGAACCTCCTCCTCGGCACGCTCCCGGAGGAGTTCGACATCATCTGCACCCACCCTATGTTCGGCCCGGAGTCCGCGGGCGACGGGTGGGGCGGCCTCCCCTTCGTGTTCGACAAGGTCCGCGTCGGCGACTGCCCGGCGCGCCGCGCCCGCGCCGAGGCCTTCCTCGACATCTTCGCGCGCGAGGGCTGCCGCATGGTGGAGATGAGCTGCGCCGAGCACGACGCGCACGCCGCCGAGACGCAGTTCCTCACCCACACCGTCGGACGAACACTCGCCATGCTGGAGCTCCAAACAACTCCGATCAACACCAAGGGGTACGAGACGCTGCTCCGCCTCGTCGACAACACCTGCAGCGACAGCTTCGACCTCTACAATGGCCTCTTCATGTACAACAACAACTCCACCGAGCTCCTCAACCGCCTCGAATGGGCCATGGATTCCGTCAAGAAGAGGCTCTTCGACGGCCTCCACGACGTGCTCCGGCGGCAGCTCTTCGAGGGCTCGCCGCCGTTGGACTCCGTCTCCGCCGCCGCAGCCGGGTCGCCGCCGGATGACGCACCAATCGATGGCGATCTTGACAGCGACAACGAGGAGGAGCAATCGGAGTAAATCGGTGATCGTGGTGTCACGCTAACTCTGACGTCGATCTCCTGTGAAGTCGTGGCCATGGTCCCTTCTCGGGTCATTTGCAAGATTCAGAAGTTGCTCCCCACTATGAACATCAAATCGCAAATTTGGCTTCCTTTTCACCTTTCCTCGCTTCAATTTACTACCCTGTTCATTCAAACTCCATGCTAAATACTCCATACAATAAAATACTTGTATTACATCGCGGGTCGAATCTATACATTTTTATCTTAATTTTGCGAAATTTCGTCGATTTGAATACGAATTTGTTTGATTCTGAAATGATGAATGGAGTAATAAAGAAAGTGGGTTGTATAGGGGGCCTAATCGCGTTGGGCCTAATTAATCGAAGTGATCGCGTAAAGTGGCCGACAGGATGAGGTAGCTGGGCCGTCGGTGAGATTCGGCCCATGACGTCGTGGTCTGGAGCGACACGTATCCTCCAACCAACCGCACCAATATCTCTCCCATTAGGGTAAGGGGAGGAGCGGCGATCTCGTCGGCGACGACGACGTCGAGGTCGAGGCGGTGGCGGAGGAGCATGGCCGACGGTCAGGAGGACGCCGCGGGTCTGGACGATGACCTTGTTCTCGAGGATGAGCTGCGAGGTCGAGAAGAGGGCGAAGACGGCGGCGGCGGCGGCGGCGAGGAAGAGGAGGAGGACGACGTCGACGGCCTCGCCAGCTTCCTCGAATCGGAGATCCTCTCTGGATCTAGCGGCGACGACCCTACCGGTGTAAGTTGTTCTCGATCGATCTCTCGCGTGATTGGCTTGTGCGAATCTGGTTGTGATTTGGGGGTAATTGGTTGCAGCGGGAGGAAGGGGATGAGAAGGAGAAGCAGTTAGGAGATGATGCGAAGAACAATAAGAGGAAGCAGGAGTCTGAATCTGATGGGGATAGCGGCAGCGGGGAGGAGCAGAACAAGAGGGTGAGGAGAGCAAAGGGGAAAGAGAAGGACGTGGCGTCGGTGGCGCCTCAGATCGATAGCGGCATGTTCTGCAATATCCCGCCGGAGTTGTTCTTGCAGATATTCAAGTTCCTCTCATCGGAGGATCTCATCTCCTGCGCCCTCGTCTGCCGCTTCATGAACGTGGTTGCGTCCGACGAGACCCTCTGGCGCCGCCTGTAAGCTTTACCTGAAACTTCATTTGCTCCAATTTTGCATTTGTTGTAATAAAAAGAATTCACTCACATGTTTGATCCATGTCCAATAATTTCAAGGTATTGTATGCGGTGGGGCCTGTCATGCAATACCAAACTCAGGGAGTGCGCTTGGAAGAAACTCTACATCCAGGTAATCCATCCGAAACCTACCTTTTCAAGCTACAGTTCAGATGTTGTAGTGCTGCAGTTTTATGGTGAAACTAAGAATGGCTACGCAATTTCAGTACCAATTCAAGAATAAACCCAAACAGTTCAATGTACAAACTAAAAGTTGATATTTGTTTTCCTTGTGACCTTGTTGCACTCACTGAACAGAAGTTCAGTTACATGTTGCAACTCAATCATTTTCGCTTGCTGCTAGTTGTCTGCATCAGTTTGTTGATGTTATTTTCATTATTCGTAAATTCCAGCAAGATAGAGAGGATATGGTTGAGTTTGTGAGAAATACACCTACAGAATTCAAGGAGTATTATATCCAGATGCAGGCTTCAAAAAGGAGTCAAGCTCCCCTTCCCTCTGAAGTAATCACTAATTCTTATCTCCATTATAGTTTCCCACATAGCTATGGAATCGTATTATATTGACAAGACTTAAATGTGACTATTGTGAATTTTGAAGGTCAACGATGACAAGGTTATTCTTGATAAAACAATAGCCGATCAGGTGTCTAGCTGGAAAAGCAGCAGAGGCCTCACTGATGATGCGGTCAAGGGGCATTCTTGTTCTGGGAATACATGCTCTTACACCCAGATTGGTGATGCTTATATTTGTGAGAAGACAGGCCGTGTTCATGGTATGTTTGTTTTTCTCAGTGTCTAGTCACATGTGCGCATGTAAATGTAGATTTGTATACATGTGAAATGGTTGGTTTCTTCTATTTTTCAGTTTGCGATGACGCTTGTCGTGAATTTGTCTTGGACCAGTCTAGTGGGCTGCTGCTTTGTACAATATCTGGGCACTGCTTTGAAAGGTGGTTGTGTCCTGATGATGAGTGGGATGCTGATGATGATACTGTAAGTCTATTACACATAGCCTTCTTTTTGTATCCTTCAAATAATTTGGCTGTCAACTTGTTTTATCTTGACTGGCATATTGTTCTCCATATCTGCAACCACTTCCTCCAACATTGCTAAAATTTTATGTGTGTTATTGGGGGTCAGGTTATGTACTTGTTCATAACCCTTTCTACTTCACAATTTGTAGGATCTACAACAAGCTGGTATGACCGATGAAGCAGAGCCATTTATGGGTTCTGGACGATTTGGTAATATCTTTGAACTTTTCTACTGTGAAAATTTCTTCTTCCACCATATCTGAAATTATGAAGAAATTAGGCTTTTGGTATCACGATTTGAACTTTAGGCCATGTTGGGAAAGGTGGTGGAACTACTAGGCATTGTTCAATAATAATATAAAAAAATCGTCCTTGCACAACAGCATGGCCCTGTTTAGATTTCAACTTTTTTCTTCAAACTTCCAATTTTTCCGTCACATCGAACTTTCCTACACACACAAACTTCCAACTTTTCCATCACATCGTTCCAATTTCTTCAAACTTCCAATTTTGGCGTGGAACTAAACACAGCCTTTGTATCATATTTAACCTACAGAGCAAATAGCCTTTTGTATGCACATCTTCCGTTTTGTTTGTACTTTTATATTATTGGATTCCAATAGTAGTGTGTGGTGCCACTGTACCAATCGGTGATTGTAGGCTGTGTTTAGAATGCATAAGTCGTTTGTTTCATTACATTGAATTACTGACTTGTGCTCTGATTCTGAACAGCACGCGCATATCAGTTGGGTTACAGCTGTGCTGATGAGAAGGAACTTGAATATGCCTTGAGGTTTTGCTGATAATTGGGATTGCCTAATCATACTGGCAACATGAAACCAAGTTTTTGGTTTGCAAGGGAAATTATGGTCAGAAGGCTTGGTGCTATGTTTTTTTTTTTTTTACCTAGTTTAGGTTTCTGGTATGTTCCTATGTGTACAACTCACGCACAAATATGAGACGGCTAAAATTCTGATCTGTTTTGATCAGTTGAGGAAGCTGTATATTGTTGTAATCTTCCTAAATTACAAGGTGCATGCTAGTAATAAAAGAAACCTTCTGTAATGCTCACTGTATTTGTTTTTGCGCTGTATTTGTATCGTTATGTTCTAATTGATGTCCAGCTTGCAAAGCATCAAGTTTTTAGTGTTTCAGTAATGAACCCATGTGTATGTTTCTGTGCTCTGTTTTGTGCGTGTAATGAGCGTGCGCCTTTGTGTTCTGTTTTGTGAGATCATCATATTACCTGATTGCTGGTCGACACCAGTATTACAAGAATCACCACCCCGATCTGTGTGGTTCATCAACCATGTAAGAAAATGCTAATGGCTGTAATTAATTCTTGCGGTGAAACTAGATAGATGTCGAAGATGCCTTGGTTGAATTGAGGAATTTTTTTCGGTTTTAGATTTTTTTAAAAAAATATTTACAGAAATAATCTATCGGCCAAAAAAATTACAAAAATAGACCCTGCCGCCCACCTCTGGGGCGGCAAGCTGACGTGGCAAACGGGGGAGGAACGGGCGGTGACGGAGGGAGGGTTTTTTGCAGGAAAACCCTTCCGCCCTCTGGTGGGGCGGCAAGGGGCCCGAATACAAAAAAGCCAGTCGGGGCCGGCTATTTTGCAGGCGGCCCCTTGCCGCCCTCTGGCCGGGCGGCAGGCCTCGCTGCCTATAAAAGGGCTGCTGCCCAGCCCCCAGCCCTCATTCTTCTCTCCTCAATTCCAGTGAAAAAAAAGAAGAGAGGGGAGGAGAAGAGAAGAAGGGGCGAAGCCCTGCCGGATTCAGACGCCAATTTCAGGTAATATTCATAGATCCTATATGTGATTATTGAGTTAAATAGTGTGTATTCTTTAAAAATTTGTTTGAATAAATGCATTATATTTTTAGGGTTTTAGTTGTACTAATCTAGAAGTGCGTATTGTAGATATCGGTAACTACGTAGATCTGCTAGTTTGGAATCAATACATTACCGTTGCATTGGCTTATACAAGAAGATATTACGTTGTAGATGTTTATTGCATGAAAGAGTAATATGATCTAGTTATTTCGTTGACAGATATGTCGAACAAACAAATATTTCAAGTTTACCATGGACCAGGAAACGTCCGTTACGGGCCAACTGGGGTAGATCTGTCAGATTTTATTGTATCAGAAAGGGGAATTGATAGATCGGCTGAGAGGAGTGTACCTTCTATAAAAGGATGGTTAATGAAGGGCTTGAGAGTTGATCCACAGACAAGTGACATAACAATCAATGTTATAGTAAGTTGGGCAACTGAGGGTTTTTATTGGGAACTAATGCCAGTTCAAAACTCTCGAGTGTGGAGATGGTATTTGGAAAATGCATTGCAACGCGGGTGGCCTCTAGCTTTGGTTCCGTTTGTTCACCCGAAGGATCCAGGTGTGCAAATGAACATGGATGATGGCGAGGGACCAAGTGCTGAAGTAAACGAGACTTCTGTGGAGGAGGTCAACGCACGAGAGGACGGGGGCGTAGTAGCTCCAGTTGGCATTCAACCAGGTGGAGTGGCCGACGAGGGGGAGACTGTCGGTGCCATTGTGGATGAAATGGAGAGGGAGGATTCTGACAATGAGCGTGTAGAGGAAGGTGATTCGTCAGATGATGAGACGGATATTAATCCAGCAGAATGGGCTAGTGAGGATTTTTTCTGGGCTGATCGTCTCTGAAGAGGATAGTGTGAGATGGGAGTACAAAGAAAATGAGGTTATTCAGGGAGCGATTTATAGTAGAGCAGAAGATATGAAGGAGGCGGTAAAACATTTTGCAGTGTCACTTCATAGAGAGTTTTGGGTTGCCAAGTCCAACCGGTCGCAATATGAAGTTCGGTGTGTTAAGGAAAAAGATGGTTGTCCCTAGAGAGTGCACGCGTATAAGGGGAAATGGAAGGATTATTGGACAGTGTCAGTTGTTACCAAGCATACATGTTTTCTACCTGGTGTTCAGAAATACCACAGAAACATTACTTGTGCATTTGTTGCATCTGAGATGTATGCGCATGTCATCGATAATCTCACATATGAACCAAGGTCAATAATCCGACACATCGAAGAGACATACAAGTATACTATTAGCTATGCCAAGGCCTGGAGGGCCAAACAGAAAATAATAGAGATGAGATTTGGAACTTACGAAGCCTCGTATGACAATTTGCCACGCCTGCTTGGTGTTATCGAGGAAAGAAACCCTGGGAGCTCTTACGAAGTGAAGAAATTTCCCTCAATTGAACATCCTAGCAAGAGTGTGCTGCAAAGGGCGTTCTTAGCTCTACATGCATGCAAGATGGCATTCGTGAACTGTCGTCCTGTTCTCTGCATTGATGGGACATTCTTGACAGGAAAGTATCGGGGCCAGATACTAACAGCAATAGGGGTAGATGGGAACAATCAGGTATTGCCTTTGGCATTTGCTTTTGTTGAGAGTGAGAATACCGACAGCTGGTACTGGTTCCTGAAATTGGTTAAAACAAAAGTTGTTGGTATGAGGCCAAATGTGTGCCTGATACATGATAGGCACGCTGGCATTCTGCGAGCGATAGAAGAGTTGCAGTTTGGGAGTATGGAACGAGGATACCCCGGTGTTTGGGAAGATGTACAGAGTAGGTGGTGCATGCGTCATATGGGAGCTAATTTCTTCAAGCAATTCAAGAACAAAGAGCTCATGAACAAGTTCAAGAGGCTGTGCAATCAGAACCAGGAGAAAAAAATTCAATGAGCTTTGGAAGAGATTAGATGAATTGACAGCCAAATGCAGTGATCAGCGTGCAGCGGCTCCATCGACCGCCGTTGCTGACCCTCCTCAAGCTCTTGGACCTCTCCCAACGGATAGTCCAACATTGGTTAGAAAAACTGGATTGGAGATTCGGAAATTTTCTCAGTGGATTCTGCATGAACCAAAAGAGAAATGGGCCAAGGCGTATGACACAGGTGGTGCTAGATATGGAATTATGACAACAAATTTGGCAGAAGTTTACAACTGGGTGATGCGCGGTGTCCGTGGACTGCCACTAGTTGGCATAGTGGAGTTCATTTTACATGGGACATGCAGGTATTTTAGGGATCGGTTCCAGGCAGTTCTTCCCTCTATGCCGAACAACAGCATTTTGTTTGGAGCTTTCATGCAGAAAAAGCTAGAGGAGTTGCGTAAAAAGGCCATGAAACATCGAGCTGTAGTGCAAGGTACCCAACAGCACAGGTTTGAGATACTATGTCAAGATAAGGCAGGCAGGGGTATCTACCGCAAGAGAGTGAAGCAGGAGTGTGTTCTCAAAGCCGACGGCACATGTCATTGCTCTTGTGCAAAGCCGAAGCTGCTCCACAGGCCATGCACCCATGTCATTGCTGCCGCAGCGGAGTGTGGCATACCAGATGCAGTATATGTGTCACAGTACTTCAGTAAGCAAGTAATATATCATACATGGAGCGGCGAGATTTATGGGTTCGGCATAGCTGGGGAGTTCACAGAGACTAACGATGAAGTACTCAATATTCCTGACCCATCGAAGCTCCGAGGCAAGGCTGGAAGGAGGAGGACTCGTCGCATCCGCAACGATATGGACGAGTCGGAGGCTGGCAGGGTGAAGCGTTGCAGCAAATGCGATGAACATGGGCACACCTACAAGCATTGTCCTAAAGACAAGGAGAAACCAAGTGCGGCGGAGGCAGGACTATCAGAATCAGCAGCAGATGGAGCTCGCCTTACGGGTGAAGGCACTACCTCCACTCGACCACGTCCTAGGCGTCGTCGTGCCACGTCTGGCTACGTGGTGTAGTTCTTATGTTCTATGTCGGCATGTGGATTTGCTTGTAATTCGTTTCGAACTTATCGATGTGTTTATGTTTCGTCGTGTAATGTCAGACTTCGGCATGTCATGTCTTTAGGTCTCGTGATGTAACGTCGGACTAAGGCGCCTAACGTCTTTAGGTATGCTGATGTATGTCGGACTTCGACACGTAATGTTATGTTATATTATTGAACTCTACATATATGTTAAATTGCACGTCATCGTTATGTACCATTAGTAACGTTTGCTATATTTAAATAGCCTGTACTCTTGTTGTACATAATTAATCTCATGATTTTATTACTATTTCATAATTTTGCAAGTTATCTTTTGTTTTACATTACTATTTTTTGAATTGTTCTAACACGAAACACTATATTTTTCAGAGATGGCACGTCAGGATACACCTCAGTTGTTGGACCCGGCGATAGATCACCGACACCGGTCTCACCTTACTGCGGTGCAGGGGGCTCAGCTTGGGACGTTCCGGGCACGGACGTGCGGTGAGCTACTCACGGTTCACGACTCCTTTGTCGAGAGGTACGAACAGTGTTTTACTATAAGTTAGTTGCACTGTAATATTTTTTATAATGACATATTAATTTGTTATTGCAGGCTACGTGAGGCCGGCCTCCTACCGATGTGTCGGCTGGTGGAGGCTGCGGCCGGCGACGCGGACCCGGCCAGACGATGGACTGTGGACAGGTCCCTCCTAGCAGCTTTGGTCGATCGATGGAGGCCAGAGATGCACACTTTTCACTTGCCGTGCGGTGAGGTAGCCCCTACCCTACAGGACGTATCGTACTTGTTGGGGCTACCGCTCGCTTGAGACGCTGTTGGGCCAGTGACCACGGCTGTGGACTGGCAGGACGATCTGACGGCACGTTTCGCACTAGTACAGCGTGCACCGCACCTCCCGCTCGAGCCGTTGGCACACCACCGCAACACCGGACCTACGAAGAGGTGGCTGCTTCAGTTCACCGTGAGTGTTTTTGTACCGAAATGACAATCGTATTACATATTTAGTCCGCAGTTAAGGTGCCTAACATTTTATCGACGGCTTGCAGGTTGAGCAGCTACAGGAGGAGGCCGACGAGTACTCCTACAGCCGATGTTTGGAGGCGTACTTGCTCTGGCTTTTTGGCTGGGTGATGTTCTGTGGCGGTCACGGGCACGCCGTCGACAAGGGACTCGTGCACTACGCCAGGAGCATCGCCGACGCCGCGGTAGGCGAGGTGCCTCAGTGGAGCTGGGGTTCCGCGTTGTTGGCGGCTCTGTACCGTGCACTTTGTGAGTCTTGCACGAAGACGGATCCCAGCGCGACCTTTGGTGGGTGCCCTCTCTTTCTTTCTATCTGGGCAGCTGAGAGGATTGCGATCGGCCGCCCTGAGGTGGACCAGCACGCGTACGAGGAGTCACTGTACGAGGAGCGACCAGAGGTCGACTACCCTACGATGGGTACTCTGTGGTGCCGTCGTCAGGTACGTTGCATCGATCTTATCGTATTGTTAAGTTAATTGCTAAGTTCATTGTACATCACATCGATCGTCTCGTATTGCAGCGCCGATGGGCTCACGTCCAGGTTAGGCGGTCGTATCCTGAGTTTGTTATGGAGTTCGACCGCCTTCTGCCGACTGACGTCGTGTGGGAGCCCTACAGTGCAGCGGCTACCCAGGCTCGTGCGCCGTTGGGTCTGTCCACACTCTGCACCAGGGACCAGGCGTACTGGATGACTACGGTTCCGATGGTCTTCGACATCTGCGTTAAGCCTCACGCCCCTTTCCGCGTGATGCGGCAGTTCGGCTTCCGTCAGCCCTTTCCAGTACCGTTTCCGACCACCGTCCCAGCTGCTGTTCACCGGTAAGATCTTGCACTACGCTTTCCGTTGTTGCATTAAAATCTGCCTGTTCACAATAATTTGTAACATCTGTCGTTTCACACTAATATTACACATTAATTCGCAGGTACTCGCGCAAGGGTCAGCACTCAGCTAGCGACTGGCCCGCCAAGTTGGCGACTTTTGTTGAGGACTGGTTGCTCGCAACCGAGGAGGTCGTGGACCACGAGGGAGAGCCACACACTGAGGAGTCGTACCAGGCCTACCTATGCTGGTACCAGCCACGCACCCGTACTAGGGTCACCTTCGCTCCCTTGGAGCAGCAGCCCCATGTTGCGAGCACTAGAGACCTCTATGCCAGGCACCGCGACCAGGACTTCGCTCGTGCTGTGAGTACCCTGCATTGCACCATTCCTTTATGTTTTCATGTCTTTCTCTTCGTCAAATTTTACGAATATTTACGAACAAATTAACCATGCAGGTCGACGACATCAACCGGGTCGTCATTGACGGTTCAACGACGATCCAACGTTTAGGCGCGGGGATTCCGGTACCCGTAGAGGAGCACCTGACGACGTACACGCGGATGGTGGAGTCGATGCGCTCGATTCTCCGAGTGCTCACCTGTCGTGCAGACGACGTTGCTCGGGCAGACGCAGCTGTACAGCGGCCACCCGTACCGACTGGTCCCCGTCCAGCTGCGCACGTTCCTAGGCCGACTCCCCCTCCGCACGGAGGTAAGTATTTTTATTACTATTTCTGTACATGCCTCGCACATATAAGTGAGCCGTTTCACTTGCTGATTGCTTCAGGGTTTCGTGCACCGTTCAGCACCCCGCCTTCCTCGGCTAGGCCTTCTGTTGTGCCCCCCACAGGTACTTAAAAAAACAACATTACTTCGACAATCAATTTACATACATTTTATGTCTTAGCTTACAAGGGTCCCGTGTCGATGTGTAGGTTTCGCCCAGTTCGCTATGACGCAGGCCGCCCACTTTTCCCAGGCTGCAGGGTCAGCGTCTCAGGCAGCTGTGTCGACCTCGCACTCAGCGCAGTTCTGGCAGTACACCGGGACTTCGTCACAGGCAGCCGGCACGTCGAGTCAGGGTCCACCACTGGACCATGCTGGGACCTCGTCGGACCGCTTGCTGCCTTCCACCTTGCTCTTCGACATCACTGACTTCGACTTCGCTTCAGGCTCGACAGAGGACGTCATTGGCCCCTCACAGCTGGGAGGCGCACCGCCGGTGCAGACGCAGGACCAGGCGCAGGCCACTCCTCCGCAGGACACTCGTGCTACCCGTGCTGTGCCACCGGATCGTTTCACCTACTCCCAGGACCACGTGCGAGCACAGGCCCGGAGGACCAAGCGTGGTCGCGGCGCGGGGCAGGGCCAGTAGAGCAGTCTTCTCTTTGTTTACTTGCTTCACTTTCCAGTACTGTATGCTTGTGTAATGACTACGTTGTTGTTATATGTGCACGATACCTTTCGGCGCATGCACGATACCTTTTGGCGCATGCACGACTACTTTCTGCCGCACCGATGCAGCCTCCTTTATTCGCGTGTGATACGAGTATTTGCCCGCCATTTGGCGCATACGACCAATGTAACTTTCGGCGCCGATCATGCATGTATCTTTCGGCGCCAATCAGGCATACCCACCATACCCCACCACGTTCACATGTCAGGGGTATCACTCGATTTTTTGCGCCTATATAAGTCGCCTTAATGAGTGAGGCCTCACAATCTTTCAGAACTCAGTCACATTCAGTACTCTCTTCCCCACTTGCTTCATTACAAATCCGACCGGCTTTCGTCAATGGCTAGACGCCGGGGTGTTGAGGATCCAAACTGGCGTAGCGATCCTTGTGTATACCTACTACCACCTTGGTGCCAGCGTCCTCTCTGCCTATGCGGTGATCGATGCCAACTAATGGCTTCGAGGAATCCTGATATTCGAGGAAGGCGCTTTTTTAGGTGCCCTAACTATGACCATGAGGTATTTTATTATTTGCATATGCTTATTCATTCCGTATGGGCAATCGCTTTATTCTTTGTAATACTACTCTATTCGGCAGACCCGCACTACGGCTTGCGCATACATCGAGTGGGTCGATACAGAAAATCCCGTTCTCGACCTAACCACTTGTTTACAAGAAGGTCGCTGGTATTTCGCATCCGAAAGTACTGAGCAATACTTACAGAGAAAAGCGGCTTATGAACGACAATGTCGTGAACAACAGAGCGACTGGCGGGTGCTAACTACGGCACTCCCTCCATGGGAAGCCCGTCCAAGATGCAGGTGTGGTGATCGTTGTCAGGTTCTTCTTTCCATAAATCCTACAACATTGGGTCGAAGGTTCTTTGTTTGTCCAAATATTCTTGACGACGATTTCATGGTAAGAATATTTTGATTACATGAATCCTTATTTTCTCACAACATTTACTAACTTTGCTTGCTTTACATCTATTCTTTCCTCCCCGGAACCACCAAGGAGATGTCAATACAGAGAATGGATAGACACCAGAAGGGTTCTAACTCCACCTAGCCGTGTTGTGCAGCTTGAACTACCAGAGCAATACAGGGTTACTAAAGCGCGGTTTGAGAGAGGAAAGGGATCCTCACATAGGGGTTAGCTATTATCGGACAACTTGGCATATTGAAATTTCTATTGTCATGCTTCCTTGTCCCATTACTACATCGTCGTTGTGTTCAACTATTGCACTACCTCCCTCCTAGTTCGAATCTAATATCATCTATGTAACCGCAATGCAAATAGTCGTATCATGTTCAAATTGTACTACTATTTCTTCATGTTACATAATTCTCCTTGTTAAGTCCATATAATGTTTCTACGACCCAGACTGCGATAGGCCTATATAAATTATCCGAGTACTAATACGTCGAATAAGGTACAAAATAATACCTCACTTAACATATGAAATTGCGCAACAACCAACTTCAATACATTTTTATAACAATATTAACAAGTTTTACCAATAAATACTTCTTTACCAATAACATAACATAGAAAAATCTTTTGGCCGTACTTTTTTCATCTGGGTCCCTTGCCGCCCTCTATTGGGGCGGCAAGGGACCCAGATGAAAAAGTACGGCCGCAAGCTCTTTATGGGCGGCCAAAATTGCAATTAGCCCCTTGCCGCCCTCTGTATGGGCGGCAAGGGCCTAATCGCAATTTTGGCCGACGGCGGCAGACGGCGCGGTCGACCCACCGTCTGCCACGTCAGCTTGCCGCCCACCATTAGGGCAGCAGGGGCTATTTCTGCAATTTTTTCGGTCGATAGATTATTTCTGTAAATATAAAAAAAAATCTAAAAACGAAAAAAATTCTTGAATTGAGTGCCTCGGTGCAACTGAAGCCCGGAAGAACAGTCAACAAGATTGATGGGTGGGGTTCAATCTTCCATTTGCACAAGCACAAAATGAGCATATCCTATGATGATAGTTGTACACATCTAACAAATGCCAGCTTATCTCTGAATACTCTGCTGGAGATGATGCACAATACTCTCCTATCTGCCATGCAGAAACCATGCTAATCTTGCTAGGTTAGTGAGAATCAAGCTACTCATGCTACAAACTTCCACACGGCCGGTCATCTGGTGTTTCCCTTTCATGTACCAGATCATGCTGAACTATGCTCTTGTATGTGTCCTTTTAGCTTGCGACTTTGGCAAAGGCATGTCCTGATGCTCACTCATTTGCTGATATTTCGCAGCCAAGACATCATCAAATGCTTTCTGAAGTGCAGCCTTTGCAACCTTGTAAACTTCTGGTGACATGGCTCCTCTCATTCCGTATGTCAAACCGTCGAGAGAGAGATCGTTGTACCAAGCAACTAGGCGCTCAGGAAAGCTAACTCCAGTCTCCAACGATCGCTCGTCTGGTACAACACTACTCACAGCATCCATTGTCCACCTCTTCATGATGTATTCCTCCGGTAGATTCCGAACCCCGACCATGAAGAAGATTCTTAGCGCATGCCTGCATAATATACCAGCGTACTCAAACTTGCAACATGTACACTCTGCTTTCCTGTCCAGCTGGTTGAAAGAGACTATATAGCCCCGGCCATTTTCTTCCTCACTGGCCACATTGTACTTGAGGATAACTCCATCCTCAATTTTATCAGCATGATAGCCTAGCGATTCGATAAATTCCTCCTGAAATATGTCAAACACTGCCCTTGTATAGATGGCCGCAGCCTGCCTTTCAATTACAGAAGGAGTTTTCAGGGTAGGCTTTGAATATGCTGTCACAAAGTTTGCTTGAGCTTCCTTCTCGAAACTCAACGCCATCACTTGATCAAACCTAGAGATAAGAACAAGCAGTGGAGTCTTCATGTTGAAATGCGTCTTAAAAAACTTGTTCAGCCTCTCAGATCTTTGCGACTTGAGTAACTCTGGAAAGAAGGATCCCTTCTGATACACCCAAGCCCATTGCTGCCGAGTGTCATACAACGACTGAAGCCAAGTGTTCTCCTCGAGATTATACTTATGGATGACATAGTCCCACCGAGCCTGAAACTCCTCAATTGTCTCAGCCTCAAAGACACATTCCCTCAGATCAGCTTTCAGGTTGATGTGCTGTATATACACAGCAGACAACTTCTGCTTACATAGGCTCAAAATGTTCCGCTGGCAGAAACGATGGCGGGTGTTGGGCAACACCCTCGCAATTCCTGCTTCCATCGCCTTACACTGGTCTGTCACCAGCAGATCAGGTTGGCGGCCACCCATTGCAGCAAGCCATGTATCAAACAACCAGGTGTATGAACTCTTTGTCTCATCCATCAGCAGACAGCACCCGAATATGATCCCCTGCAAATGATGGTTGATTCCCCGGAACACCGCGAACGGCATCATGTACTTGGTCTTCCTGTATGTGGTATCAAATGTCACTGCATCTCCAAAGCTCTTGTATGCCATCCTTGCCTTTGCATCAGCCCAGAACACATTGGTCACGCAATTGCCGCTATCTACCTGCATCGCGTAGAAGAATCCCGGGCTCTCGGCCTGCATCTTCCTGAGGTAATCGAGCAAATCTTGCACCTCGGCACGCACCCCAGCTGGATTCGCTCTGACGAGCCTATTGCAGAAGGATGGCCCTCCATTGGGCGCCCCATTGCCCACTGCAGCAGGAGCTCCGGTGGGTTCGTCCGAGGGTTCGGTGGCGGCTTGGGTAGGTTCATCCAATGCTGCGGCGTGCTCTCCGGCGAGACCATCGGACTCACCGGCGGGAGGAGGGCGGGGGCAGAGCGGGAGCGAGACGGGGTGGACGTGGTGGGCGACGAACTTGGTGACGACCCAGCGCAAGGGGGGCTCCTTCTTGGTGACCTCGCACATGGCCATGCACCCCTCCCGGATGATGAGGCGCTTCCGCCGCCTCTTCCCGGCGGCGGCCTCCGACTCCGTGAGGTCGTCGTGCCTGGTGGGGTGGAACCCCTCGCGGGTGCAGACGAAGCGGCGCATGATGACGGAGTCGTCGCGGCGGGAGCGGCGGGACTTGTCGGTGCGCACGGCGAACCCGGCGCGGTCGGCGTAGGCGCAGTAGAACTCCCTGGCCGCCTCCGACGTCGGGAACTCCATCCCCACCGACGGCGGCTCGCCTGCCGCCGCCGCCGCGGCGGAAGCGCCGGCGCTAGCGAGGCCGAGACGCAGCCCCAGCTCCTCCTCCTCGTCGTCCGCTTCGCCGCGGCGATGCCCCTCCATTCCGCCCACGCCTCGCAGCTCGCGCCGCCGAGAATGGAGCAGCGCCGGAGTTGGAGTCGAGCGGAAGGGGAAGGGGATTCGTTCGAGAGGAAGAAGAAGAAATCGCGCAAAGAGAGAGAGAAGGGATTGGGCCTCGCAGGGTGGGCCCATGTTCTGCGTAAGTGGGCCATAGCCAGTGAGGCACAAGCCCACGTTGGGTGGGCTCATGTCCGGCCTGCTAGCTTGGGATGGTAGGTAGATCCTGGGACCACCTATACATTTGTCGATAAATTTTCTCCTAAAAATTTGACAGATATAATTATAGTATAATCGTAGTGTACACTATAACTTATATGTAATTACACTGTAACTTGCATATAACTACAGTGTAACTTGTATTTAAGTTTCACGTAATTTTTAATCGTTAAATCTATTACAAGATTTGTTTTGGTGAGGAAGAAAAAAAAATCACAGCACACACATATGTGTAAGGATTTGTTCCTACAACCTCCATTTTACTGAAATAACATATTACAGAGAGATTTTTGAAAGTTACATACACGTTACACTATAGTTACAGTGTATTACATGCAAGTTACAGTGTAATTACACTATGATTGTACTGTAATTACATCTGCTAAATTTTTGGGAGAAAATTTGTCGACAAATATATAGCAAAATCGTCCTTTTTTATAAGAGAAAAAAAGAGTCTTAGGCCTGTTCACTTTGATGCCATTTTCAACCTTACCAAATTTTGGTAAAGTTGCCAAAAAAAGTGGCTACATTTAGTTTGCTGTCAAATTTTGGTAACTATATAAGAAATCCTGCCAAAATTTGGTAAAGTTTTTTTTCATCAAAGTGAACAGGCCCTTAGTATTGATTTTTTTTGGATAATGAATAAACATCAGCCTCTATATTTACAAGTGGGCATACACAGCACAAAGAAAAACTCTTATTGATGGTTGGTTTTTTTTTTCTTTGCAAAACGATTGCGGTGATACTTGTTGGTATTGAAATATATTTATACATGTTTATATGCAAATTGAACAGATTGAGAAAAAAAGTTAGTTGCAAGTGTAACTTAAAGGGTGTAATTACAGGACGCGAGGAAATAATTATTCACGATGGATATTTTTTATGTAAATCTTATCAGTTTATCACCGATATGGAATGTAGCAACCTACTTTTATTGGGACTCAAATTTGCTGAAGATTCAACAATTGGTATTTGGTAGCAATGTATCGGTAAGCTGCTTGAGATGATTTGACGACATGTCGTCATTCGCTCACTGGAAGTATGGGTTATTGAAATCCCCTAAATGATTCATTTATAGACCTATTAATACATTGCTCTCAAACTCTTTAGGTAGATGCCGTAAAATTGAGAATTAGGCATTCATAGCTTTATTATTGATAACCGTTAGTTCATGATGTCATGGTTATGGATACCACATACACTACACTGGCCAAGGTCACCTGTGACGGGCCCAAACCCTCATCTTTGACGGCTTCGCGCATGGTCAGTGATCAGTGGTCACTGGTGAGTCCAGTCACCTTTGACGGGTGGCCGGCCGTCACAGGTGACACCCACCTCTGACGGGCAAGTTACTAGAAGGCCGTCAGAGGTGTTGGTCTCCGCTAGCCTTGAGCGAGTTAGGACCCGTCACAGGTGACTCATCTCTGACGGCCCTTTAAATAAAGGCCGTCAGAGGTTGAGGTCTCCGTAATTAGAAGCTGTCACAGGTGATCTACCTGTGACGGCCCCAAAAGTAAAGGCCCGTCACAGGTAGGTCACCTCTGACGGGCCTTTATTTGCTAGTCCGTCACAGGTTATGTTACCTTTGACGGATTTTTGTTCCGACCCGTCACTGATGAGTTAATTCCAAAAAAAAAATAAATGCTAAATATTGGCTAGCCTCAGGATTTGCTAGCCATGCCCTCTGAAAAATAGAAACATCACAGATATATTCCAGTGACAGATCCATCACAGATACATTACCCCCCCAATATAACATCACAGATCCCCAACAACACATATATGCAGTTCAAATGCCATAATTTTGCACAGCAAATTCACACCCCTTGAAAGCCACAATTTCGGTCGTTGCTCATAGAACCGCATATATACTTACCAAATGGATTAAAGCCATAATGTCATCGACCTGCACAACCTGTCAATAAGGAAAAAAAAAGGAGAAAACAGATGAATAGTACAACATAAATCGTAGTTGATCAAATGTGATGACAATTTAGTAAAGTACCATAAATATTGCACATATGAAAGTTAATTACATTGCACTCTATAAAAACATAATTTTTTACATCGCCAGAAATTATAAAAACATCTTTTTTACATCACAATAAATTATCTAGCCAATTTCATGAATCTATTTGGCATGAAAACGTCCTTTCTTGTTCATTATTTCTGCAAGAATAAAGGCGCACAATTCGCCTCTGATAGCGGGGGGGGGGTTGATGGGTGAGATCTTGAAGCCAGCTCTACCTTTCTGTTTAATAAATAAGAGGTTAATTAGCACGTTTTGAATAGCAATGTAGATATTGAAATGAGCTTATTCGCCATTAGCAACAACCTCAGGGTCGAAATCTTTCACCTCTCTTAGAAGTGTTGACATGTTGTGGCACACGTGGAAACCACATTGGTCTCCGATCTGTTGTGCGCATGCAAACTTGGTGTCATGATAAAGTTCATTCTTGCCCTCCTTGTGCCTACCACCCTTTTCCACATATGGACCCCAAGCCATATTTAAGGCCTTGGTGATTTCACTGAAATCATAATCTTTGGACTTATTGGAGTTAAGGTAGGTAACCCTACTCCACTTAGGTACGATGACTAGGAGAATCCAATGTCGCCTGCGCAGTGGTTATGTAGCGTTAGTACTAAGAACCTTAACTTCAAAAACAATATACACGAAGGGTATTGTCCTCTTACTCTTGGTTGTGTGCGCACATGATGTACTCCTTGTCTTGATGGGCCCATAAACACCGGTTGACATAGTCAACCACCTCAGTGAAGCTCTGTCGTAAATTAACCTCATTCACCATGGATGGATCAAGGAACCCAACCTGATTACCATGGCGACGACTCTCGATCCAACACAACCTTAAAATATTTACGTATTAGAACTAATTTAATTAGGAGATATAGTCCAGTCATATCACAAGTATAGAAGGTATGCACTTACAAGGAGTAGCATTTTAGAAGACCAGTGTCCAACTTCCGGATCCTGAAAAGGTCGAAGAGGTCATCAAAGCCTATAGTTATATAGGCAGGCGACGATAGGAACGGCTGGTGGTTGTGATGTCCAACTATGGATGACTCCCTCATTTTCCGCTTGGCATTGCTTAGCTCCATGTATTGCTTATGTAGCTCTCGGCAAGCAATACCCATCACAGCTAACACATTGTCCTCCACCAATGGCATGCCTAGCTCAAATTGGGCTGGCGCCCTCACGACCTTCCCCGATTTGCTCACCGGCATCGACGTCGCAGCCTTGCCCCTTTTTGGCTCCGGCGCCAACTCCCCGACCTTCCCCTTGCCGCGTTCACGCTTCTGGCCCTTGACAAGTGGTGGGGAGCTATCGGCCTTTCTTGTGGTCTTTATTGGAGCCAAGCTTTGAGCTATATCTGCCAAGTCCATATCAGCTCCACCGGGAGAATGAGGTACTGACAATGCCGGTCCACGGGGAGCCTCAATTGATAGCTTACACTTGGGAGGTGTAAGCTCCGTCGGTCGACTTGGATGAGGAGTCATCTTCACAACTATGTCTTCTTTGGGCCATTGTATGAACGTCTTGCGCGCATCGCCCAAAGTCATGATTTCATCATTTGGGGGCACGGGCAGCGGATAGCCTGACCAGGTGTCCTTTACTGTATCGATGGACACCTTGGCATACCCAGCTAGCAGGTCTGCGCCGTGGACCTTGTCTGTAACCGAGGGCTTGAAAGCCATGCCCTCAGCGACTTCAGGAGCGAAAGTTGGGTGGACTCTCGCTAGTAGGACACACTGTGCTGCGCCCTGCATAAGGTGAAAGTTTGAATTTAATATTGGAATGTGTAAATGTCTTTTATTAGAAATGGATCGGATAACAACAATTACCTCGATGTGGTCCACTACAGCTAGTGGTGCGATCGGGAGACCAGGGGCCGGCACCTCTGTGGATGCACAACTACTCCTATGCTGTGACGGACTCGCGTCGTGTTGTACACGAGGAGTTGGTTGCACAGCAGGTGTTGTGACTCGGGGTATATTCATGTCGGCGAGCACCTTGTTAACCCTTTCTTCCACCCTTGCATTCATGCTAGCTTCTAGTTCTTGAATGACCTCAACCTTAAGTTCGGCCTTCAAACGAGTGTCCCTCTCTTCCTTGGAGACTTTCCGTTTCCTGTATTGGGAGCTGTACTGAGGGAGTCCATGCTTCCAGGGCACATCGCTACCAATTCCCCGAGATCGGCCAGGATGTTCTTTGGTTCCGAGCGCCTTTGTGAGGATGTCATCTTCGCGCCTCTTCGGCGCGGACTCAACCTCGCTTTGTGAAGCTTGTTCAGCAACCAAGCCCAACTAGAAAAGAAGATAGTCGTTTATACGAACTTGTACTTTATACGAACGGAAATTAGTTAGGTTATGTAGTGAACTCACCAGTTCCTGATAGACGACGGCATCACTTTTGTTCTCAAATGTGACAGAGCCGTCCGGGTTGACCTTACCCCTTGCCCGCGCCCAGTTGCGAGCTCTTTGTTCAGGGATGTCTGAAAACGGGGCAGGGACATTCGCTGCTACAGCGGCTGCATCTTCTTGGGCCCATATTGCCTCCTTGCCGATGTACCCTGCGGTGCCCAGCCGATGCGGGTGCTCATTCCGCTGTTGCAGTACGCGATGTGCCTCGCTGGATTCCCTAAACTCTTGGGTGGTCTTGAGAGAACAGAATTCCTCCCACACCGCTTCGGTTATTTGAGGGTATTCATCGAACGGCGTATGATTGCCGGGCGGGTTGACATACTCGGTGAAGAGCTTCGACTTCCAATTCTTCCAAGCTTTGCCCATCTTTTGGAATGCCTTCCACTTGAGCCTATCCTTTTCTTCGGCTGGAAATGTGAACCATTTCTCCA